AATATCTAATTAGTGTATTGAATAATAAAATATTCATGGGTAATGTTGGAATTTAATAATAAAGAATTTAAAAAGTGATGGATGAGAGTAATTAGCAATAAGCATTAAGCTATATTTTACTGCTAAAAATTTATACTGGAGTTTAAGCAGTGCTTAATCAAATAAGTGAACCACTTTTCGGTTATCACGTGCTTATTGTAAAAATCACTTAAACCAATAGTTTTAAGCAATAATTCAAGTTGTCAAACAGGCCGTAGGTAATTTGTAGAATATTATTATCACAGTTCATCCATAAATTAAATATAGTAAACTAATAATATCATACTATCTCTATTTTTTCATATATCGCATTGGGGTATGTACAGATATTAAGGAAACATTGATTAATACTTTGATTTTTAAGTATAATACATTTCTTTCCCGTGTTAAAAGTATTGAGATTTTACAAACATTACATGTTAAAGTAAAAAATAAGTATTTGTTATTAGTATATATAACATTAAAAGTAGAGAGAGATAAATGTGTAGTTAAAAGAAGTGTATTTGATGCTACATTGAAAATAAGATGTGACATATTAAAAAAAATGGGAAAATTTTAAAAAAGGGCACTGCAAAGATCAATATTATTATTAAGGGTATTACCAGTTTTTATAATTTTTGTAAATTGATTAAATACACCTAATGTTTTCTAATAACTTAAAAGACTATTTTAACCTTTCTTTTAATTACCAAATATTGATTTAACCCATTCTTCTTCAACTAGTACTTGAACATTCGTCGTGCGATGTGCGACGCACCCTATTAATAATCTGGTGTATTTAATTTTTTATTAGATGCAATTTGTTCATTATTATTTCATAAAAATTCATTGTTGATTTTTGTACGAAGATAGAAAATAATAATTAATTTAGTGAAATATCAGAGTTTATTAATATTTTCCACATAAGAAAGAGACTCGCTTCCAATTTCCTAGTTATATTAAGGTGGCCGGGTATTTTCGCTATTTCTAAATCTTAAAGAGTTAAAAATATATTTTGGTTATCCTATAAGAAACTCAGTGCAATGATTGGATTGGAAAACATTGGAAGGCACGTTAATTGTTTTATTTCCGCAAAATTTGAGAAGTAGTGTGAATTACAAATATAGTATCCTTAAGTGGTTTGATACATTAATTATAAAAAACATTCAAAGAGAATCTTGCGATATGATATTTTATAGGTAGAAAAATTCAATTGTCACAGGCTTCTTTCTTCAACAATTCAGTTTCTTCTTGATTTCTAGCCATTTTAGTCTCTTCCGAAGAGCTGATGCAGGGTTGAGAACACTTCATCAGACTCGCCTTTTGTTTTAGAGTTTTCTGCAAAGGCAGCTTCAAGCTCGGACTTTGCTTTAAGAAGCTTGATGTGCACCCAGCCCAGAATATTTTTAAGCTTCCATAGCCTTCAGCTCGGCATGCTCCTTTTTCACATTCTCTAATTCGAGTTTGAGTTCTTCCACTGAGCTACCTTCTGCAGTGACCCCTTTGCATCATCCAGCTCTGCGGTGACCATTTTCACGGAATCTATATCTAAAGCCTTTGAACTGTCCATCTCCTTTCTTAGTTCTTCAATTTCTGACATAGTCTCAGCCAGTTGAGCTTCTAAATCTCGAGTGCTTTCGGGATCAATATCTTTCTTCATGGTCCTCAATTTATTTGTTGATTCTTCAAGCCTTGTAGTTTTGTTTTTTCTTCTCGTGCTTGCATAATTTCAAGCTTACTTCCTCAATTGACTCATGTACACCCGCACCACTTCATCAGCTCTCTACTGCCTGATGGATAGCTGCGGCTTTTGCTTGCTTAGGAAAATCATATTCTTGGCGTAGTTTTCTCAGCTCTTGTTTTGCAGCATTAAGTTCCCCAATGACAGCTGTATACTGCTCTCGTTCATATCCAAGAGAACCATCACTGCCATTGTCCATTCGCCCTTAGATGATTTTGCGCTTTCGATCGCTGACTTATTTGAACTTGTTAATCAAAGTTTCAACTGTTAGTTTAGCTTTTTCAAGTTCTGAAAATGCCTGGGGTTTAGTAGTTACGGCACTCTTTAATTGATCTTTCAACTTATTTAGCTCTTTTTGGACCGAGTCTCCTTTGCCAATATTCCCTGGAAAAAAAAAAAAAAAAGAGTGAACAAGAATCTGAGGTCCAGAGAATTGACTGAAAACAAACATGGTTACATGAGTTACAGGAGAAAAAAACACATCATTTACATAATCATAATTTCTCAGAGTTGCAAGTAATTGAGTAAGTGTAAAGCAAGTGAAGTAAATTGACAGCAATGAGTTATACAACTATCAGAATAGTGATTGGAAAAATTTATTTAGATTAGCTAGGGAGGCCCTGTTAATCAGGGAGACATAACAGGCTCAAAAACAAATACCACATACCCAGTAAGTCAAGGCACATTCAACAGGATTAATCAGAATCATTTATGCGAATACATACGGTAGTCAACAGAATTAAATAGCCTCATAATGCATCCCTGAATATTAACATTACCTAACTACACCTAAAAACGAACTGTAAATATATAATATAATGTGGCTTTCATTGTACAGCAGCACAAGACAAAAGAGCTCAGAACCAAGTGGAAGTCCAATTTCATGGGAAAAAATACAAATCATTCTGATGATGAAGTTGGAAAGAGGAAGAAGAAAACGAAGAAAAAACATTTACCGAGACAATTGAACCAGGACCAATAGAAGCCGCAAGCATGGCGGATTCAGACAACCAAATTTTACAGTGTTTGGAGCCTAACCCTTTAGTATTAGCAGCAGCAGTAGTAGCAGAATCACTGCAATAGAGTATTTCTCCATAGCGATTGAGCCACTGCAGAAAGATTCATGCATTAGCTTAATAACTCATGAGATGCATATTATTCTGCTTTCTAATTACGATTAAGCAGAAAGGAAAGATCAAATCCTCTGCACAGTTAAGGATGTCCGCATTCAACCCAAAATAAATAAAAATTTGCTCCTTTTAGGACCCCGTGTTTTCTATTTTTTGAAACACAAAGAAACAATTTGCTGTTTTCTTTTCTCCCCATTCTTCTAATCCTACATAATAGAAGATTAATTTAACATATCAATTACAAAAAATAGAGATAGATAATCACAGAGCAAAAAGTGACAATTTACATTTCTCAAAAGCGGCAGCTTTTGCTGACTTAATTCTATTTAAAACTTCCCTAACAGCAACTGAAAATTTTACATCTTGCAAAGCCTATGTTATACAAAGAAACATATGTTAAAGCTTTCATAACAAAGAAGAAGTCTTAAAGCTTTTATTGTGAAAAATTGATACCATCACCTCTTTGGTACCTTTTAAGCAGAACATGTCGAGCCCCATAGTTATCACGTGTTATTTCAAAGCTTGCTTTACTATCATCACTTTTTGCAGAATGATCCATCCCCCAGGACTTACGCCATACAAAATGCAGCACGCCTTTCTTTAAAGTGTGATGCCCCCATCGCTTACTGCCTGCAAAAAATTTGTTGTTCCATCCCACATAATTAGAGATTTATAATGAAGAGAAGTGGGTGTTTCAATCTGTATCATTTCATAAATTAATCAATGGACGCCAATTTTCTTTCTTTTGGTTAATCAAGGGACGGTAATTTTCAGCAATGAAGATCTAGGGTTAGAATCATACCAGGGAGATGAGTATAGAGCAGAGACCTAACCAATGAAGGAGCCAAATTTATAGGAAGAAATGGAAATAAAAGGGCAATTGTAACTGGTTATGGAAATTAAAAGGTTAACCAGTCATTTGCAACATAAACATATTTGACAACAATTTTAAAACTCGGATTTAATAATAAAAAATACGAATGCCTTTAAGAGTAATGCTTGCCCCGGGCATTTGCCCGGGGCGTCTTCCCACCTAATAAATTAATATGTAAATAATTAAAACTGATTAGAAATGAATAAATGTTCGGGGGCGTCCTCCCACCTAATAAATTAATATGTAAATAATCAAAACTGATTAGGAATGAATTTAGTTTTTAATGAAAATAATTGATTAGTCGAAAATTAATCTTTTCAAAAATCCTAAATAAGTGGAGAAGGAAAATTCCATTCACTGTCAAATTCAAAATTTGAATGAATATGGACATCTGATCTATTTGTTAATATTGTAAATATATTTTTTTGTTTTTAAAAGAGGGTGACACGTGGCAGAATAGTTTATGCAATATGGTGCATTTGGAGCCAAAACCTTTTAATAAGAAATTGGCACATCAGCATCCTGTTTTCGGGGTTTAATAGGGTAAAAAGGGATATTGATCTTTCTTTTGCTCTTTTCAATAATTCTCCCAAAAATAATTGGGTACACTATAATGCGATATAAGTAGTAAATTCTACATTAATTTTTATGTGAAATACTTTATCAGATTGGAGCTGAACACATAAGAAAGTAACAATAATGTGTGATAGAATCTGGAAGTACATTTTGTAAATAACAAATGTAAATTAATATATTTCCATGTCGAATGGAAATGTACAGCATTATAATTAGAGAGACAGACATAGGCGCGATGCACAGACATAATAGTACTTTAAGTTTAAGATGAAACGAATCCGTAAATACCAAAAGCTAATTCACATATTAATTCTGTAACGTCATTTATTTATACCTAAACAGAAAGGAATTCATTTTACTTTATCTTTTAGTTAAAAATATCCAATATTAGGATGGCATAAAAGCGGAGGTCCATTCTGTTAAGCTGTTATATAAACAAAGAGCTAAAAAATTGCTACTGCTGGAAACACAGAGGACAGAGAGAGAGAGAGCGCGCGAAAGGAGAAACGGAGGAAGACAGTTCGGCGACGTCTCAAAAATCTTTCACAATCGAATTCCGGTCTTACGGAGCTTTACTTGAGCTCATACATTCTCGTTCGGAGACGAATTTCCCGGCGTTAGAACTCTGGTCAAGCTTCTTTCACCTTACCGGTGAGTTGGCGCTCGTTCTGTCGTTGTAGGCATACGCGAAAAGGTTCCATGTAAAATAGTGTTGTTCGATTTAATGCTAGCTTTGGAATTTTATCGTCGATTTTTTCTCCTGATAGGTTTTTCGCAGCTAATTTACATGTTTACGGCTTTTTTTTTTTTTAATTTTAATTTTATTTATTTATTTATTTATTTTTGGCATTTCGCTCGTCAATTTCTGGTTTTCTCTTTTGGAATTGTGCGTCGGTCTAGTTTAACACTGTTTCCGGAGTTCTGTGAAGATTGAATGTGTTTAGGTTGTTGACTATTTTAGTTGTTTTGGTCGATAGGTGGTTTAGTGAGCATACTGTGGAATCAACATTGATAATTGAATTTGTGAATCGGTGACGTCCTTCCTATGTTTCTTTGTTTTTTTTTTTTTTTCCATTTAGCTCGTCAATTCCTGTTGGTTTAGTTAACACTGTTTCTGGCATTCTGTGAATCTTGAATGTGTTTAGGTTGACTAGTTTAGGCTGGTTGATGGGTGGTTTAGTGGGCACAGTGTGGAATTTACATTGATCATTGATCTTGTGAAACACACATATTATAAAATGAATGGTGAAACTTTGGTGCTTTTTGCTAAATTATTAACTTGTTTTTGGTTACATTTTTTCAATTTGAAAATATAAACCTCAGGTTCTTGGATCGTTGAAGACTAGAGAATGGACAACGAGGAAGAGGTAATTAACTTGGGAAGCGTCTGGTCTGAATATCTAGTCACTTTTCTTTGATTTTGTCTGGATTTTGCTTTTTCTCCCAGGATCTTGGCAAGTATCTTAAGTGGTTACAAAATCCTGATTCAAGCGTTCAGGTTCATAAACAGGCCTTAGAAAACATAAGGTTGGTAATACTTTAATGTTTGAAGTTTCAAATGCATCAGTTATCTTGTTTTATCCCATTGAATCGACTTTTCTGTTTCTCTGAAGATGCTTTACTTCTTTCTTTTAGGCACATAATCACGAACCACAAAAACTCTATGAGATTGAACTCGATCTTAAAACCACTGAAGTTTTTACAACCTCATTACGGAACACTCAGACATGCTTACAAAAGCATGGCTGATTCTGAGAATAAGGTATATAGTGTCAATTGTCGATTGGGTATTTCGTTTTTACTCCTTTCACAATTTTAACATTTTATCTTGTGTTTTTCTCTCCTCTCAGAAACTTCTGAAGGACATACTTTCTGTTTTAGCCTTGACGATGTCGGGTGTCAAAGTACAGGTATGTTATGTGGTTTCATGTGTTAAGCGTATTCGCACCATGCTTTAATATTTGCTGTAGTTCAATACGATCTTCGTCGTAATTAATCAAACGGGAACATTACTCTATTTTGGACATCACCAAGTATTTGTCTTGTTAATTTGTTCAGATGTTTATTCTTGCAGGAGAGCTTGGCCTGGAGTTCTGATGCCTGGGTTCTTGATTATGTAAAGTAAGAGAATCCATCAATAGTAGTCGTCTTTCTTATACCATTCGTTAGAAAAATATCTTCCAGTCTTAAGTAATTAAGAGGGCGATTATCTCATTAATGCAGGGACATGACTGCTGTAATTTCGGAAATTTCTGCTTCTTCAGTGAAGGTGATGATTGTTCATTGAACTAATTATCATAGCTTCTATAGGATTAGAAACTGAAATGCAAGTGCTGTTACTTCTTATCGAACATGGCTTGCATATGGTAGATTTTCTTATTATCAAGAATGAAAGCTAACAACATGACAATAATATTTCCAATAGCCACATCTAAGTTGTCACAAGTCATATCATGTGAGAAATTTCATGCAGGTTGAAGAAGATGTTGAAGATGATTATGATGATCTAATGGAGCTTGTCCATCGTCTATTAGCTTTTCATATGCAGGTAACATACTTCCCATGCTTTCATACGTGATTCCCCTGTCTTTTCTTTTCTTTTCTTTTTTCTTTGTTTTTCGTCACTTGCTTTAATCCTGCAGTCCATTTATGAATGAATAGGTATGGTTAAAGTATAATAGCTGCTTGGTCATGAGCAAGCTGTCACGGTGATATATTTACGAATAGCTTGTGTTTCTTCGCTTTGTAATATATACATTCTTTGCAGCGCAATGCTGAGAAAGAGGCTGTTGATCTCTCAGTAGAGGTAAAAATTTTGTTATGGATACTCCTTTATGTAGTTGTAGTTTTATGCGAATATGTTCAATTTCTGCCATTGAACCTGTCTAAAATCTCTCCTACTTGCTCTAGGTGAAAGGTTTTCATCTCTTGGTGGATGTCACGGAGCAGCCAAATCTTGAGAAGACCTGTGCTTATCTTTTGAACTTGGCGAAGTAAGTGGTCTTTGTTGTGTGGTCTTGTCCCCTTTGATTGTGGATGCAGTGTCTGATCTTTGCAATTTTGTTTTACAGGAAGCTTTTGGGAACCAGCGACTTTTCACTTCTTGACACTGCATTCGAGATTTATGTTAAATTTGCAGATTTTCAAAGAGCATTTCAAATCGCTTTGTACCAGAAGCCATATGACTATAAAATGAGGGTCTGCTGCTTATCATGTGATAATGCTAAAATCTTTGCTTCTTATCTTATAGTCAGTCTGATGTTCTAAATTGTCGGTTGCAGAATTTGAAGACTATTTTCTCTAAAGTTAAAGACATTTCGCTGAAGAAGCAATTCTGCTTTATACTAGCTAGACATGTAGGTCTATGCGTTGTTATTTCTTAAGGAATAGACGTCACACTATACTTTTTCATCTAAAAAGTGCTTGCATTCTTGTTATTTCAAGGAGTATCCTTTTCTCTCTGATCACAGGGAATTTACTTCCAGCTTAATGAAGCAATGTGTGGTGATGATAAACTGAGAGAGGATTTGAATAGAATCACCCACAACGTATATCTAAGGAATGCCTACTTAAAACTTGCTCGGGCATTATATCTCATGGTTCCCCAATATTACCAAGATATCTGTGAGGTGTGTACACACTATATTACTATTTTCTGCAGAATGATTAAACTTTGCACTTTCTGCAAAATTTTACTTACGGTCAATGTCTTTTGACATTTTCTTATTTCCTTTATGTTTTCTGATTGCTCGTTATGGAATCAACAGGTTCCTTTTCCTGGTAAGGCTTCGATAGTGGATGGAGAAATTAACTTCGACGTTGATCGAAAGAAATTGGCATCAGCGTTCGTGAATTCCTTGGTTAATGCGGGTTTTCTTTGGGTAAAGAATGCTCATACATTATAAATAGTAGCTGTTCTTTTTTCGGCACTTAATCTGAGTTGTCAGGATTATGTTGCAGGATGGGGGCTTATCCATGAATTCTTCACTCTGTGACATGGTCTGTCATGCAAAGACCAGTGCTGTAGCAAGCATCGGTTTACTTGTCCTTTGGTGGGTAGATTCGAAACCTTCTGAGTTGTACAATCGCTTAGAAAGTGCTGATGGATCTGTTGTAGATGGTGCATTAATAGGCATAGGAATCATGAACTGTCGTGTCTGGAACGAAAAAGATCCTGTGAGTTTCTCTTTGCCTAAAAGCAGTTCTCTTTAAAGTGCTGGTTTTGCTGAATGATAGTTTATATCTTCTTACTTGGCATGGAAATTTCTGTCTCAGCCATTGCCACTGCTGGCGAAGTACATAAGAAATAATTCTTATATCCCTAGGGATATTCCACAGCAACCTACTCCTAAAATTGGTGCAATAATGGGTCTAGCACTTGCATATGCTGGCTCTCAGAATGAAGAAGTAAGGTTTTTCTTTGTCTCACGATTCCAATGGTAATAGTCTTTCATGCATAGGTGGTTTTTGTGACTATGGTGCTTATGATGGTGGTTATTTTTCCTTACAATTTCCAATTGCTTTATTGATTTTTCTTAATTTTTTTGCTTTCCCCAAATTGAATTGATTTGATTCTTACTGCAGATTAAGGGTCTTTTAATCCCCATAGTACGTGGAAAGGGAGGAGCATCGCATGATTTAATTGCATTTGCTGGGTTGTCTTTGGGTTTGGTGTATCTTGGTTCGTGCAACAAACAAATTTCCAGAGCAATCACTCACGCGTTGATGCATGCTGAGTTTAAGCATCATCTGACAAGACTGTTGCCTCTTGCTCTTGGACTTCTGTTCCTCGGTCAGCAGGTAAATATCTCTTCGAACATTTACTTTTTTTTATTTCTCAGAAGATTTGTACATTACCAAGATTCTGGTCATAATGTTAATCAATTGTGTAACTGCATTTTTGTCGTTCATAGGAATTGGCAACGGATGCTTTTGACAAGCTGTATAGCTTACGCAAAGAAGTTAGAAAGTATTGTGAGATCACACTGCTATCTTGTGCTTATGCAGGCACTGGCAATGTATTAAAGGTTTGAGCTTCGTAGTTTCTATGATTATAACTGTTTGATGTTAGATAGCTTTTATAACTACACCCATATAAGCAGACGTAAATGTTAAGATGTTACCTTGTTACAGATTCAAGAATTTGTGGGACAGTGCACTCGGCGTAAAGAGGAAAGCTTCCATGGTTCAGCTGTGATGGGGATAGCATTAGTAGCAATGAGTCAAGACCTAGATTTTGAAATGGCTGTTCGTTACCTGGATCATCTTCTTCTTGATGGCAATTCAAATGCAAGGAAGGCAGTTCCTCTGGCTTTGGGTCTCCTCTGTGTTTCCAATCCTAAGGTTGGTATCATTAATATGTTATTGCCAATTATAAAGATCTGGAGTCCGTAGATTTTTATTTAGGAGTGGTTTTTGTTGATCTTTTACTCTGTTTATCAACACTTGCGCATAAAATGGTCTGTTTAGTCGTAATTGATTAGAGTCGGTGCACTTTTTGTATAAATAGTAATATAAATGGAATCAATTTAAAAGGAGTATACTGAAATCAACCATTTCCTTGAGGTTTCTATCCATCTTTCCTTGCTACTCTTCTTCTAAATATTCTTGATGCTCTGAGCAAGTATCCAACTTGGTGAGGAAGCATTTAGGAGTAGTGTCTATCAATGATAATTTCCGTGCAGCTTTGGATTCGGGTGTATTCACTGATTGTCATTCACATATGTGCTGTGAACACAAGATGTCCCATGGAAATATCCATGTATTTTAGATCAATGCAATGTAAACATGGCAGTTTGAGAGAATCTTAGATTCCCGCGAAGTAGGGGAGTTTTGTTGAGTTCTGGAGGGTTTCCCTGCTGCTTCCTATGATACAAATCACTTGCATGCTGCTGTTGTGGAGAGTAAAAAAATGTTTCTGCATGTTTCTTTTTGCCAAGGGCCGCTTATTGGTAATAAGGGTCAATGATTCTTGCATTTAGCAGCTGCCCTTGAATATAGGGCCGCTTGTTTTAACTGGTTCCAGAGTCAATATAGATTCTGCCCTTCTTTGTTTAAAATTATTTGGGTGATTTATGTCAATATACTTGTTTGACTCGTCCTTTTGTTTTTTCTTAGGTGGATATTATTGCCAAGCTAGGAAAACTAACGCGCAATCAAGACTCACTTATAGCAATGGGAGCTATAATTTCATTGGGCCTTGTTGCAGCTGGAACAAAGAATATTCTTGTGTCCAAGAAGCTTCACGCGTTATCCAATTACTACCGCAAGCAATCCCGGTTTCTTTTTTGTGTTCAAATTTCGCAGGGCCTTTTGAATTTGGGAAAGGGGTTGTTGACCCTTTCCCCATCCCATTCCAACGGACTTTTGTGGTCACCACCTGCCCTGGCGGGTCTGCTTACTACATTGCATGGTTTCCTGGATATGGAAACTTTTTTCTTTGGGGAATATAGTTTTGTCTTGTTCTTTTTAGTCTTGGCCATGCAGGTAGCTACTTGAGAACTCTTTACTTTCTCTTTTTGTTTTGTGATTGACAATTTTCTTAGTCTCATTTTGCTTTTTCATTTTATTCTTAATCTCTTTTCCATCCGATTTAATTGCAGCCAAAGTTATTGTGCACATTCAATGAGGACCTGAAAGTGATAAAAGCAGCGGTGGAGGTGATTGATAAGGATGCCAAACCAAAAGATGGCATGTCCATGACTCCCATTCTCCTTTCAGCTGGGGAAAGGCCAAACTGGCGGCCACCGAAACTAGGTGCGATCTCTCATGTCCTTACCCTTTCTCTTTTTTGTACTTATTCCCACTTTCTTTATACAGTTAGCTCTTCTCCTTTTTCCTATACTTATCCTAGTTCTCCATGTGTAGATATTGCTCGCTAGCCCCAGTTTTGGAGGGTTTTGTAATCTTGACGAATAAAGATTGATGAGTTCGAGCACCTTGTACAGTTTTGGATATTGATACTAAATCGTACATGCTATGAATAGAGCAATAGCTGGATAATTGTTGTACTGAAGGGTCTATAAAATTTCATCTCTTTTTGAGATTGATCTTGAAAGAAGGGAGTCTTTTTCTGTGACTTTACTGTAGCTTATAGGGCTAGGAATACATACATGGTCTAAGTTCTAAACCTTTCCTTAGGATTCTCAATCTATTGAATTGCTGATTGTAAGGATTTGAGTCCCAAGACGGAGAAACTATTTCTCATTTGTATGCAAGAAGCTCAAGTCAATCTCTTCTAAGTACTGCCAATTCAACATTTTTGTTGATGCGTTGGTTATGTTTTCGTCATTGCCTTGTGATTGAGTAGAGTACTGTGTGTGCATAGATTGATGAATGGTAGTTTCTTTTGTCGAAAGGAAGTATTAGTTTTACAAGATGAACTTAACACGCTAGCCATAGGGCACCAGAAAGGGAAGAGGGCAGAACCATGGGAAGTAAGCGGCTAAGAGCTCTTAAGTAGGTAATTTGTTTTGATTTGCGTTTATAGGAGGCCAAATTTTTTGAATTTTGACTTTGATTAAGAGGAATTCGTACGGTTGCAGAAATTTTCCATACTTTTGCAAAAGTGTGTAGAGGCCTTTATGAGCTCTGTTTTTACTTCTTTGAATTTTGTAAAATTCTACTGCGCAAATTTTGTTGCTTTATTTGTTTTCCTATTGTTTGAACCTAGATTCCTCCATGCATTGAATTTTGTTGTTAAAGTTGAATCTTAGGCTATCCTTTGCATGAGTTTTGTTGTTGTGGTTGAGATGATGTATGTGTCGCATGCGGGGTGTTTGTTTTTTGTTCTGCTAGGTTGTCATAGGATAATTAATGAACAGATTTTTGCTCTTGAGAACCAACCAGTTGTGTTGTGTGAGATATTGGTACTTGATATGGTAATCCTTTTGGTGTCGGTTGAGTCCTATTTACTACATTCTGTTGGTGACTTGCCAATTCTAATTAATAGGGCGTCAGCGCTCTTGATTAATGATTTGAAGTGTGCGCTTTTTGTGTTTACTTGTACACGTTGCAAATGCAGCCCTCTGTTATTGCTTAAATAATGGACATTTTGCTGCATTATTCATTTTAGCTTCATGGAAAGTTTAATCTTCAAAGAAAATGCGATTTTGTTCTCCAATTATTGGTGGTGTTTCTGCTTCGGTTGGGTGCCACAACCCAATTTTTCACTTCCAGAAGATGTCTCCTTGCTACAAAATCAAGGACACTTTCAGAGATTTTTGGTGTATGCATGCAACCTATTTGTCCTTTTTTTTTTTTTTTTTTTTTTTGTTTCAATGAAAATTGTGTATGTTTATGAAGTACACTATCAAAGTAGAAATGTTTTTGCAGTTTTGCAGAGGTCGGTTTCATTTGTAGACATGATTCATTATGTTTCCATTTGGCAAATGAGAAAGGGTTTTGTTTTCCGATGTGTTTTAAAAAATAATATGTATAACCACAATGAATTACCACCCATTGGTGAAATGATGCAAATAGCATTTTGTGTTTCGCATCCACATAAAGGTCGATGCTGGTTGCATTGTCAAGACTGTAGCCAATCCTCTTGCTGATTAAGGGCTTGCAATGTTAGGCCATATAACACCTCAAAGAAAAAGTTCAATCAAGATGGAGCTTGGAAAACATGGAAGTTGGTTTTAGCCTTTTAGGGGCAACCATAAGGTTCTTCTACCAGACACACGGAATAACTACGGGTTGATAGTGTTTTTGCTTTGTACTGCAAATTGGCGCCTTTTAGATTAAGGAAAAGATTTTTAAACAAATCCCAGTCCAGACATGCTCCGCCCCTGCACGAGTTCCTCCTACCTAGCAAGTTTGGTAAGGAAAATGAAAAGCTTCACCAAATTTTTGGGTTAAAAAACGGGATCTACCTCGAGTAGAGATAACATCATAACCGTTTCCACCACACCCCCGGTAATAGTCGACCAATGGTAGCTTGAAGTTAAATAAAAACAGAGAATCCATCTCCCCCCGGCCGCTGCAAATCGACATGGTCATGGCCGCCTCTTTCTACCAGGCGATTCTGATCGACTGTGCCAATAACAACAATATTTATTGTTTATTTGTGAGGTTTAGAAGTGGAGGGGATGGCGATACAAGATGTTGAGGGCCGACTGGCGGGGGAGGCGGAGAAGGATGGGTACTGGGGTGGGGGAGAGCAAGTGAAAAGAAAGACGGGGTTTGAAAAGTCAACGAGGGGTTGCAATGTTTTTTTCTGCTAATGAAAATCTGCCTGGTATTTCATTATTTTGATCATTTTAGGCATTTGTCACTTTGACCCAAGCTATTTTACTCTAATCCCGTCAAGGGGGTCTTTCGTAGTATTACAAAAACTCGGGGGGTAAAACGGCCAAAAACACTGGGTAAAATGTTTTCTTCTCCGATGAATTGAAAGCAAATCATCGGAAGAAAAAGGAAACAAAAATTCGCCCTTATCCCGTTCCCCGAGGGAAAAGGATGGAAAGGAGTTCCAGTTGGTTCCCATGTTCTTAAAATCTTATTTAAGAAGGCCCATGGGTACCAGAAAGAACTCCAAAAAGTTCTCCAAATAGCCTCCCCCGATTAGAGATGCGTTATTGCAAGCTGCGCCGAATGGAAGCTCTCTCGGAAGAATTATTCTTCAACATTCTGGTATGGCTTCCGGCCAAGTCCCTGATGAGATTCAAATCCGTCTGCAAATCATGGAATGCCCTGATTCGCGACCCTCGTTTCGCTCAAACCCATTACACCATTAATTCACACACCCGCCCAGATTCCTCTTACCTCCTATTTCATCTTGTCGATACACCTTCACCCCCATTAGAGACAGATCCATGCGCTATCGTTCCCGCCAATGTTCATGGAATTTTCTCCAATCAGCTTCCGGAATACTACTTTAGATGCCACGAAGCACCTTGTACACGCCTTGTCAATGGTCTAATCTGCTTTGAGAATTGGCGCTTATTTCAGGTTGAATTGCTCAATGTGACGACTCTGGAAAAACTAGTTCTTCCGCATCCTCCTTCCCCTGAAGCATTTTCTTCCCGCTGTTATTGCTTAGGATTCGATCCAATCAGCAACCAATTTAAGTTAATTTACTTACAGAAGTGCGTCATCACCGCAGACACAAAGCGTTACATCCTCACTTTGAGCAGGGATATGTCCTGGAGGGAGTTTCCAGAAGATGTCAATTTCCCTGATATATCAGGAAGGCACATATGTGTTGATGGTGCAATATATTGGAGAAAGAAATTATCTTTGAATGGGGAAAGAGTTGTTCAATACTTTGACGTTGCGGAGGAGAGGTTTAGGCGCCTTTCCATTCATCATCAAGTCCGTAACCAGAGTTTCGATTCGGAGTTTATTACAGAGATTGGAGGCAAATTCACCTGGGGTGGATTCCACAAGTCCACAGCTCAGATTACACTGTGGAGACTGGTGAACAAGCATGACGAGCTCTGGGTCAAGTCCGAAATCCAGCTACCCAAATCGTTTCTGCGTGGCCGGAGAAACATTAGCGTTGTTGGCAGCACAAATACAGGTAAGGTCCTAATCACAAATGTAAGGTTAGTGAAGAATTTGCGGCACCGGTCTCGGCCTTTTTTGATGCTTTTTGATTTGGAAAAGAAAGAAGAAAAGCATCAAACTTGTTCACTTCTGCGGCCGTGTGACAACAAGGAGCTCTTGGCTTTTATGGCTGCGAGGGGTGGGCCTTATTTCCATCTTACTCTTCATGTGGAGAACATTCTTCCTCTACATCAATTTAATAAACCCGAGTAAGTCGTATTAGTGAGGATTGAGACCTTATGTAACTTGCACCTTAATAAATTATTGAACTTTTCTTGAGAAATAATGTTAAGAGTGAGCATGAATAGTACAGAGAGAAATAGATTAGTTGGGATTGTTTATTTGTTTGTTTTTTAGTGTATTTGAGGAGAACTGTTTTCCATGGATTCAGCTTGTACTGTTTTAAATTTATTTAGGAATTTCAGTTTTGTGGAATCCCGTTCATGGTTGGTTGCTAGGTTTGCCAGTTTCTTTTTTTGCCTCGTTCGTTGGTTTAGTCATGTTCCATCGACTTCCGACTTGATCAACGGGAGAGAGGAAGTTTCTCTGCTGCTCCTTTCTGCTGCATTGCTGTCAATCAACCGAGTAGAAGAATACAAGTTACTATTGGTGTAATAACCTCTGAAGTTTGACCTACGTGATTCGGAATAGAGACCAAGAATGTACCAGTTTGGTCCTTGTATCATCAATCTGTTTGGGCTGTATGTGTCTTCTTATCGGAGATTTGAAATTTGTTTTTTGAATATTGAAGTTGCTTATGGACTACGGGGACCTAAATCCCCTACATGAGATTATTGTGTTATCTTTCAGTGAGTTGGAGAGTTGCAAGAAACTGCTATAGGCTTTTAGCATTCTTTTTTTTTGGTTAAAGATGGCTGCTTTTTGTCGCCTTCCTGGATGATAAAGATAGATATTGTTTGTTTTCCCTTCAAGTGCGTGTGGTGTTGTTAATAATGTCATGTATTTTGGATTTATTATGAGGGAAATGGTTTGCCTCCCAGTTGCTACAGATGGCTTAGCCGTTCTTTTAGCTGCAGCAACGGAGACAATGAACCGAAATGTGCCTTGGGTGTTAATTACATGAAGTCGGAATTTCTTTTGCCTCAGGTATAATAAGTTACAGTTCTCCCATGATGATTTTGGTTCTTTTTTGAATCATTGGATGATCAAGTACTGTTTGTGATCAGATATGTGTAACTCTTTTATTCACCTGTATGTTCTGATATTCGATGGAAAATTGTGCCTTTTGCTTATGGAAATGTATCTTGCTCTTGATTGGTGAGATTGTTAGATTTTGGCTTAGCTTACTGTTGAGAACAACAATCCTTTTGGTTATCTTACATTTTCATTAGTACATTGTCTTACTCTATTAGTTTTGGGTTGATGAGAAATAAAAAACTTCTACTTAGTTTTATGATGTTATGCTTTCTTGCTGTCTTGAAGATAAATCTGTGAGGAATAGGGAAGAGATTAGGCTGGTTTTCTGCAGTGAAAAAGGTTCTCTGCTCAGATTCATGTGGAGGTAGTCCTTGACTCTTTAGACTTACCTATTTCTTTCCTGTTTCTTCACTAGTTTGAATTTCGACATTCTTTCATGTCTTACATTTTGTTGATAAAGTTCATTTTCTCTTTTAATAGAAAAATCGTGAACTCGAAAAAGATGGTTTGGGTGACAAGATGGGATTGAATGGTGGACCGTGTACAGAACCTACAGTGGCTATTATTATGGATGGGGTCCCTCTGCTGTGCGCTTGCCACACCAGCTGCCGAAGCAGCTTGTGCGGCTGCATAGGCTGACAAAGAGGTTGTTTGGCTCACAGATGCAGCCTCTTATCCTGGGACGTAAAAGGTAAAGGTTTCAGCTATCAAAATGCGAATAGCTTCTCGAGGATATATTGTAAGATCATAGATTGCCTTTCTCTGGAGGCATTCCAGCCTAGGAAAATTTTGTCTCATAAAATTCCCCTCTTGGAAAGTCTGCCCTTTTATTTTTCAATTGATCGTGTTGATAAAAGCTTTATCACTGGGGCAATTTTTGGCCAACTGGTCCAATGTAGGAAAATGTACCTCTCATAAAATTCCCGTCTTGAATAGTTACCTTATTTAATTGATCATGTTGAGATAAGCTTTATGGTTGGAGCAATTTGAGGTCAACCTTGTCAAGTATGAACCATTTTGTATCTTCAAGTACACGTGCACTTGGAAAGAAAATCTAACTGTTCATGCGTCTCGCCAGAGGGAACTTTTGGAAGGGAATTGAAAGTAAATTTTCTGTGAAAAATTGTGGCAACAACCCACCTTGAGATGCACTCATGCTTTGGCTTGAGTGTATAATCTTTAAGATTACTGCAAGGAGAATCAGCATGCTGGGGGTAGACCATTGATGACTTTTCCACTTACATAAGTATGTTTTTTCTCCTGCTTGTGGCCCTCCTGTTTGTAATTTCCATCTGTGAGTATGTACGAGTTGAACCATTAGCACTGATAGGTTCGATTTGTTTCTCCTCCTTGTGGTCTTTTTATTTTGTGCCTACAAGCCCTGTCTTCTGCAATTGAGAACATTGTTATAAATGGGAAAGGGATTAGCATAAGAGGGTGCCAAGACGGTCACAGTTACATACTCTGACGAGTCTTCGATCTTGCTTGAGTGTACACTGACGAATCTTTGAAGATTGGCTATCTTTCTGGATTGCTATGCTAGAGAATCAATCTTGACAAGTCCATGATAATAGTAAGCCCTAATTACTCATCCCAAAATCACTACAACATCCACTAATATTCTTTTTCGCAACAAATCTATACAAAATTGATAGTGAAAATTCGTAGTATTATAAAGACTAAAATGTCCAAATGGTACCTAGTCCCAAACATTATATTTTCACACTTTTTTGGTCTCATTTCACTGTTTCCGGTCGTTGACATGCCGGAATCAGGGGTATTTAAATTTGTGCAGGATTTTTATAGATTGCAGCTTTGTTAACAGAGTTTTAGACGGCAGCAGAATCGTTACCTGTATAAATAATTAGATATTAGCAGTGATGTTATGCGTCTGAAACATAGGTTTACAGGGTGTAGGTTAATTAAGGTTAAAATACGCACATCTTACCCCGGGTTTCTCCTTTCACACGTATGGCAACAAATCTAATTTGTTTTGAATTCATGACTCAAACCATATGTTAGTTCGGCACAACTAATGAAAAGAAGAAAAAGAGAAGATTGTATCCGACAATTCTGAGTTTAGCCCCATCTTTAGATCCATCCGCAATTGTTCCCGCCAACGGTTAAGCTTCCAAAATATAATATAAATTTAAAGCCACAAACGACCTTTTACAAGCCTTGTCAATGGTCTAATCTGTGGTAAGATAATTGGGCACCAGTTCAGCTTGAATGGCGTAATGTATGTGACGACACACGAAACATTAGTTCTCCCCGACCATCCTCTTAGCTTCTTGGGATTTGATCCTACTCAATCAATACAAGGTGCTAGAGTTGTCCAATGTTTTGACCTTGCGGAGGAGAGGTTTAGGTTCCTTTCCATTCATCATCAAGTCCGTAAGCAGAAGTTCTAGGCAAATTCACCTGGTGTGGATTTCACAAGTCTAAAGCTGAGATTACACTGTGGAGACTGGTGAACAAAGAATGATGTGCTCTGTGTCAAGTCCGAAATTTAGCTACCCGAAATCTTTTGTGTGTGGCGGGGATACATCGGAGTTGTTGGCGGCATAAACTCAGTTAAGGTCCTAATCACAAACTGTAACCTTAGTGAAGAACTTGCGGCACCAGTCTCGGCCTTCTTTATTGTTTTTTGATCTAGAAAAGAAAGAAAAGCGTGAAACTTCACGTCTGTGGCCGTGTGACATGAAGTGGAAAATATTGACTGGGGGGCTTATAAACTGACTTTAAGATCAAACAATGATGCATGAGAGGTCTCATACTGCCAATTTGCCCAATCCATCCAAGTAGTAGCCAACCATTCAAAACACAAACACAAACAGAAACAGGAAAAATGGAGCCAACATAAACATTTGTTTAATACTCCAAGTAGCCAACCATTGTTGCCCAAAAGTGCACAGAATCAAGAAGTTCTAGACTTCTAGTAGACTAGTAGTAAAGCTACATAGGTACCAGATCAAAAGTGCACTGTACTAACAGCAAATGTACCAAAAACTCTCCATTGCTGTCAAGAAACTATGGTGACAAGGAATACAATTCCTATTGATTCACAGAAGATGAAAAGGCAGGGGTTGTATTGGTTTCTAGATGCAAGGTTCATTACTTCACTAATCCTACTGTCTACTTTACTCTCTATCCTTTGGCGGAAGGGCTTTGTGGATGTGAGGAACCACTTCCTGACCCTGGAATATCTACACCCTGGAACTCCTTCCCAGATTCTTCATGCCTCTCCATCGCCAAAAGCTGCATATATACACAGTATTACAGAAATGAAACTTCAACAATGACATTGAAGTGGCTCCAAGAATTATGTAAAAGACCAAAGGGAAACAAAGCTTTAATTAGTCCTTTCACACAGATCAAGCTGTTATGCGATTAGTACCAGATTATCAAATCAGCCATTAAAATCATAGGCTGGTAAACTTTAAAAATTGATTAAGAACAATTACAATCTAACAGAGTCATCACAGGCTTCATATGGTGAGCAACACAAATGTGCAGAATCACATCAAGATCAAAACTGCATGAGGACTTTCCTTTTGTATCCCTTTCTTCAATGGCAATAAAAACTAGCACATAACACATACCAAATCATATCCTTTCCAATAGTTAACCTACAGCATATTTTGAAAAACCTTACCTACCTCACTGGTCCATCCATAGGTTAGGAGCACCATCAGGGCTACAACCCCACTTAATACATAATTCCTCGAATTCAGACATATCATCTCCCTCGAATACTCTCAGCCTATCCAACACCCAAATCTTCCACCCTGTATAATGCTGGAAGGTCCTCTCAAAATCATCAGTCTCCTTCTTCTTCTTCTTCTCTGCATTTTTCTTCTTGATTTTGGCTGCTTCCTTCAGCGTTTTATACAGTTCCTTTGTTGCTGCCAAGTTTGTTTCTAATTCCACCCTGTACTCGTTCATCCACTCAGGCAACTTGCTACTGGGTGATTCTCCCAGTTCAGTTGGAAACCAGATGCTGTGGATAAAATCTTCATGGACCTTTATAAAACCGCCCAATCCCCAGCGATACGACCAAGAATTCTGAAGAATGAAATACTTCTTCTCAGGGCAATAGCCTACCACCAAGAAGGCATGGTAGAGAGGTTTATGAGGATTATCTTGAACCATTCTCCTCTCAAGATTGGTAGATTTGCGTTTGGATTTAAGCTTGTGGATCTTGAAAGCATTAGGATGGGGTTGGTCATCATCATCCATATACAGCCGCCTCAACTTGTTAGGAACTTGGAGAACAGTGACGCCAGGGCATTGCATTAAGTTCTCAGCCATAGCTTCAATTGAGGTAGCAACCAAGAAATCCTCTAAATAGATTAGAGGGTTGGAAGGATCCAACGAGAACGGTGCTTCATCGAAGACATGATGAGGAGGTGGCGGAACACGGTCCGCAACCTGATTCTGATAAGCATCCTCCCACATGCTGAGGGGATACTGAAAACCCCATAATCCAGCAGCAATGGATGCTTGTAGTCTCGTTGAGGCGCACCCACCCATCAAAGCATAGAGATCATATGGGCAAAGTCTTTTTGCATAACCACCGTCAGTTAAGCCTTCAACGATGTTCTTCTTGGTGGATATAGCTCCAGACATAGCCATAGGCAAACAGGATTGGCCCCTCTGGGCATCAGTTCTCGGAACCAATCTCCGCCAACTCACTCCAGCACCCTTCTCAGCTTCATTAAACAATTTCTTCACAAGTCTCTCCATTCCCCTGCTTCTTTTCAGATTACAATAACAACATCAAAAAAATTGGAAAAAATAAAAACCAAAAAGAGGTACCGATTTATAGGAACGCCAAAACCAACTATTCATATGAGTACTACCCCCACAATTTCTTCCAAGAACAATGTCAGAATTGAAACATTAAACCCAAAACCATCACAGACCCATATTTTTAGTTAGAGGAACACCAACAGACGTCCGCCCATTTCAACACCCCATTGCGAGAGAAAATTTTGACTTACGGTTAGAAAGCTGCAAGAAATTTGCCGTGGTTAGGATCGTTGATCTCTTTTTCAAGGCTTTGAAGTTAGAAGATTGTGGGGTGAAGGGCTGGGAGGGGTTTATTGAGGGTTTTGCATCTTTGAAGTGTTGGAAAAATGGAGATAAGCAGATGGGCGCGTTTTATATTCCAACACTTAAAAGCCAAAATGCAGCAACAAGATTGACCCACCCGTCGAGTCTGCGTAGTAAGCAATACGGTACCAAATAACCGTGGAAATGAAGTGTTAAACATCCCGGGCCGCGTTTTATCTTTCAATTGGGCCCAACACGCAGCAACGAGATTTGTCCACCCGACCATCTTCCAATTGGGCTCAAAATGCATCAACAACATGCCGATGGAGCAAACAATAATCATCCCCCAACCCTCTCAATATACTCTACTCAAAAGGATTGTTGTTATGTTAGAGATTTTCGTGGTAAAAATCTCCATCCCCGCTCCAAAAAGATTATTCTGTTTAGGATTTCGGGACCGATTTCTGCTCCCAGATGTCGCCACATCCTAAATCTGGCCAATTTAGGCTCATATTGAGAGTCTTCACAAAGTATTGCTCCAATCGATAGGCAAGCCTCCATGAGGCCTTTTGTTTGTGACTATGTCACAAGGACTAATAACATTAACCAAAAAAATAAAAATAAAAAAGAGACCTATTCCCCCATCGAGATTTCGTCTTGTCCAAAAAGAAAGAAATAAGGATACATACAATACTATAACATAAGTTTCACAACATGAAAAGGGGAAGAAAAAAAAAAAAAAAGCACAATAAGCTTTGGAGTCAGATAAAGCATATCTCTGAGATACAAAGATCTGAAGCGGCAATTGTAATTCTAAAACCTATGGAAAGAGAAAGGCTCTGACAGAGAAATGTAATCATGTACTTCTAGGGTAACTATGGGATGCTATTTATATATCCACATTTACCTGGACCTAGTACTACTTTGCCTTAAATGGGCATTACATCCTCCAGTTGGGTTTTCTTGGACTAAGACCTCTCTCCCTTTTTTATGTATGACCTCAGATGCAGGCTTAATATGGGCTTCCAATCTATGAGGCTCAATTTTATTTTCATTTGTTTTTTACCTTAATAGAGAGAATGAGAACATTGGTAAAATGTTCTTACCTTAATAGAGAGAAAACAAATGATAATCGATTGTACCAAGCTAATCGATTAATTGGGTTGGGTCGAAATTTCACGGATTAAGCCAATTAACCAACCCGTTTTGGCTAAATTAATTTCGGATCGGACGGTTCGTCAGATCTACCCGATTAATCAGCAGCCCTAGGGGTGAATTCAAAACAGCTAAATCATTCAGTGTAGTGACATACTGTGTAACAAAATATATAGTAGAATATGAGCATAACAACATCCTAATTTATATAGGCTCCAAGATGAAATAAAATTACAGGTGTTATCAACTATTAATACATTTTTCTTAACGAATTTAGTTCGATGGTTCACATTGATTTGCCGGCATACATGACATTATCCCGATAGATCTGAATTGACAAACAGAATTGATAACGTTAACAACTTTTATCTGAATTGCCAAACGAAATTGATCTGAATTGCCAAATGGAATTATTCCGATTGACTTGTTAAGGCTTTTGTAGCATATGTTTGATCCATCAATATGATCTTTAGTACTTTGATTTTCTATACATTTTGCCTCTTTTTATTGTACCAAGAAATGCTGAGTATTTTGGTCGGATTGGCCTAAGAAAGCGGCCAGTGGTACTCAATGTGATTGCGAGTTTTTACCTCGTCTCGGAATGACTGTTCAGTCCATGTTGGACAATCATTTCAGAATAAAGAGAAAATATAAAGGACAAAATGCACTTTTCCTCCCCTAGCTTTTGAGGGTAGCAAGATCGAGCCACCATGAATTTTCAATTGATAAAAATAGTCCTCTAAAATATTTTTCCTATCAAATTTAATCAATTTAACAGAAATTTTTCAAACTTAACGGGTCAAACTCGTTGACCGTTAAATCTTTAATTTTTTTAATTAATTTCCTAAATAGTGGGGTCCAGTAGTTTGATCCAAACAAAAAAAAATTTCTTTTTTCTTTTTAAATTATAAAAAAATTTCTTTGACCCAAACCCTATTCCCTGATAACTTATAAATTTAAAAATTAATTTTCCCTAAAATTTATTTTCCAATAAATAGTTACCCCAAAAAATCATTGTTTTCTTCGCTGCTTCACCACCACCAACAAAACAACCGTCCGGCCACCTGCCGCCACTAGTCTCTCCTTAAATCAATCCAAGCCACCGCCCCCCGGCCACCATCATTGTTCCCTTTTCCTACCAAAGCCAAATACCATCCATTATCATAGTTTACCACACCCAATTGAACAAAACTAAATAAACATCAGAGAACTACCCATCATCAAAAATTAAATTGAATCCAAAAGATAAAAAGATTGAATTTTGTCTCTTCCGCCGGAAAGCTCCTTAGGTGGGACCGAAATCATGGAAGCAAAGAAAAATATGGGGGATAGATACCGCCGGAACCAACTTGGATATAATGTAATTGTGATGGAGCTGTATGCTTGGACAGAGGAGTTGCGGCCACAGGGGGCATTTTGAGGAATGACAAAGGTAATTGGCTTGCTGGATTTAGACAAAGGTTGGGGAGAGCAACGGTGGAGACGGCGGAGCTTGTTGCATCCGTACGGGACTCCAGATTGCTAGAGAAAGAGGATTCCCGAAGGTAATAATAGAATTGGATTCCCAGGAAGCATTACATCTCATTCTTAATCCGAGTGAAGTCACCAATTTGGACCCGGAGCTCAGAGCTATCCAAGAGCTTCGCGCTGCGAATTGGGAAGTTTAGTTCTCGCATACAAGTTGAGATAACAACGTTTGTGTTGATATACTAGCAAAATCAGCATTTTAAGACACAAGAATTCTTGTAACTTGATGAAGAGGTGGTGGAAGTGATTGGAGTTGGGGAAGAACGTCAAAGATTCAACCTTTTTTTTTTACCATTTATGGTTAGGTTAAAGTGTAAATATATTTTTAAAAAATGTGGGCCCTTTTCAAAATATTTTTTAACATCTATAGCTCGTTTCAGTAATTAACAGAAACAAAAATTTATTAAAAAAATTGGGAATAAAAAAGAAATTTCTTTAAAAGAAAACAGATTTTTGATATTTTTGTTTTTGAGGAAAAAAAACTTTTAACAAAAAGAAATGTAAAAGGAAAAAGAAAAAAAGATTTTTTTTGTTTGGGTCAAACCAGTGGACCCCACTGTTTAGGAAATTAATAAAAAATTAAAAATTTAATGGTCAACAAGTTTGACCCGTTAAGGTTGAAAAATTTCTGTTAAATTGACCAAAATTGAAGAGAAAAATATTTTAAAAAATTATTTTTACCAATTGAAAATTAATGGTGAGTAGATCTTGCTACCCTCAAAAAGTAGGGGACGAAAAGTGAATTCGGTCCAAATATAAATGTATACATATAATATTGAGCATGAGAATTCAAAAAATAAAAAGAATTGGACTTGGAACGACGCGGGAATATAGTTTGGGGACTAAAAATGACACGCGCTGCATAAAAGTTTTGAACTTATCAAGTGGGAGCACGGGGGCGGGCTGTTGGCAATTCGTTTAGCGCAGACCGGTTTCCCTGAATCGGCGCTGCATAAGTTCACTGAATCCCTCTTTCTTATATTCTTTTACTACATAAACTTTCTAAATCAGAATGCAAGCATCAGAATTCGAACCCTAGAAAAAATCGGCGACAATGGAAATGGATAGTTACGAGATCGTGAAGAGGGTTGGCGAGGGAAGCTATGGAATGGTTTACCAAGCCATAAAGAAGGCTACTGGCGAAGCCGTGGCCATCAAAGAGACACGATTGCACGAGAATGAGAACGGTGTCCGCCAGCTTTACATCCTCCAAACGGTCTGCAGGGGTCGCTATGTCATCAGGTTTCATTTCCCCCAATTTTATTTTCTTTTAGTCTAATTATTGAACTCTTGGCTGTTCTTCGTGTTAATTTTCGAACGGATTATGATTTTGGAATCTTGCCGGGACTTGGTAAAATAGGTTTTTTTGTTACGATTCTTAATTGGTAATGTTTATCCTGTCTTTCATGAAATATTTTTGAAGCGATCGTCTCTGTTTTGGTTTTTGTATGTGTTTTCTTGGCTGTGATTTCCTCTATAATTGATTGTTGAATTCTCTTTGGCATTTCAACATACAGGCTGTTGGATGTTAAACGAGGCCGGAATAAGAAAGGCGAAACTGTTCTTTTCTTGGTTTTTGAGTTTTTGCCCACTCACCTCAAGACATTCATGGGCAGGTTTCAAAGAAATATTCCTCCAGAAAAGATCAAGGTACCTGTGTATGCTTGCATCTTGCTGGATTTTGTTTGTTCTCCTGAATTTTTAATTTTTTTATTGTTTTTGGTGGATTTTGGTTCAGAAGTCTGTTCAATAATATGCATTCGGCAAATCGTCACTTTTTCTGCAGAGCTTAATGTATCTGCTCTGTAAGGGAGTGGCTTTCTGCCACGGCCACGGAGTTTTGCACAGGTAGATTGTCTTCCTGTATTGTCATTGTCAAGTTTCATTTTGAGGAACGGAATTTTTTTGTCCAGAATTGAACCAAGAATTGTATGATTCAGAAATTTGAAGCCTGCCAATCTCTGGGTGGATCAAAATGCAGAGAAGCTCAAAATTGCTGATTTTGGCCTTGCCAGGGCTAGCCGCAACAATAACATGCGCGACGTATGTCACATTAATCTCTTTTAATTGTTTTCGTAACAGTTCATGAACTGGGGAGGTTCTTGATCTTTTTGAAGTTGTATGATTGATGGCATGTTATGCGGCATTTTCAGGAATTAACCCTCTGGTACAGAGCTCCTGAAGTGCTCTTGGGTTCGAAGCTCAATTCCAGAGCTATGGACTTATGGTCTGTGGGTTGCATATTTGGTACAGTTGGCTCATTACTCTTTTGTGCAATTTATTTTCTAGTTTGGAGGTTAATACTGTATTACATTACACACATACTAAACTATGTTACCTTACCAAAAATCAGCTGAGCTTGTAAACAAAGAAGTCCTTTTCAGGGGGCAAAACAAGCTGTCACAACTGCACCAAATCTTCAGGTTATTGCTTTTCTCCCTCACTTGCTTGTCCTTCTTTGCTTTCGGGTACTGAGTGTCTGTTATAATCTTTAGAATCTTGGGGACACCCAATGAAAGTGTTTGGCCTGGGGTGAGTTCATTACCAGACTGGCAGAAGAAGTTTCATCAGTGGGAGGTTCAACCCCTGAAATCAGTTGTTCCTAATCTGGATGAGGATGGATTGGACCTCTTAAATGTAAGTTTGAGAAGTTTTAGTTTCGCTTCACTATTCGGTAGAAGCAACATCAAATGCCTGGATCTAGTATTTGATAGTAATAAATTGGGAGAACTCCATTTCTTTTGGCGCAGGAAATGTTAAAATATCAACCATCAAAAAGGATCTCGGCAAAGGACGCAATGAAGCATCGGTATTTCAAAGATCTAGACAAGTCGAAGCTTACTTAACCTCAAAAAATCATACTAATGTATAGTGGAGTATTATAAAAGTCGAGTGATATTATATGATACATAGCCAGTAGATGTGTTGCACTTGCTTTGCTTTTCTCCAGCATGTTTGGATGTTGATCATATTGGGAGGAGTTATGTTTGAACCGTGTCCATCACTAAAACTACCAGAATCGGTTGGGTTCTATAGATTGAGGGACGTTTTTTGTGTGGAAATGCTCAAGTGACGGAGCCTTAACTTAGAATCTGCTAGGAATTCATTAGCCGGACTGTGAGTGTTCAGTGAATTCTGCTGAGTAACCTGGGAAAAAGCTGAGCAGGCTTTAGAATTCTGCCTGTAATTAACTGCGAATTTTGATCGTGTTACTAAATTTTATCTCAATGGCCAATTACAGTAAGCTTGAAGCTACAGAGAAGGATGGAGACTGGCATATCTGAACAGAAGCATGGAGACAGAAAAATTAATGTTTGACCGATTAAGGTAATATAGGAAAGATATCAATTTTTGGCCATATCCAATTTATCATCATTTTAGTGCGATCTAGACTAGTGACTTGCAAGTGTCCGTACTAGACACAAGATAGCTCTGTTCATTTCTTTCTTTCTTTCTCTCTTTTTTTTTTTTTTTTTGGGTACAATTTCTTTCTCATTTAATAACGAGAGTACGTGACGTGAGAAAAGTAAACAAACTAATAAAATACTGTAGTACACTTCAATATTTCATTAGTGTCCGATTAATTGTTGCATATGGAATCTTAGCAACCATAAACTAGCCCAGACCAAATGACGACAAATGATGTAACAAATATATATACACAAGGTTCGCAAAGTCGGAATTCTAACTAGATTCGTTTTGAGGTTAGAATCGCGAGTTTTAGAATCATAACTCAGAATCTTAAGATTCTAAGAAAAGTTTGTTAAATTTGTTGAGATAGTAGTTATCATGATAGAGATTACTTATGTAATTTAAAAATTACTTTCATTTGACATTTATGCCTTTTCAAATACAGTTACTTAATTTTAGGTAATACTTTTATCAGGAGTTACAACTTGATAAACAAAAACACAAAATCAAATGTTTTAAATCGCAAGTAAATGCACAATTTCAAATTTCAATAGTTTAATTAAAACATATAAGTACAACTTTTGTCATTGTCTCCTAAAATGCAATATCAAAACACGTCCTAAAAGAACCAAACTAAAAAAAACCATAATCAAAATCAACAACAATTTCAAAACTAAATTATTCATCATCATCATCAATATCGTCATTTTATCAGCACCATAATCATTGAAGCTTTTGTTCCATCCCGCAAGATTTTCGTCACGAGGAGATACACCCTCGTCAATATTACGGGATACCCAATCATAGAAAGGTGGTTTTTTAGAGGAGGAAACGGTATTTTCTTTTCTTTTCTTTTTTTTCCTGAAAGTGAGTAAATGAAACCGTGAAAGACTAAAAGTGATGGGTATTGTAGATTTGTAGTTAATGTTTTTATTTCATCAATAATTTGTGATTTTTACATTGTGTGAAATTGTAAATTAAAATTTTATGGCTCAAAATTCAGCCCCACAGATTTAATCTAATAAGAAAAGACCGAAAATTCTCAAGTAGTAAAATTTCTTAGAATCGTATAGAATCGTAAAATCATAAGATTTTTAACCATCTTAAAGATTCTAGCGAGATTTTAAGATTCTAACACAGATTAAGATTCTAGTAAACTTAGAATCGATACAGTACATTAAAGTCGTAGAATCGTAGATTTTAAGACTTAAAGTCGGATTTTAAAAACCTTGCATATACATATAATATATATATATATATATAAATTGATAAATTTATCTGACAATTTACTACAACAACAACAATAACAACAAGCCTTTTTCCCACTACGTGGGGTCGGCTATATGGATCATATGTCGCCATCGTGTACGGCCGGTGCATAACTCATCGGACAAATTTAAAAATTTCAAATCGGTTTTTATAGTTTTTTTTCATGTTTTGCTAGGTCTATCCCTACCCATTTTAATTTAAAATCTTGAGTCTATAGTTTCTACCCTCCTAACCGGAGCCTCTACCGATCTCCTACGCACATGCCCAAACCATCTTAAACAGTTTTCTCTTATTTTTTCGTCTATTGGAGCTACCCCTACTTTCTCTCTAATACAATCATTTCGAATCCTATCTAATCTAGTATGCCCACACATCCATCTTAACATTCTCATCTCCGCTACTCTCATTTTTTGCTCATTTTCATATTTAGTGGCCCAACACTCGGATCTATAAAGTATCGCCGCTCGAATGGCCGTTCTATAGAACTTACCTTTCAAACTCAATGGTACTTTACGATCACAAAGTATTGACGAGGCTCTACGCCATTTATTCCACCGGTTTGGATTCTACGTGTTACATCTTTATCAATAATTCCATTTCTTCTATAATGGATCCTAAATATTTAAAACTTTTAGATGTGTTCACTTTATGTTCTCCAATCTTAACATTTACCATGCTATTACTCATACGGTTAAAAATGACATTCCATATATTCCGTTTTAGCCCTACTAATTGTAAAACCTTTAGATTCTAACGTCTCCCTCCTAGTCTCTAACTTGGCATTAAACCCCTCCCTTGTTTCATCTATTAGAACTATGTCATCCGCGAATAACATACATTCGGGATAGCTACTTGCAAGTGTTTAGTGATTTCATTAATGACTAAAGCAAAAAGGTATAGGCTCAACGCCGACCCTTGATGCAAACCAACCTTGATGGGAAACTCACCCGAAATCCCTACGGGAGTCCTCACACAAGTTGTTGCATTATCATACATGTCTTTTATTATTTCTATATATCCTACTCTCACTCCCCTCTATTCTGACACCTGCCACATTATATCTCTATTAGCCCTATCATATGTATTTTCAAGGTCAATGAAAACCATGTGTAAATCTCGTTTTCTCTCATTAAAATGCTCACATAATCTTCTTATTAAATGTATAGTTTCCATTGTTGATCTTCTGGGCATAAAGCCAAATTGGTTTTTTATTATGTTTGTCTCTTGCCTTAGTCTAGTTTTTATTACCCTTTCCCACAATTTCATTGTGTGACACATTGGTTTTATCCCCCTATAATTAGCACAATTTTGTATATCTCTTTCATTTTCAAACAAGGGTATTAGTGTACTTTTTCTCCATTGGTTAGGCATTTTCTTACTCTTCATGATTATGTTGAATAACTCCGTAAGCCACTTAATCCCAAATTCGAGAAGACATCTCCATGCCTTTATTGGGATGTCATCGGGACCTACGGCTTTACTATTTTTCATTTTGTGCAAAACTTTCTCAACCTCTTTGATTTAGATTTTCCTATAATATGTGAAATTTTTATACTTCTCACTTAGCTCTAGTTCACCTAGTGTTGTTTCCCTATTATCTATTTCATTAAATAGTTTGTGGAAATAATCTTTCCACCTATCTTTGATGATCTTATCATCCACTGAGACATGCCCATGTTTATCTTTTATGCATTTAATCGGTCTAAATATTTTGTTTTCTTTTCCCTTATTTTTGCAATTTTATAAATGTATTTTTCTCCCTCCTTAGTATCTAATTTTTTGTAAAAGTTTTCAAAAGCTTTTGTCTTTGTCTCACTTACTGCTTTTTTCACTTTTTTTTTAGCATTTTTATATTTTTCAACATTCTCTTCACTCCTACAAGTATATAGTGCTTTGTAGCACACTTTTTTCTCTTTTACTTTTTTTTGAATATCTTGATTCCACCACCATAATTCTTTATTGCATTTATTCCCTTTTGAGATTCCAAGTTCTTTTTTAGCGATTGCTCTTATTTCTTTAGTTACTCTTTCCCAAGTTTTATTGGCTTCTTGTTCCATGTTCCAATTAACTTTTTCAAGTATCGTCCTAGTAAACCTATCTTTTTTATCTTTGTTATTAAGGTTTCACTATTTTATCCTAGGTATTTTAGGTATTTTCCTCTTACATGTATTGGTTTTAATTGTTAAATCTATAACCAACAACTTATGTTGAGTTGTTATACACTCTCCCGGTTTCACCTTACAATCATTACAAAGTTTTTTTATCACTCTTCTTATTTAAAAATTAATCAATTTATGATTTGTTAGAGCCATTTTTATATGTAATCAAGTGTTCATCCCTTTTTTTAAATAAGGTGTTACATATGACAAAGTCATATGCCACCAAAAGGTCCAATATAGTTTTACCTTCATTATTTTGTACCCCAAAACCATAGCCCCCATGAACCCTCTCATATACTTCATTTTTCCTTCCTACATGTCCATTTAAATCCCCACCTATAATGATTTTTTCATTTTGAGGGATTGATTAGATCAATGACTCCAAATCTTTCCAAAATTTTGTTTTAGTTGTTTCGTCTAATCCTACTTGAGGTACATACGCACTAATTATGTTCATGGCCTCATTCCTATTATAATTTTTAAGGTTATTAATCTCTCCCCCTTCCTAACCACCGCTACTACTTGGTCTATGAATAATGAATCCACTATAATACCTGTCCCAATCCTATCTTTCCCACTATACCAAAGTTTGTACCCCGTGTTATCTAAAACTTTGGCCTTTTCACCTACCCATTTGGTTTCTTGTAAACGCATTATATTTATCTTCCTTCTTCTCATACATTCTACTAGCTCTAGAGATTTATTTGTTAAGGACCCTATGTTCCAACTCCCTAACCTACAAGTCTTATCATTTCTATGATTATTCTTAGGTTGTTTTCTACATTGGGCATTTTTCCTAGTTCCCATTATTCCATGCCCTTATGAGACTATAGTGGTCCTTGCCAAGAAGTGAAAGGTTTAACTTGTAATGCTTTCTTGGCGTACGGGGTCTCTTGCACATTTTGCACTACACCCAAGTCTCCATAGAGATGTAGCGGTCCTTGCCAAGACGGTGCAGTAGGACTCTGCAGCGCGCTATGTATAACGGGTGGTGTCCTAACATTTACACGATTTCTTATATGATCCATATTCATGAGAATAGCAGGGTTTTTTAATGCTGGCTGCCAACCTAACGCAAACCCTCCTCCTTTACACTGGTTTGAGACAGTCAACGATAAATTCTAAAGACCTAACAAACTCTAGAGTTTAGCCCAGGCGGAGTTAACTGATAATTTACTAGGAATTCTTAAAATCAATGATTCGGCTAAAATGTTAGTATTAGTAAAAAATAAGAATAAAAAATAAAAATGATTCGCTAAAATCACTGTCGCTAAAATTACAATTATGGCCTTCAATTTTTTAATTTAATTCTTGGTTACCCAAGAAGCAGTGAGCGCCCTATTCGATAATTATTTCTCCAAGTAAATATCTCAATCTCCGTTATGCATTCAATCAAAATCCACCTGTTTTGTTTCCGTCGTTAGTTTAATTGTTGAATGCAGCGCTTCAATTCTGAAGGTTTAATGTAAAAATTTGGAATTTCCTTTGTCTTTTTTTTTTGGCCCCGAGAAGGAATCAAGTGGGAAACATTGTCGTTTTGGCCGCGGGAAAGGTGATCACAGGCTTCCGTTGGACGTCAGTTCATGGGGGGACGCCGGCAAAGGCAGGAGATTCAACAACGAGAAAGAGCTCACCTTGCTCAGCCCATCCCCACTGTTAATCCCGTCGAGGTGTTCTCTTCTTTTTCATTTTTTTAATTCTTTCTCTCTGGGTCCTTGTGGGACGCACTTTGCTGGGTGATTCGCTATTCCTGCCCATTTATCATTCAATGTTTCACAACAATTTCTTGCATCCGTTTTTCTTCTTTTGTTTTGGATTCGGGTGGTTTTCAGTTTTCAGTTTTTTTTTTTGTGGGTTTGAAAGGGTTTTTGTTAAACCTTTTCCTCCTTATTTTTATCTGGCTTTAGTAAGTATAGTTGCTTTTGTTGGTTTTCATTGTGGGAGATTGGTGTCTTTATATTTGTTTAGGCCTGGGGATGGTTAAATTGGAGATTCGTCTGTTTTAGTCATATCATTCGGGTTAAACCCTTTGCCTTGATGGAACAGAATATTCTATTCAATTTTTTTTTTCCCCCTCCCTTTTTCTCTCCATTTGGTCTTTATGAAACACAGAGTTGTCTTCCAATGTGATAACATGTTTGTACAATTGCAGTTATACAACTCTGCTGTAAGATCGGGTAAATTGAGGAAATTTGGCCTGAAGAAGTATAATCCTACAGGTATAATTTTCACCTGTATTGAAGGTGCCGCTGTTATTGTGATCACCCACTGTATGATTAAAACTATATTTACAGAAACAATAAGCCGCGAAACGGTACGTTCCTTAGTTGATGTGTTATCAAGGGATGATGTTACAGAGCTCCAGGTTTGATTTGACGTCACATCTGTTGTATTTTCCTTACAATTTTTCTTGACTATAAGAATTATCTGACTTTATTTTTTCATGTTTAACTAGTTTCATGCTGCCCTGGCTCTAGCAATTATTGCATCTGGGACTTCTGATCATACTAAACTAGTGATGGATGAGGGTGCCGTGCCTGTTTTTATAAAGCTCCTGGGTTCTCCTCGTGATGATATTCGCCAGATGGTCAGTTTTTCCTGACGGCCTTTCTTTGTTTTGCATACTTGGGGCTGAATTGTCAGACTTCTAATTTTTGATGGGAGGTTTCAAATTTGTTTGATGGAATGATTTGTTGATGTGCAGGCTGTATTTGCATTGGGAAACATTGCTGGTGACTCTTCAAGTGATCGTGATTCTGTTCTGAAAGAAAAGGCTTTGCTTCCGTTGCTAGAACATTTGAATGAGCGTCCAACACTTCCAATGCTGAGAGATACAGCATTTACACTGTTAAACTTCTGCCGGGGAAAACCTGGACCTCCATTCGAGCAGGTTTTAGCTGTACTGTATTATCAAATAATTTCTTCCCATTTTTCTCTTCTTTTATTGCTAATAATGAGGTTCAATTATTCAGGTGCGCCATGCCCTTCCCGCTCTTCAGCTACTTGTTCATTTTAGTGACGAGGATGTGTTAACATATGCATGCTGGGCTCTGTCATATCTCTCTGACGGTACAACCAAGGAAATCCAAGCTGTAATTGAGGCGGGTGTCTGTCCACGACTTGTGGACTTACTTGCGTAGGTTTCGCTGGATTATCTTTGGTTTTTCTTTTATCAGTTGATTTCTGATATAAGAACAAATTGTATTTTATAGACATCCATCGCCTTCAGTGTTGATTCCTGCACTTCGCACACTCAAGAATATTGGTAGAGGAGATGATTGTCAGAGACAGGTTCGTTCAATTCACCCATCGCAAAGTTTAATGAAGTTTGAGCTCCATGGTATACTGTATGTCAATGACAGGAGGATAGAATATTTCCTAAATTGTAACTGCTTGCAAACTTGTCATACAGATCTAATCTTTCTAAGCCTGGTTAAGAAAATGTCTTCGACATTGCTGTTTTTTATGAGCCAACAAGTTTATCTGGTTTTTTTTTTTTTCTTCTTTACACCCCCATCTCGGCCCACCAGTTAGTAAGAATTTGAAGGTGACAAAATTTATGATCTGTGGTATTAATATGGTAAGTGTTTTGTCTTTCAGTGTATAATTGAACATCGGGTGCTTCCTTCTTTGCGAAGTCTGTTGCTTCGTGGATGTGATGTAAGTATCACAAAAGAAGCTTGCTTGACAGTCTCTGCTATTACTGCTGGGGATGAGAAGCAGATTCAGGTATAATCCTCTTTTTCTATAACTGACTGATTTAATTTAAAAAATTTGTTTAAGCAGTTCTTTGACGGTTTTTGATTGGACCTACAGGCATTGATTGATGCTAAGTTGATTGAACCGTTGGTGTCTCTGCTGAAAGATGAGAAGTCTGATGCAAAGAAAGAAGCTGGACAGGCTGTTTTAGATTTTGTCTCTGGTGGAACTCGTAATGGAATCAAGTATTTTTCATCATTTTTCCTCTTCTGGTTCTCTAACTTTTAACGCTTTGAACATTAATCTAAAGGTCTGTTTTTACTTTGGGTCACGTTTTACAGGCTTTTTGGTTTAAAGGGCTTTTTAAAGCCACTTTGTGATCTTCTCAGTTGCTCTGATTCATGGATTGTTATCGTTTGTCTAAACGGGATTGAAACCTTATGTACGCCCCGTCAAATGGAAACACGGGGTGGAGGCCTCAATTTCTTTGCCCGGTTGATTGTTGAATCCAAAGGCTATGATAAGATCAAGGGGTTGATGAGCCATCAGCACCCTGAAATCAGTGAAAAAGCAAGCATTATATGTGGCATGTTATCTAGTGAGGAAAAGAAAGTCAAGAAACTCATTGATGATGGAGTCCTTGTTGATGGAGACTTATTTGTTTGACGTGCTGTAATTTGATCCAAATATGATCTACCAGTGTTTTAGTTATTGACTTTTAGATGATGTTATCATGATGTAGTAATTAACTAGATTGACTTTTGGATGAGGTAATCATGATGTAGTGGTTAACTAGATTAACTTCTGGATTTCATCATCAAAAAAAAAAAAAAATACTCCTTCTGTTCCAAAATTATTATCCAGTTTGAGATTTCACTTTTAGTATAATTTTAATTAGAAATGAAAACCCAAACTGGACAATAATTATGGGATAGAGGAAGTAATAACTTCTGGATGCTGTTAACTAGTTTCTGCAGGCGCTGATAAAGAACAATACGAAACTTGAATTTTGGAACGAAATACGAACAAACATCCAATTTTGGAGTAAAAATGTTACAAACACTTGTAGAACTAAACCTTGTCAATATTGAAAACCATTTACTGTATTTATTTATTTAGTTTTTGTCTTAGCAGAGCGACCAAAGAGATTTTGTTTTTCCCTCAGCATGACTAATCCATAAATCTGACGGAGATTTGAAACAAATAGGCTGAGTTGCAGGCCTGCGTATGTAATGTCAGCCTAGCCTAAGCCAGTAACCCTGCAAGTCTTGTACCAATGAATAGCGGGAGCTTTCGAATGTGAAAATCTTCAGCAAATCATTAATTTATCATTTATTAGAAACCTTAATCAATTGATGTTGGGAAAAGCTTCAGTTTGCTCGCTAATCTCTATAAAAAGAAAAAAAGTATGGTGCATCAGTCATGAGTTTGAGTAAGTGTAGGAGGTTTACTTAGCCTGTACTTTTTATTTGAAGAGGTTTCCGGTTCTCTCCGACTCTGTTTTGCCCTTTTTGCAGCTAGGGAAAAGGCTTTTAGTAACTTAAAATTTAGAGGACATTAGAGCTACAATATAATAACGGTTGAAAAGATTGTCCCTCCGAAAAATATTGTTCATGGAGTGTAAATATTCTGCGCGAGAATAAATTGAACACCTTTCGGATGACAATGTAAATATGGCCCGGTTGTACTAGAAGCGCGGAAGTTCTGATTGTGGGCAAATAATCACATGAACTGTTCTTAATCCTCAAAATCTTTGTGGAAAATGATGGCTGTTATATGCATTATGTCCAGATGATCGATGAGTCTACCTTCTCTATGTTGGTTGTTTCAGCTTGCAACTTTTGTGGCTTCTATGTTTCAGTTGCTTTATGATTCTTAGCATGAAATATGCAGGATATTAGAAAATTAAGGAGCATAATGCATTAAAAAACTGGTTGAAATTTACCAGTACTCCGCATGTATCCACTCCTCGGACAACATTATGCCCAATTGGCCATCATCGGACTGCTTGATGACTACACTCCCTTCTTCAGAAAATCCCATACTTGTCATTTGTCAATGCCCTGCATTTAATTGAAATTCGTGGTAGAGCTTCGCCACCTTTTGATTTCTGTTGTGTAAGTGCCAAAATATTGGTGTGTGGCTATATAAATTGGTCTGCCCTTCCGCAAATGAAAAGACGGCTATACAAAGGGGCCATCGCAATCTCAGCACCATGCAAATATTCACAGAAATTTAAGCTGGACTCTCACAAAGTTAAGAAAACCATAGCAAAATTTGGTGTAGAGAAAAGCCACATACCGCACCAATAGATAGAAACCCGAAGCAAGAGCTATTCAACCACCTTCGCATAGACTCATAGAAAGCATGAAGATTGACGATTCCAATGACCACTGGAGACCCCAAAAAGTATGTGTTCTGTCATTTCACACTTTCCACCGCAAATAAAGAATTATACACTTGGATCAGAAACTAGCTTTTGACCTTACTGGGATAGAGGGATAGACGAGGAACGGCAAAGGAGGAATTCAAAAAAGCACACAAGATATTCAATCAGAGCACTAGACAGACAAACAAACAAGAAAAATGAGGGAAACTGGTAAAAGTCAACCCTGGAAATCAACATGTTAAATTCCCTAAAGCATAGCAGATCTTCAATTAGAGCCTCCTAGACATGAACAAACCAACAAGAAAATGAGGGGAACTCGGTACAAACCTGGAAATCAAAATGTCAAATCACTAATTGAAATATCGAACCGATACAATGAAAAACTACTAGAAACAAACATGAAGAAAATCCCATCAACGTTCAAGATAAACTATTTTAGAGTGAAATTTGGCAGAGAAAGATTCACCAAACAAAGACAAACTACACATTGACATCGGATCACAAACAAACTGTTAATCCCTCCGAAATGATTGTCAAGTTTTGATTTTCATTTTTAGCAATTTGTACTAAAAATGAAAATCAAAACTTGAAAATCTTTTCGGGATTGAGAGAGTACTGTTATTGTCGTGACTGAAAGAATGATCACAATCATCATGCATTAAGTAGTTCAACAATGCATTAAATAGCCACAAGTATTCCAAAATATAGATGTAAATTACTAGATAAAAGCTTAAAAGAGGTCTCAAGATTACTACTAATTCAACACACTAGAAGCATCATTTCCTACTGTGCAACTCAGTGCCAAGCTTGAGGTTCTTACTGTACATATTATCCGGCAGACAGCAAAAAAGTGTACACCGCCGATCTGTATTCCAAAATATAGATGGAGATTTCTAGATAAAAGCTTAAAAGAGGTCTCAAGATTACTACTAATTAAACACACAGGAAGCATCATTTCCTACTGTGCAACTCACTGCCAAGCTTGAGGTTCTTACTGTGCATATTATCCGGCATACAGCAAAAAAGTGTACACCGCCGATCTGGCTTCCAACCTGATAAGAGGTTATCTTTGGTGTCACAATAGAGCACCCTTCTCTTCTCATAGTCAAATTTATTAAAGTCATAGTCAGGGTCATCATCTTCGCTGTCATCATCATCATCTTCTTTGTTGTCATCATCGTCGTCATCATCATAGTCGTCATCGTCGTCGTCGTCATCATCATCGTCGTCGTCGTCGTCGTCGTCGTCGTCGTCCTCCTCCTCCTCCTCCTCCTCACCACAACAACAAAAAGCAGGGACATCCTGACCACGGACAACAACAACATACTGACCTTGAAAGGTTTTCTTGCTGCTAGAATCACAAGCTAGAGGAGCTCTGAAGGTAAGATAATACATAGTATGAGAAGACTTGGGACAAAATGTCACGTTCTCAACCTCCATCCCATTATACATATATTGCTGCAAGAAATGACAAGAAAAGAGTAATAAGCAAGACGAAAAAATACCATGTCCTGCCTTGTTTCACTATTATAATGAAAAGATCGATCAGAATGGATACCATGTCCTTATGTTTGAAGTTGTAAAATTTAATGCAATCCTCGATCATCCCATTGATTGTGACTTGATCTCCTTTATAAGGTAAGATAGGTGCATCATCAGGAGCAGACGTGATGCCAAAACCCTACAAGAAACCACAATAAGCATTTAGCAATAACTTGGACATACGCGGGAAAAAAGACATTCACAATCAAATTCACAACCAAATTAAACTAACCTGGGTGTCGTGCATGACCTGGTAGTACTTTTCCCAATCTGCCACCAAGGGACCATCCTTTCCTGATATGGATTTCGCCGCCGCTGCTTCTCTAGCGGGAGCCTTGGCGGCTGATTTAGATTTTGATGCGGCTGGCGTCTTGGCGGCTGATTTGGATTTAGACGCGGCTGCTTCCCCAGCAGGAACGGCTGCCGCCTTCACGGCCGCAGCCTTGGCGGCGACGGCAGCCTTGGCGGCTGATTTGGACTTGGGGGGTGCTACTTTCAGGGTGGCAGACTTCTTGGCAATAGCTGCCTTAGCAGCGGCTGCGGCCTCCTTGGGGTTGGCTGCCTTAGCGGCGGCGGCCTCCTTGGCGGTGGCGTCCTTGGCGGCGGCTGCCTTGGAGGCCGCAGAGGCGGCGGCTTCCTCCTTGGCGACGGCGGCGGCTAGCTTAGCGAGCGCTGCCTCCTTGGCGGCTACATCATCATCTGACGACAACCTAGCCGCCATTGCCTTGGCGACTCTTGACTTGACGGCTGCGACTTTGTGGCTTGCTGCCAGCACGGCTGCAAGCTTGTCGGCTGATTCCGCCGCTGATTGCTTAGCGGCGTGTGCTGCTTTTGCGTAGTCTTCGGTGGAGATGGAGATGGACGATATTGAAGAAATCGTTGTTTTCCTCATGGCTGGTTCGTACAGGCAAATGCCGCCGGAGAAGGCCTCGACGACTTTGCCTCCGGAACTTTCTGCGGTAATCCTATCAGGCATCGGATCAGAAATGAAGAGATCAATCTTCTTCTCATCCGTCGATGAAAACCGGGAACAGCTCTTCTCTCCTCTTTCCGAAACCAAAAGTTTCGCTCCAGATTGATTCAAAAAGAAAACAACATTAAATTAATTGGTCCCGGGGTTGCCAAACGGCCTCGATTACTGTATCGTATCTGAACTCAGGGTTGCCCAATTTGGGGGGAATAACGAAACGTCAATGGTCAAACGTCGTTTAGAACCAAAAAGACTTTTTACAAGAGAAATTTACCTTTTTCACTCTTTAAATCAAATTATTTTTAAAATCATCCTTTGTTTAAACAACAATCATGATTAAGCAGCTGGTTTGAAATCATGGTACGAAATTGTATACCTTTCTAACGGCAGAGAAAGGGATCAGTATGGATGTACTCTCTTCGTCCGTCCCATAATTATTGTTCTAGTTCAAATTGTACTAAAATTGAAATCTCAAACTCGACAATAATTTTAAGACACAGAGAGTAATATTCTGGTTTGCAATAATGTTTTTTTTTGCCTGCGACAAAATTATTCTTGCATCACTGATCAGTTGTGGATTGCATTCAAGAATACATCAAGTATGGTTGATGGAATCATAATTGGCGAGTACTAGCAAATGCCGAGAAAAAAAAAAAAACTCTAGGAATTGTTTTAAGATAGATAGTACTTTCATGGTTGAGAATGTTGTCATGATGAAGTTATCGATTGATCGTGACAAATGGTCCAGAGGTTTTACTATAATGATTCGAAGAATTCCTCATTCCAGACTTTTGAAGATCGGGTATACTGTAGCATTGGATGAGGGTGAATTGAATTATAAACTAACGGACTGGAGTAAATGAAATACCTGCTGGAGCTTGCAAAATTGCATGCAGCATTCCTTAGCTGCAAAGGAAATGGTGGCTTCCGGCAGTTGTTGTACACCACACCAAACACACAGTAATTCCAACAGCGCTTTCCAAAGAGACCATATGATGAAGAATACTTGATGGATGACATCCTCAGAGAGTGCAAACATTATCAACTCCTGCACCCATTCCCCAAAGTTGCTACGAATTTTACGACTGACGAAGCATGGATTTGTACAGTGCTTAGGATAGGCGGCGATGATGATTTAGGCGGCGGCGAACGGCCTAAACTTGCAAGACAGAGTCTCGGGTGTCTCCCGATGGTAGACTTTCCGATGCATAAGTCCCTAGGGTAGACTCTCCGATAAATCAATAAGAGAATAAAGAGAATAGAAAGAGAGGGATGTGTATTGTGTGTAAAAAGTGTAGAAGATATGAATTATGAGAGAGGCACCATTTCTATAAAGAGGTGGTGTTACCTGTTTCCTGAAACCTTAGCGGAATAGGCTTATGTGGTGGTTTAATTTCCAAGTAATCTAATCCTAGGTCCAATAGGCCTAGGGTTAATTTATGACTCGTCAAGTACCAAAGCGGCACATGATGATTTTGGGCCCCTTTTTTGAAGCACTTTGATGATCAAATTCGATGTGTGATCAGATATGATGAACTGTTTAATTCAATTGTAGTTGCTGATATTTGATGCCGAATTGTGTCTTTTGCCTTTAGTATAAAATGTTTCTGGATGGGTGAGATTGTTAGATTTTGGCTTGTTGAGAAGAACAAATTCTTTTGGTTAATCTTACATTTGCATAATGTACATAGTGTCTTACTGTATTATTTTTGGGGCTTAGCTACTTGTTGGTGATCATATATGATGAACCCTTGAATTCAACTGTATTTACTGATATTTGAGGGTGAATTGAGCCTACTGTCTAAATTCTCTTTCTTTCTTTGTAAAATGTTCCCTAATTTTGTGACTCTATTTCTGTATGCTTAGGGGGGCGTTTTTTTATACACCCAAATGCAGTATATTGAAGATGTGTATTTCTCATTTATATTCTCTTCCTTGCACCAATTTCGAAAAATGCAAAATATTGGATCCTGTATCTTTTATTTATTTATTTATTTATTATTTTTTTTTATGAAAGATGGTGTACACTCTATCTTGGAAAAACGCGGGACATAAAATTAATTTCTATTTAGCATGATTTTTTTTTTCTTTTAAACCGTAGTGAATAAAATTATTCATATGCATTTCATTTTTTTTTTTTTTTGGTGATTTCAGATGAACTCTGTTTTCTTAAAATTAAAATAAGGAAAATGATAAAGATAACGAAAATGTATAGTAAAATAAAATAGTGACTAACATGGCACGTGTATAAATACATAATCATCCCTTATTTTTCGGTAGTTATTGAAAGTATGGTGTGATTTTTTTGTCTATTCGTTAATTGCTATTTCATTTCACCATAAATAGTCACTATGCGTATCATCGTTCTTAAAATAATCATTAGAAGTGTAAAAAAATTGGCAAACAAATAGGTTAATGGTAATAATAATTTTTGTTAAAGGTATAAAATGTGATGCCCAAAAATAAAAAGATTTTATATTGCATATGTTTTACACCAACCAAAAAAAAATAAAAAATAAAAAATAAAAAATTGTTCAATTGTCTGTCCAACAGAGCAAAGGTGCACCAAATAATCGCCCGCACCTGATTCCTCCTTCTTTGGGTCATATTTATTGCGTTTTATGTGACTTAATAAAATAAATAAAAGAAAATACAACGCGGAAGCCAATCACCGTCGGAATAAACCTCAACATAAAAATCGTCCAGGTTCATTCCTCCTTCCGAATCTAACCGTCTTCGTCTTTCCCACGCATTTTTTCTCCCCCTTTTACCCATTTTTTGCTACCCCCCCAATTTAAAACGCTTTACCAAAATTCCAAGCCTTTTTACTTGTCACAAATCAACACCAATTTTTATTTTCTCCAAAGATTTTTTCTTTTCTTTTTAATGGCAGCAGCCTTATCTTCTTCTTCTTCTTCCCCATCATCATCGATTCACCGATCTTGTTCCTGTCGCTGTTTCAGATGTTGTGTTTGTCGCTGTATGTGCTGCTGTAATTTCTGATTCTCCGCCGGCTTTGTTTTCTTATTTTTCTAAATTTATTTTTAGGTTTTTTTTTGGCCCACCCAAATTCTCTGTATTCAGTTCGGAGTATCCTTTCGTGTATGTGGTTTGGATTGAATTATGGATTTATCGCACTCGCAGACGAGTAGTTTGTCACTAGGGTTACTCTCTCACGCCGCCTCGCCACCACCACCTACTCCGCCGATGCCTGCGGCGGCGACGGCGTCGTCCGTGTCCAGTAATCACCGAGCGCAAATTGTTGACGACTCGATTTCGTTCCAGATCGATTCGAGCTTTCGGGACCCTTCGCATCCCTTGCCACCGATTCCGCTTCAATTGATGGAGCCGCAGACGGAGAATCACAGGGCGGAGAATGGGGATGTTGGTAAAGAGAGTGAGGATGAGGAGAAAGTGGAGGAGTTTCGGATTCTGGGGCATTCCATGTGTTTCAAGCGGAAGCGCGACTGCGATTCGATTTCGTCGTGTGCGACCAAGAGCGTTAGGGTTTCGAAAGACCTGGAATCGCGTAGGAACGCTGTGAGGTCTTGGGGAAATCAGTCCTTAAGAGTAGCTGATCCTGATTTGTTTGAAATAATGGAGAAGGAAAAGCAACGGCAGTATAAAGGGATTGAATTGATTGCTTCTGAAAATTTTGTGTGCAAAGCTGTGATGGAAGCTCTGGGTAGTCATTTGACCAATAAATACTCGGAAGGGTCACCAGGGGCCAGATATTACGGTGGGAATGAGTATATTGATGAGATTGAAACACTCTGCTGCGACCGTGCATTGGCTGCTTTTGGACTTGACCCCGAAAATTGGGGTGTTAATGTGCAGCCTTATTCCTGCACCTCTGCTAATTTTGCTGTATATACTGGTTTGTTGTTACCAGGTGATAGGATAATGGGATTGGATACCCCTTCCGGTGGAAACACTAGTCATGGATACTATTTGCCAAATGGGAGAAAGGTTTCTGGGGCTTCTATATTCTTTGAGAGTTTGGCTTATAAGGTGAACCCTCAGACTGGTTATATCGATTTTGAGAAGCTAGAAGAAAGGGCCCTTGATTTTCGTCCCAAGATACTCATTTGTGGTGGCAGTTCATATCCTAGAGAGTGGGATTATGCAAGGTTTAGACAGATTGCAGATAGATGTGGAGCTGTATTGCTTTGTGATATGGCTCAGATTAGTGGTCTTATTGCTGCAAAGGTAAAACTTTAGCTGTTTTTGTTTGTTGTAAAACTAGATGTGTTCCATGCTTTATGCTGTCTCCATCTTATTTGTTAACTAATGTTCTGATGTATATTTAGATTGCATATTGCTCTTGTATTGTTCCCCATGTCTGCTTTTGTACCTTTCTTCTATAAATCTGTTCCCCCTTTGAGTATGAGTTAAACCCTAGATTGAGTTTAGAAACAATGTCGAATTCCAAAAACCAGCGGGAGGCAAAATCTTATTTCTATTTTAATTTAGATTAGATCAGTGATCACAGATGGAGAACGCATAATTTTCGATGATGAAGTGCTGTTGTGTGTGTTTCTTGTAGTGTAAATGGGGGAGTTCTAGAAGATTTATTTGACCTATTAGCTGTTCATTGTGTACAGTTTGAAGGTATGTTTTTGTTTACCTTATTATTCAAGGAAAACTGTGATGATTTTAATAAAGAAAGGGGGAGTGATTAATGTAAAGGTAGTTGTTACTAGGCTCTCATTCACTGAAAATTTCCTCTTAGAGGAGGGTTTGGAATGATGATACTGGATGGAATATGATTAGTAAAGTGGAAGTTATATTTCTGGATTTATATTGGGTGAGTGATGGAGTCTTGATAAGTTGATGTCGGGTGTCTTGTCAACCTTTGGCTGTATTGTTTCTCTAACTTAATGCTTGTTTTCCGCACCATAGTATTGGAGAGCTGCATGTAAAGAATTATTCGAGCCTCTTTGTTAATCCGAATATCTGACTGATGTGTTAATGGTTACTTTCTGCAGGAATGTGTTAGCCCCTTTGATTACTGTGATATTGTTACCTCAACAACTCATAAAAGTCTTCGTGGCCCAAGAGGAGGTATTATTTTCTATCGGAAGGGTTCAAAACCAAGGAAAAGAGGCATGCTATTGAATCAAGGCGATGGAAGTGACAGATATGATTTTGAAGAGAAGATAAACTTTGCTGTTTTCCCGGCACTGCAGGGCGGACCACACAACAACCACATTGCTGCACTTGCCATAGCCTTGAAGCAAGTGGCCACTCCCGAGTACAAGACATATATGCAACAGGTGAAGAAAAATGCTCAGGCTCTAGCAGCTGCTTTGTTGAGAAGAAATTGTAGACTGGTGACAGGGGGCACTGACAACCATTTGATTCTTTGGGATCTGAGGACTCTGGGATTAACAGGTACAGCGGCTTTGTAGTAAAATTTACTCGTGTTTGGTTAATTTCTTCCCTTGTTAAGAGAACTCTGCTTGTGTCATATTCTTAACCTCCCTTTGATACAATGTGATTTCATCTTTGATCTTTTTTGAGTGTGGGTAGGTTTGATATGGTTAAGCAGTTAACCTGAATCTCAATGATAAGTTTTATTCTTTATGTGATGTTGCATAAATTTCAACTAGATATTGTGAAAAATGTTAGGCGTTGAACTTTGGTGTAATTTGCATGAAACAATGCATTCGTTTGTTGGCAAATACAACTCTCTTCCCAATCAAGAGTTTTCTTTCTGGAATAATGCATTGCTTTACTGATCTTGCATGTATGTAGAGTAGTATTTTCGCTTTTATTTTCTGATCTTGTCATACACGGAGGGAAACTTCTCCTTTGGCAGTTTCATGTTGGCCTTCAGAATTTTTTTGTTAATAGCAAATCCACCAGTTTGAATCTGAGTTGTTCTTGGAGTTAAACTTGGGATCTGAGAGTTCCTTATTCAGATTAGTAGAGTTACAGTTAGTTTTCTAACTCTTGAGTTGGTTAAAATTAAATTTCCTGTGCTCTTCTCTCTTGCAGGTAAGGTTTTTGAGAAGGTCTGTGAGTTGTGCCACATGACTTTGAATAAAGTTACTATCTTTGACGACAATGGAAATATCACACCTGGAGGTGTCAGGATTGGTAAGTAACATAATCATGTTATACTACTTTCGAGATTGTAACGCTTAATGTTTGGGCACTGAGCCTAATACGTGTACTCTTCTGGATTGTAGGTACTCCTGCAATGACTTCCAGAGGCTGCCTAGAGTCTGATTTTGAGATAATAGCTGAGTTCCTTCTGAAAGCTGCGCACATAGCGGGTGCAGTACAGAGAGAACATGCAAAGATGCCCAAGGCATTTCTGAAGGGTCTGGAGAACAACAAAGATTTAGTTGAGCTGCGGTGTCGTGTTGAAGGTTTTGCATCACAGTTTGCGATGCCAGGTTTTGAGATTTAATCCCCTCAAGTGGATCTGTGTATATTATAGTAGTTGGTCAACATACCGGTTTTGATAATCCTCTTGACCCATTCTTTTTTCGAAAATTGGTACTCTGTTCTACACTTTTTGGTATGCAATATGTGCAGTATATTCCAGATGATAGATGTTGAGAACTGAAACCCACAATTGGTGGGGGAAGAAGTGTCTTTGAATCATATAACTATAGAGTTCTGTCAGTTCATTGGAATTATATGGTCAAACCTCTGTTCTTGAATGCATGTGATTTGGCATAGCAGAAAGGGGAATGTTTTGGTACAACTGAAGTCTATGTAGCAGAGTTTGGGTTTCTGTTGGTTTCTTGCATTCATCATCTTATAACTCAGAACGGGGCAGGCAAGATAATTTACTTGTTTGGGAGAAGTTCCTGAACAATGTTTACCAAATCCCCCCCTTCATCTTCGTTAATGAGAATGTTGTACGCCGTCGATCTTATTTATAGTGCTCTGAAGCAAAATGTCCTTGTTTCTAATGACGGATTAATTCTTTTGTTCTCGGTATCTATTTGGAAATTCCGGATTAATTTTTTTGTTCTCGATATCTATATGGAAATGTCAATCTTATAGTGATGTTACCAAAGTAGTTCGCTTGATCTTCGATATTAAAGGGAAGTGTGAACGGTTTGGACCTTGTTAATTGAAGGGAATAACCAAGAGACTTGTTGACGGAGAGAAAGGAAAAATAGGTTTGGACCTTGTCAATGGAAGAGAATAACAATGAGATTAACAAAAAAGAAGAAGAAAGGAATAACAAAGAGACTTGTTGACGGAGAGAAAGGGCATATAGAAGTCAGAATTAATCAATCGAATTCGGTGATCGGTGGTGGACATCCGATAAAATGAAAATCGGAAAACAAACAAATTAAAAGAATTTCCGTGAGTAAACTATATTTATTAGGAATATTATCTCTTCTTAAAATACATTAAGGCTCTGTTTGGTTGCATTGAATTGGGACAAAAATTGGAATTGGTGCTCTTTAAATTCAATTCGTGTGATTGATTGGTAAAAATAAAGGTCCAAGAATTGGAATTATAATTCAAGATGGGGCTCAATTTTTAATTTTCAATTTTTTTGTGGGAGCAAATAATTAGAATCCAAATTCAATGACTTAAAAAAAATATGCGGGTCATAATCGAGTCGTTTTCGGGTTATAACCTAAACAGGTCACCCTCTCAATTTTTGTCTTTTGGCCTTTTATATATATATATATATATATATTTTATTTTAATTTTATTATTTTTCAGCTTTTTTCTTTTTTTTTTTTGCTTTCATCGCTTTTTTCTTTTCTTTGTTTTTCTTTTTTTTTGGGTTGTTTGTCTCATCATTATTATTATTATTATTATTATTATTGTCATATATATATATATCATTTTAATAATTATCAACTAAATCAATCTATAATTAACATTGTATCTTTTTTACAAAAAAAATTAAAAGTATAGTTGTACCCCAAAAAAAATTAATAACTACATATTTTAGTTTTGGGTTAAATTTTTATTATATTATGACATAGTAAACAACATAACATTTTCAATTTTTTTTTATAAAAATCGTTCCATGTATACACTTATATTATAATACATATATATATATTAAACTATTCATGGCATCTTTTCACCAAAAATTATGTAAGTTGAGTTTTAAGTATCTATTATTTCATAGGAAAATGATATATTTAGTGAAAAAAATAGTGAAAAAAGATAGTGAGTGATGTGACTTATTCTTGGCCCCTAGCTTTTTGTCACTTTCATGTGAAAATTTTATCTTGCCCTAAAGAATTATATTTTTACCCTTTATTAATAAATACACATATTTAGTGAGGATGGTGTATTTGTCTTTTCATTAGTCACTATAATTTTTCACTGTAATTAGTCACTATCTCTATCATTGCTCTATTTCATATATAATTATATACTTGAATAAAAACATTTAAGCATATATTATATACTAATGTTAATTTATGTATAAATGAACCTCAATATTCATAAACTGAATTTACAATGTTATATAATAATGTTTTTTAAAATTTTTGATATAAATCAAAACATAAAAAATTAAAAATTTTGAAAAATAATAAAAGAGAGGAAACAAAGAAGTTTTACGTGTTACTTGTTTGTGTATTAAGTGAGAATTTTAAGTATCATATTAATAATTCTTATACATAATAATATTTCTTTTGTTTCCAACAAAAATGTGTGTACATAATAAATTACAAAATTGATATAGCAAATTAATTAAAAATAATAATTTTTTTAACAAAAAAAAGTAAAAATTGTATTAGTTAAACAACCACAAAGTAGTGAAATATACATGTATATAAAGAATTTATTTATTTTTTGTGTTATACATATATCTATAATAAAATAAGTTTTTTTTTTTTTAGTTTTTGACAAGTATAAATTGTATTAGTATTATTTATACAATAACAAGCTAATTTCAATTCTAAAGTATCTAAATTTTTATGCATCCAAACACAAGAATTGGAATTAGAACCTTAATTCTTGTAAATTTTCAAGATCTCCCAAACAAAGAAATTAAGATTGAATTACAATATCAATATCTCATTTTCAATTCAATAGTATTGTAATTCTAATTTAATTGAAATTCAATCTAACCAAACGGAGCCTTAAAAAAACAAAAAAAAAAGAAACAAAACAGACATGCGAAACTGTCACAAATTACTGCTGTCAAACTTGTTATTGACACGGGATGTAGTTTCCTTTCGACAATATTATACAGAAGGCAACTTTAACGGTGCCATCAGAAAAGATAAAGAAAATCACGGGAAAGGTAAAATCGGTCAAAAACAAAAAAAAAAAAATAAAAATACCAAACTGATTTTTCTTCTTCAAATAATAATTACCCCACTACCATTTTTCACAAAAAAAAAAAACCGTCTTAAAATTGTTATGTTTCTTACAATAGAACATGCAAATTCAAATAGGTCAGGATGATTATCTAAGCAAATGTTGTACTATTTTTTTTATTTTTACAAATTTTAAAACTCAAAATGCACTATTTTTCTGGGACAGAGGATATATGAATATATGAGATAGAAAGAGTATCATAATCTCCTCTATAATGTAAAATTTATTTGTTTTAAATTAGGGTACAATGTATGGAGATTAAATTTATGTCAATGTAAATTATGGAATATAGCTAACTAGACAAAACTACATAAAAAGATTGAGATCAAGAATGTCATCACAATTTAATGAGTTTTTGCATAGATCACAGGCGGTGACATATGAAGGAAGTATGCTAGTTTCTTAAGGAATAGTTAAGTCTGTTTAAGTTAACAATGGAAATTACACAATCATCAAAGGGCAAATTTAAGGGTGTAGAGTAATAGAATCAAAGTAGGAGGCATAGGAAGTAGCTACAACTTTTACCATTATCAAAAGAGGAACCGGTGGAAAACAACGAATTTATAATGAGTAAAAATGATTAGTTTCTGGCAAAACAAATCATAATTTTTTGACAGTTTGAAAGCAACTAGTCGTGTTGCATGCTGGATACAAGTGAAAAAGAAGAAGACGAAGAAGAAGAGAGATCATAATAATAATACAAACCTAAAAACATCATCAAAGATTTTGCAAAGGAAAGGAATCAACATGATGTTTTTCTTTTTCTTCACAGCTGGATTTTTGTAACCAATTTCATGTACTACAAAGAAAAGAAGACACAAAAAGAAGCAGATTTCAACGAGCTTTTTCATCATCATATAACAACAACAACAACAACAGAGTATCATCAAACAGCCAACAGGAAACACAATAAATCTCTTCTTTTTGTACCTTTTTGATTCCAAAGGGAGGTTCACTTTTCATATAACACCTTGTACATAAATACATTGCCATTTCCTGAGTTATACTTATAACAATTAATCAAAATATTTAAAACTAAACGAGATTCAAACACCCGATCTCTGATTACGGATATATGAGCCCTCACTATTTAACCTGTTGGTAAAATATGGTATGTATTCGTAATAATAAACTAAATATGAAAATAACAAAATATGGGACTCGTGAAAACATGAGATGATATTCGAAATAGCTAGAGTCATAGGTTTAGGAAACACAACCACCAAATGGTGGGTTTTGGGTTTTGAATTGAATTAAGTCTGATCAAAGAGAAAGCAAAGGAAAAGAAAGAAAGAAAAAATTGCTTCTTTTGTTCAACTTTTTTTTTTTTTTTTTTTTCAACTTCGTCTGTGAAGGAATTGAGTAGTACAGTACACTAGTAGTACAGGCAAAGGAATCTCATAATCTCTTCTCTTAGTAGGCGCACTTTCCCATTATTGTTTCACAAGTGGAATCATTAGTCATTTACTATCACAATCAACAGAATCTCTCCCATTCAACTTTCTTTTTTCCTTCCTCTCCTCAATTTTTTTTTTTTTTCTGAGCAAGAAATCATCACACCACTTGATTGAGTTTTGTCCATCTCTTAACACCATCTACTTGTATTGAGAGTATCTTCTTTACTAGACCATACCATACCATCAATTTCTTCTTTTCCAGTTATTTAGGCTTCGAATTAGGAAAATGTAGGCCAAAATTTTCATTTGTATACCTCAGGTTGATTCATGTTAATTATATAAAGCAACCATGTAAAGTGACACACATAAACGTGTTAAATTCGTATCCTGAAAAACAATATCAATGTATCGGCTAAAGTTTTGTCACTTATGTATTAATTTACGTCTTGACCCCTCTTACCCCAATCGAGTTGGGAATATACTGGATATGTTGTTGTACGTATTAATCTGCAAACACAAAATACGGTCTGATTGTGTCTCACTCAGTTTGGTTGGTGCCTGAGAACAAATGGAGTAATAAATAGTACCTAGTTTAATTTGGCATGCAATATTCTTGGTGGCGGGTTCTTATACAGTTATTAAGAGATGCGCAGCAGCCGTAAGAAGCAGGCTAATTAATCCTTTTGTGGGCTGTAACGTATAGATCGGGTCGTAGGCTTTAATCAAGTACTAGTCTCAACAGACTGTGGAAGACTTTAAAAAGAAAAGATGAAGACAGTTTTTAAGAAAAGAAAAAGAAAGGCCAAAAAAAAAAAAATAAAATCCTCCGCACAAAATCGGTTGGAAAAATAGGTCACAGTCCTTTCAGCTGCTTTTCTGCAGCAGACATTTAATTTATTGCAATGGACAATCATCTCTTTGTTGACAACTTAATGCATTTTGGTTCTTATTTTCATTTATTTAAAAAGAGTTGCACATGGTCAATTGCCTATGATTATTAACTGTGTGTTTTATTTTTTGTTTTCCTCCCTCTAATGACAGAATGATCAAGGTTGGTTTATGATGCTAAACATGTCCGAAAAGTCGTTAATCCTGCGATTTGGGTTGCGATTTAGCTTTAATTTTACGCCCGGGTTTGTTGGGATTTAGCAGTTAATCTTTGCTAGCTCAAAAAAGTAATGTATGAATTAGACAATGTACTATTTGGTGTTTTGGAAAAGGAGTTGGCACAAAAAAAAATAATGTTATGAAGATTGACTGGGGAGGGAGTCCAGGACACTAGGACAGTGACTATTTTTTTCTGGGTACCATATTTGGTGCCAAAACATATGCAGATTTTGGATTTTGAAATTGAATTGTAAAGTTGAAAGCAATTCCGAATCTTTTCTGCTGACTTTACTTAGTATGGTAAATAGGGTAATTGAGATCCCCTGCCCCATATCCCTGTGTATATCAATCAAATACAGCTTTTGAAACGCAATCGTCTAAGTAAATGTATATTGACATTTAATACACAAAAAGTGAGACAGAAGATCGGAGTTTGGAGGTAGAATAGAGCTTTAATAAGGAGGGTTCATGAAAGTTCAAGCTTCCAGTTGAAGTCTGAATTCAATTTGCAAATTTGCCACTTTTTTATGCTTTACTGCCAGGGAGCTTGGTTTTACACCCACATTTGAACAGAAGCATTAAAACGAGGTATAATTAACAAAAATCCGCAAAGAATAAAGTTTGCAACTTTGAGGTTGATTCTCTCATTCTAATATATCTCAATAGTTTATTCCACTCTGACCTTTTGGGTAAGAAGAATAACTATATTTGCATTTTAAAAACGATTGTCGAAGCATCTGGTCTTCTTTGGAAGATATAAATTCATTTTTAATCTTTGTTTTTTATATGTAACATGTCTAATATCCGAAATTATTGTCCCGATTAATCCGAATTTGAGACGGATAGGTCACGCTGTTCTTCTTTTCTTCATTGAGATATTAATGTTGCTTTTCTCTCACACAGAGAATCTCATTCTCTTTTGCTTCAGGATAATCCTTCATATAAATCTTGTTAAAATAACTTCTTCCTAAAGCTAAAAAACCATTAAAACAGTAGCACAAGAGGCAGATTGTAGGCTTGAAAAGGACATCAAAATTAAATACCAAAAAAATAAAAAAAGAGGGAAGAAAGCAAAGATTAATAAAAGCTCTAAAAAAAGGGAGGAAAAAAAAAGAAAGAAAAAAATACTACTCCACTAGCTGATTTCTTCTTACACTTCATCATCATCACCTTGTTTTTTCTAATCCCTACTAGCTATGGCCATGGAAAAGGAACCCTTTTTTCTTCTTCTTTTTTTGTTTTCCGGTAATTTTTTTGATTAAAAAATTTTCCTACCTATGGGTGCACATATCTGAAAGCTTCTTTCTTCCTTCAACAATTTCATCAAAGAAGTCATCAAGTTGAGCAATTAGACTTTCAGCTCCTGATTTGAGCATCTCAAAGCAATTCTTCACACTTTCAACCTTGTCTTGAATGTCTACTTCTGATTCATAGAGCAATTTCTTCTCCAAATCCTGTTTCAGTTCATCCATGGCCATTCTTGCAGCCTGAAACTCATAAAGCAGGATTCTTGGCTGCCCTTCAATGTGATTAATCTCTGCTGCAACCCTTTGATGCAATCTTGCTGTTGAAACCATGAAAGATGATCCGAATACCATGTTTCCTTCATAATCTCCTTGCCAAAGGCTGGTTCCAGGCCAATAAAGAACAAGGCCACTGAACAAGATCAACAGAAGCAATGAGCTGACATTTCTCATGGCATAAAGAACTCCCCTGAATCCAGTGAACCCATTAAACTTTGATTCGATCAGCACATTTTCATTGAATCTCAGTGATAAACGCTGAGTTCTTGTTTCCATCAAGCTCTTGTTTTCCTCTTCCAATGCCACTATTTCCCTTTGACAACCCGTGATCGCCCTAAAGACCTGTTTCAAAAAAATAAAATAAAAAAAATGACAAAGATTGGATTTTTATGTCCAAAAAATGCATAAAAATTGATGGGTTTTCCAAGAAAGTTGTGAAATACTAATGAATCAAACCTGGCGGGAAAGTTGCAAGTTTAAAATGGGATGATCATCAAGGGAAGAAGCGATATTGGAACCAGCAGAGTAGTAATTTTCCATGTTGCAGACCCCTGCTTTGAGTATATGGCAGGCTTCCCAAAGCCTGGAGCTTTCATCCATGTATTCATCAAGCCATTTCTCACCAACAGGCAAGTGCAGCTTTTGGATCAAAAAAGTTAACTGAGAATGAAAAGATTGGAGTAGGGACAGGACATGTTGAAGGAACTGAACAGACATGAAATTCTGAGTGAGGAAGAAATGGTCCAGATTGTCAAGGCCTCTGGTGAGGAAGTTGTAGAAGCCATTGACAGAGTTTGTGGGTGAAGAATGACTCATCATGTGGGCAAAACAAAACTAGACAACAAAAAAATAAAAATAAAAATGAAAGATAAGAAAGAGAAAAAGAAAAGGTGATGGTTTGAAAGAGATTGACTGATATTTATATTGGGGGGATTTTAATTTTAGTGGGGGAAAAGATTGGAAGGAGAAGGAGAAGGAGAAGAAGGAAAAAGTTGGGAGGGGGGGAGTTTGTATGAAGTCTGGAGCTCAGATTTCAATATGGTGAAAAGGATTTGTTATTGGGAGCAATGATGTTGGTTTCCTGCAGAGTGGAGGAGATGATTGAGAATCTGGCAATGTACCATTATTTAATAGCAGCAGCAAAAGAAACTATACCAAAAGCAAAAGAAAAGGTTGAGAGAGAAAACAAAGAGGAGGCTACATTCACCAGAACAGATCATCTCTTTGCTAGACAAGTTCAACAACAACTTAAAAAAGGTCTCACAGAGAGTCTTTCAAAATTTTCCCTTTTTTTCTCAAATTTTGTTTTGCCAAAAAGTCACTCTTGTTTCAAGAAGAGGAAAAAAAAACAGCAAGAATATCAAACCGATACATCCGTCCCAAAATGAGAGTTCTGTTTTTACACTAATATTTCAGTTCAACAAATAATACTCTAATTTTTGAACGGTATCAAGAATCCTCAAAGATATGAGCTAATATAAATCTTCTTAGTTCTTAAACAAAAACTAGTCATTAAAAAAAAATATTTTTAGTATCTCTTATTTTGGAAGTTGATTTTTTTTTTTTAACAGAACTAAAGATTCATGTTTTACGGGGAGTGACACTTGTTTCAACATTCCCTTTCATTAAATTGTGGTATTGTACTAAATAGTTTCAACAATGAATCATGTTTACTGGGCTTCTTGTCATCAAATCCTCTAACATACTTTACTATTACTAGTTAAATAGTAGACCTCGTGTGTTTGCACAGGGTTTTTGGCAATCTGTTTAGGTAAAAATGATACTAGATTAAGGGGGTAAAAAGAACACTTAAAAAATTCTTCAATCTTTTGAGAGCTCATTAATCAATGCAACCATAGATTTTGTTTCTCGGGCTGTAAAAGTTTGACTGCTTTGACTAGGATCGATGCTTCTTCTCATTCTTCAATTTTGATTTGGTGTCCTTCACAATTGAGTGCTTCTGTTGGGGCTGCTTCGGTATCAAACCCTTTATTTCTTTTTACCGAAATTGTTGTCCGACTAATTTAAACTCGAGTTATATAAATTCTTCGTGATATAAAAATTCTTCCACAAATATAATTTACTATTGCCAATTTTGAACTGAAATCGTAATTAAATTGGTTTAATAAGTGAGTTTACAGCTTATGGACCAAGTGATTGGTGGTCGGTAGCAACCCTTTATTTTGTTAGCTGTTTTTTTTTTTTTTTATTGACGACTAAACTTTTGGGGAAAATAACCTTCTTTTACTCGTTTTTCTGCCTTGTTTTTGCTTTGGTTATTTAAGGGGGGAAAAAAAGGAAGAAGAAGAATGATGAGGTTCCATGAATGCAGAATATGTATGCAGTGATTCCCTTTTCTTTTGTCCCCAGCAAATTCCCATTTCAGGCACTAATATCAACTCTTTTTGTGTTTTTCATGGAAAGGAATATATTTGGTTCTTCTCAATATACTAATTTTGGGGTCCCCCCATTCTATGAATTTAGCATGAAAAGAGGGAAAAACTTGATTTTCTTCCAGCCATTTCTCAATATTTGCAGCAAGAACAAAAACCCAATTTTCTTCCATTGATAAATGGATCAAGAAACTTGTCCTCTAAATTGTTCTCTTTTGAGGTATCAAATGAACATAATTTAAGCCGACAACACAAGCGTTAACCATCATGAGAATTAACTCGATTTGATTTCTTGCTATACTATTCGTATCGTGCCACAAATTGTCATATTTTCAGCATTAGCTACGGAATAAATCACAGGAAAAGTACACGTTTTGCAACATAATTTTTGATCAGTTTGATTGTCACGCGGGTGTATAGAAGAGATTCTTTTATGTCCTTTCTCATCTTTTGCCAACTTTTCTTTTTTTCTTCTCCTAACAACACTTCCTGTCTATCAATGATGTGTAATGAGCAAAAACCGAGAGGAACTTTTGAGAAGAAATTGTAAAATGGAAATGACATCCAGCTTATGTAATTCATACACAATACAAAGCCTTATTATGAGTGGGGTATGAACTTTAGTTATGGGCAATGCACACGCCGTTCATTTTAGATGTGTAAAGAAAAACCCTTTATCATAAACTTTGGTTTTTAGTTTTTAATCTCACAAAGAATTAAAAAAAGTTGTTGCCAATTCTTAAAGATTCAGAAACCACATTCAACTAGAAATTGTTTGTGTTGAAAGATATAGAAGTTTAATGCATGGGTTTTTGCTTAATGTGGCTAAGGATCAAAGGTGCATGGAGTTAACTTTGTTGGAATATAAGGTCAAAAGAAGGAAGTATGGGTCCTAGGCTAATTACTTTTAAAACAACACATAACACTATTGAAAAAGTGGAACAGATTACTAATTGCAGTCCTTCCAATCTTAACATGAATGAGTGTTATCACTAAGGTTAGATGGGACACCATTATAAGCCCTTTCTGAATGGTTTCAATTTTGTGGGGGATTTTTTGTCAATCAAATCCAAGAAGAAGGGGATTTTGCTCATTTGCATGGCAAACTGGAATAAAGGGCAATCAAAATTTGCCAGACAAAGTGGTTTAAAAAATTTGTGGTTGGTTGGTTTGATAGGGTAGCAGAAGCACCAAATATCAGCATGCCTAAATCTCATTGAAGGCCATCCCATATTGGTGGATTGCACTAGAAAAAAAAACCACTATGTAGCATACTTGCATGTAAATGTGCAGCACAAGATCAAAGGGATTAGGATTCTTTATGTCATGAATGATGCCACTAAGGTCTAAATATGGTTTGTTACAGATGAGGGTTCATATCAGATTGCTGTTTGGAACAACATTTTTTTTTGACTTCTAAAAGGATGTATATAAATCACATCAGGTTAAAGCAAATCAGGTTGGGATTTTGAGGTTGGTGGCTGCTGCATTGACTTGGGAAAGGTTTGATTTGAACATAAAGTTAAAAAAAAAGTGCTCTTGGGTGATATCAATCTGGCCAAAACCTTCCTTTTTTCCTCCCTTTTGTTTATTTTTTAGTCATTGATGAAAGGATATTCAAGTTTAGGGTGTTCTGAAAACTTTAGCATCCATCTTGCTATATGCAAAACTGTGGATTAATGCTTGGAGATTTGGCTAACGGTTTCCGATTAATTTAGTGCAGTGACAAAATTGAAGATATTGGTTTTCGATCTAATTACACAGTGATAGATAGAAATGCTTCCTAGCTTTATGATCTGAATTATTGTACATTATTTGCTTGATTAGCAGAACTGTAAGGAGATATGAACATTTGCATTTTGACACTCCTTACTTGTTTTCTTATAATAATGGCATCATTTCAAGTCTTGTTTGAAGTCATATAATGTTGCAACATAAAATTGGGGTCTTCAATTAGAAAGATTTTGTCATTATCCCTTATCACTTCAATGGAGTCTATTTCAGCTCCTTCTTCATTTATCAGCATTGCAGTTGTTCCATCAAATCCAAACTTTTCACCTGCCAGACAAATCAAAGGTGAATATGTTAAAGTTTTTCAACTCAGTTCTAATGAAACAGTGTTAGTGACGCCTGCTTATTAAATATTTGTAATCACAGCAGCAAAATCAAGTTAGAAATAAAATATTATAAGAAGAACAAGTAACAGTAATTAAATTACCTGCCATGATTTTGAGCTCTATTAGTGATTTTGGCAGCCTGATTAACCTTCCAGGTTCACTACAACGAGTATCTCTCCTGATCATCGGATGTCCTCGATAGATACTCACCCTGATGTTCAATCCTGAAGCAGATGAGCCTTTAGAACTTTTCATGTCATGCTCTTGTTTTTCTTCATTCCATAGGAAGCCATCTTGATCAAGTGTTTCGGGCACTGTAATTCGATGTCCTAATTCTCTTTTCTCTAGCATTTCATTTAAATTCATAGACGAAAGCCTGTATTTGAAGGTATCATCAATATGAGCTCCATTCATCAAAAGAAGCTTGATCATGTCCATATGGCTTTCTGCCATTGCAACTTGGATAGCAGTCATCCCGTGGCGATCTTTTGAGTCTACATGTAGTCCATGCTTCAAAAGCTCTTTCATTACTGTGGCATCATTTTTCCTTGCTGCTGTGCATAACAGGTCACCAGCAACATAGGGATCAGAAATGGAAGCCCAATGGTAGAGAATCCGAAACACAGCTTGATTCTGTCCTGCTATTGCTTCCCAAATTGCTGTGTTTCCATCCACATCTGCCATTTCATGGTATGATCCTCACGGTTAGTATACCAATAAGTATCGCTCAATTTAGTAAGGGACAGATAGTCAATGTGGAAGAGATGAGGAATGTTGTTTTACCCTGCAGGTAGATATTGCATGCATGCTTGAGGAGAACCATTACACATTCTTCATGCCCTTTTGTTGCTGCTATGTGCTGTAAAATATTTTCCAGAAACTAATTAAAGTAGGTTTCTTATAACTCTGGATGGCTTCCACATATTGTAATATTTTTTTCTTAGTTGCAAAAAGTAGGCGTACCAGTGGTGTTCTGCCTTTTGAATCTCCAACATCTGGATCCAATCCTGCTTTGAGGAGTTCATCCAGAAAGGCAGCATTACCTGTACTTGCAACTGACAACAAGTTGATCGACAGGTTGGGATCGCCATCTTCTTCAACACCTTCGAGAAATAAATCTCCAAGGTGCAAGTCTTTCAGGTTTTTATGATGCTGCAACAATCATTTTTACCAAATCAGTGAAGCTACTTCAGAGAACTTCGAAGTAGCAGAAATGAGCTTTGATGATTTTGTTAAGGGAGAAGGGAAACACTCATTGAATTGATTGATGGCCTACCCTTAGAAAGTTCTTTATCATTGCAACATTATCTTCACGTTTGCTCTTCATAGCTTGAATAAGCGCACTAGTTTTCACCCTCAACAGCTGCGAAAGCATTTTGGTTCGATAAGTGAAGCATTGAGGCCTGCAGCAAAATGCACCAACTTCTCCAAACATATCTCCTGATTTTAAACTCCAGATTACGCTCTCTTTTTCCATCTCACATTTGATGATTTCCACTTCTCCGGATACAATAATGTATACATCATCAGGTGCTTCATTATGCAATATGACATCTTCTCTAGGGGGGATATATTCGGCCTTCATATCCGCCACCTGATCAAATAAAGGCTTTTGGGCTCTCTGAACTGATAAAAATATGAACATTTTGACTAAAAGATCTGAACTGATCAGGATATGTCAACTTACCAGGAGCAAAAGGTTTTCCCTAGAAACATCCTCAAAAAGGTAAACTTTCTCAACAGTTGGCAAAAACAAATGCTGGCGGATACTCTTGCAAATACTTCTAGGTAGCTGTTCAATGAGCTCTTGCTGATTCAAGTTCTCAGCTTTAAACCTCAAACACATATAAGCTAGTATCTGCTCTTTCAACCTCGGTGGCAGGCAATTTCGGTTCACAAAATCTGATGCAGCTTCAATGCTATTCCTCTGCAACATCATCAAGAAAAACAACACAATGATGTACTAATCATGATTCACAAACATGATACATTATGATCTAAAATCAAAAGCCGAATTCCGAACTACTTACAAACTCCATTGTGCGACGTGTGCCCTCCACGACCAAATTAGTCATGTTTCCTATGATGTAAGCAGTTAAACCAAGATTTAACAGCATATAAAAGATAATGAATATCATCTCCACTGAGTTGACTGCATGGATATCACCATAACCAACAGTACTCATGGTGGTCAGAGACCAGTAAATTGCAGAAACATATCGAAAACACAGACTAGTTTCCTTGAAATTAGGAATGGCAGTTCCAATCCAAGTGTTGCCTTGATGAGGATACCGATCCGCCAGCAAGTAAGATAGGCAAGCAGCACAATGCACTGTAAACACTGTCACCTGTACTAAGAGGAGCACAAAATTATAGTTGTGATATAAAATATTTCCAGATATTGCATAAGTAAATGATGCACAAACTTGATCACTTAACTGATAATAGCCATGCACATCTGACCCAAAAATAGCTGAACCTGATGTCCTTTTCTAGCCTGCAACATTATGAGCCAAAGTTAACAACACACATAGAAAGACAAAGTTGGGCTTTTTTTTTTTTTTTTTGTATCATTACACGAACGATTTCACTTAACAGTAAAAATGGTGACGGACCTTTTGAAAAAGCTCTTGACGCGGCGAATACGCCAGAGTCGGAGCATTCCTAAAACAGAAGAAGTGAGACTGATGTGATGATGCTTCCCAGTGATCAACACGCCCAATAGTTCAAATGGAATTGTTGAGGCCACGTCCATTATGAACCATGTCGATAGATACCTGCACATTTACAATTTTTTTTTTTTTTTAAATTTTTTCAAATTTTTGCTTGTTAGTAACATCATCATCAATCAAATTAATTCTTTAACAGATATATATGTACTGCACCAAAAAAAATAAAAATCTTAACTTTATGATATAATTACAGGTTACGAATGAGGCGATTTGACATAAAATGGATCATTTTGTGGAATTTTTTAATTCCTGCCTAACGTTTTTGTTAGGAATGGGTGGGCTAAAACATTTGGAGGGTTTCCATCAAGGAAAACCGTATCCAATTTGATGATTGGGGTGTGATAAATGCTTTCCGTTATGTAGGCCAAACAAATATATTGGTAGGTTCATAATCCAGCTTTAAATTGTGGGTTAACAATGATTATTAGACAATTTACTCGGTTCGGAGTTAAAGTGAGTTTTAATATCAGCGTGTTCCACCCATGGAATATACATCAATGTCAACTTTTAATTTAACCTGAAAATAATGGGTTTAAATTAACGCAAAGATTATACTAGTATTCTTACCGTCTTGAAATGATTGTTTCAGTTGGATTTTCACTTATTAAGAATAAAAATCAAAACTGAACAACCATTTCAGGAAAAAAAAAGTATTTTCTTTGTTTTGACTAAAAACACAAAGATTATATACTCATATAATCATACTCAATATTGTTTGATTATGCAAATTGAACCACGAGAATGGAAATGGGATCTCCGTACGTGGAATCGTATAAAATGGGGTCAATCGATTTAATTTGGGCCGTCCATTTAATCAAAACCACATACCAAATATATAAAGGGAATAATAATCTTAAGAAAAAGAGACAATGTTCTTGCTCTTTTATTTTTTTTTTCCCTCTTTTTGTTTTTTCTTTCCTTCTAATTTTCCCTTGTCGGCAAATACTTTTTAAAGTACAATTAACACCTGACTAATTTCATGCACAATAGCACTTATTTTTAAAATATTAATTACGGTTCACTAACATTCAAATTATTCAATATATCAAATGGCCAATAAGATAAGATACTAATAATAATCTCTACTTAAAATCTAAATAAAATAATTGAACTATTGTAAGTTGTAACATCTTCGAGAAAAATGTTTATCAAAAGCATTTTATATATATATATATATATATTTACATATATATTCGATATTCAACCGCTATCATTACACCCGTAAAATTATAAAGGAACGTCCCAAAACTATAGGCCTTGTTTTATTTTTTTTTTTAACAAAATACCCAACTAGCACACTTTGTGCATGGGGCAGAGGAAGTCCTATTTTGATGAGACATAACAACATTTTTTTTCTCCTTCTTCAATCTTATCGAAATAACATTTTTTAATCACATATTCAAATTAATAAGAGTGTTAACATGAAAATAGTACAACCACATTTTTTTCAGGAAAAATACAGTAAACCTTTTTTTTTTTTTAATGACAAATGAAATATGGTTTTCTTTTCCCAGATGACGGGAAGAAAGTAGGGGGGAAAAAAAATGAAAATGGGGATCACTGACCTTTTAGCAATTTGGGACTTGTCAACAACAAGCAATTGGGTAATGGGATCAATATATGCCACCAAAAACGTTAAGGCAATGTCCGCTGCGAAGAACAAATCCACAATATTGTCAGCGATATACAGTCCTCTCTTGGGATGTGAATGCAGAAATGCAATCTCAAATGGACACGCCCATGCCGAATATCCCACCAACATCACCATCAACGTCTCCCAACACCTGCCCAAAAACAAAAAATGAATCATCCGTCACACTTTTTTTTTTTTTTGTATACAACGTTTATCACGTTATTGTATTTCATAAAACAGTTTAACAAAGTGGACTATACATATATCAGATCGATTTTCGTGACTAACCTGTATCTTGAATCCATGGGACAAATGATCTTTTTCTTGAGCTGAGCTTGAGTTTGGCTGTTGAAACTACCTGATGAAGAACCCAACGGTGGGAGTATAATCTTTGAGAGATTCCTCAAGTTGAGATCTCTTGAGGAGCTTCCATTAGTACTACTGCTGCTGCTACTGCCTTCTTCATCCCGGTACCGCCTTTCGGAATCATTTTTGTTGCTCATCTTTTCCCTGGTGATGCTGCTGGACCAAGAAGAAGGATCTAGCTTACCAACACAACAACCAGAAGAGCATTTCATCGATTTTTTTTTTTCTTGCTCTCTTTAGGGAACCAGTAATGCCTATTCAAGAAATGAGAGGAAAACAGAAAGAAAATGGCTTTGTGGAATCAAACACTAGGCAGTAGTACTTCTGGTGATGCACCAAAGCAAAATGGAGAATACTACTCAATGGGTGGTGGACCTTATGGTGGTCCTTTCAATATTCAATTCAACTTTAATTCATGTTTAATTCATGTAATGTATAATTGTATATGTATACTCCTACTATAAAAAGAAAAGTTAGGACTCAAAAAAAAATGAAAAATGCCAAATAGATCAAGTTAAGATATGAGTTATGAATGATTCATGATAGCTACAATGGTGATTACTAGAAGGAGGGAATGGGAATATGTATATTAATATTAGATATTAAATTGTGTTTATGTTGATTGATTGGTTGGTATGGGGATAACAAAAAATCTTGAATGCCAAATGCCCCTTTATGTGTGTAATTGGGTGTCCAATTTTTTTGGACACTTTATGTGATGATGAGGATTGAGGAATTAATCTGAGTTTTTTTTCTTTGATATGAAGATGAGATTGAAAGTGGGGGAATTAGCTAGGGCCCCTCTTTTCTGGTCATTTCACCATCTCAATCTGATTGTGTTGGTGGTGGAAGATCGTACGTGCTACATACACATGCACATGTACGTATCCTCCATGTGGTTCATAATTCACCCCTTTTGTTTTGTTCATTTCTTATTAATATGGTAATTAGGTTAATCGAACAAATTACTCAATTGCTCTGGCTAGTCAAGTCGGGCATCAACAAAGGTCGTTTAAAACTCTCAGTTTGATGCTGATCAATTCAGTATGAAAATAATAATAATAATAATCAAATAACATAAATTTGTTCAAATGTGAGGGTCCATTGTAGTTGTGAGATTGGAATGTTGTTCAAATCTCATTTCTGATTTGGTCTTAGAAAAGGAAAATATGTAAGGAAAAAAGATGAAGCTACACATTTATGCTTTTGTTCCTTTGAGCCCAACAATTCAAAGCTAGTGCTTGGTGGCCCCTAAACAAATTCCCATATGGTCTTATTCAGATATTGGATCCTTAAACAGAAGAAGTTTCATTAAATGATAGAAGTCCAAGAAATTTTTTGGGTGATGTTACTCTTAGTGCGTACATAATCAGCCACTGGCAAAGAGATTGGATCTTCATAGTGATATTTGATATTTCTTGCTACTTTCTCCTTTGCCCCTTTTTCTCCTCATTTGAGAATTGGAACAGTCATGAGGCTATCACCACATGTACTAGTTAAGAAGACAAACGATCTCATCTCTAAACAGTATACTATTAATGGAATGTAAGGCACGTTGTTGTCAAATCGACTAGCAAGTTGTAATGGAATCATAGTATACTAGATGTTAAACCCGACGATGCGCGGGGTTTATTTATATACATTATAAAAAATCAACCAAAAAAAATATAAAGAGTGTAAAATGTATTTGGAGTCTATATTAAGATACATTACACAACTAAAATTAAATAAAGACGTAATTGTAAAAATAAAATAATGCATATCATTTGAAATGCAAGTGTTCACTTGATTTTTATTGAAGGAGAAGAACTGGACAATAACACTTATAAGCAGAGTAAAATAAATACTATTGTATTAGGATTACACATTGAATGAAAAGATAAAATGATTGTACGCGTAAAATACATAATGAAGTAATTATCAATAGTAGATGGTAGATTATGTGTGATTGAAGTATGAAGTTTATTCTTATAATTATTTTGTTGTAATTAAAGATTTTATGGTATTGTTTGGCCCAATACTTAATATTTTAGAGGAACAAACTAACTGTAGAATTAAAATTTTTGCCCTTTAATCCCTTTTTGCTATGACAATAGAAAATAATAATTAATGAAATTATGAATTATGGGTAAAGAAAACATAAATTTAGTAACGTCTAAAAAAGAACCCTAAAACATCATTTTGCAGAAGAACATACGGAAAAAAACATGTGCGTACCAGACATATTGAGGTTGATTGTCATTTCATTTGCCATGAGATTCTTGCTGGCGCTATTCTTCCGAGTTACGTGACTACTCATGTGCCGCTTGCTGATATTTTCACTAAGGTTTTGGACAAGTAGATTTTTGAGTTTTTTGTGTCTAAGTTAGACATTCGGAATCTCCATGCTCCAACTTGAGAGGGGTAATACGGATGTAAATAGTAATGTTATGTTTTATTCTTCATTGTTACCGTTTTACGGCCTTGTTGTATTATACAAGTCAGTCAATGTATAAACCCTAATCAATTGATCGGTTTTACGGGTTCCGATTTTATGCGGGCCGGTTCACACATCTTCTGTCTTGGCAGTTCCCGTGGACCATGTTAATATCAATAAATAAAATATGAAAAAAAGAAGAAAAGAAAATATGCACACAAATAGATTACATGGATGAAAGTACTCAAATCAAATAGCCATAGATTAAAAATATGCCGGGGAGGAAGACGCTCATTAGTAAGTGACCACAATGACTAACCGCATCGGCATCAATCGTCATTGTTTTCATCTTCTTCATCATCTTCCTTCTCTGTAAGATTAATGAAGATACTTTCAAACCACTGAACAACAATGTATAAATTCAGTCAAACTATGGGGGCAAAAAACGTCTTTTCAAAGTTAAAAAAACACTTACTATCATAGTTATGTTGCAACTTATCTTCACACAAATAATGCCTTCCCAAGTTTTACAAAATGTTCTTAGAAACTTGTGATCATTTTTAAGGAGATTAATTAAAGGAGATTCTATCGAACCATAAGCATAAGGATTCTTGCTAGCCCACTTCCACTCATCTCGTGAATCTCACGCTTTGTCCCTTCAGAATTCCATTAATTTAATTAAGCAATCATCCAAGCACTATAGAAAATCTTTATATATGTAAGACAAGTGAAATGTGAATTAAACTTACTTCCAGTTCAACTCGAAGGGAATTTTTCTGATCAAGTAGACACAGAAATGAAACAAAAATTCAGCATTCATCGGTGAGTAAAGAATTTCAGTTAGTTGTAGTATAACATTAGAAGATGTTAAATCGTGTTATACTCGTATCGTACGTCTCAAACGCTGCCACTTTCATCCTTCCGTCATCTCATTTATCATACTTCAGCCATTGACTTGGTCAAAGGATGCCAGGAAACATGTTTTCTTATTTTTTTCATTTCAGGATTAAAACGACACTTAAATCATTAACTTAGTTTTTTTTTACTAGCTTAATTAATCATACTTGGAAAATGTCAAATTTCTAGCGGCTTAAATAATCAACGTAATTTTCTACTGGTTTAATTAATTGAACTTAAAATGGGATATCCGATTAACAAATTTCATGGATGACATCAATTTAACATTCTCTCATGTCTTGTTTGCCATCCACCAAAATGCAACCAAAAACAATAGCGCGCCAAACCGAATGTAACTTCCAACAAGGGACTTTAAGATAAGGATCACAAAATTACATTAATTTTGGATAATTGTTATCTTTTTTCCACTCCGATAGTCTCAAAAAATTAGTCCATATTGAAATTTGAATATTATGATATTTTTTAATACAAATTTCAAAACTCATAGCATACTTTTTTTCTTTATGTTTTTTTGGAGACAGTGGTACTACTATTGAATTTTTCAAACAATTGTTTGTTAAAGGTATTTTTCCCGTCAAATTAAGTGAAGTCATAATCAATCATCTCAAATTAAAAAAAATAATAAGGTAATTACTTAGTTCCAGAATTTAAAAATAAATAAAATATGTTTACAGGGTATTATTCGGCCAAATTAATGGTCGGAATTTGATAAATATGAAATTGACCGACTTATAATGTACTGGGATGAAAATGTCACTCTCGCTATATATAGCTACGATGAAATTGAAGTTTTGAGTAAACATTTTGGAACACTTTTTCCGCCTCATCAATTTCAAAATTTTTTTCAATGGAAACATCGGAAACTAGGGTTTCGGAAAGGGTCGTTGATGGAGGAGGAGACAACATGTATGTTTCAGTGATTCGTACGGTTCTACCGTCCATGCAGATGGAGGAAGTTCAACGTTTATCAAACAGAATCGAACTGTTAATGAGGCGGCCAGAGATCTGGAACCTCGAACCGCTCCCGGCCGCCGGAGAGATGGAGATGTATCCAGCAACGATGTTACGACCCTTTTTCCCAGATTCCTCCTCCTCATCGTCGTCGTTGCCAATCAGCCGCTATGAAGGAAGCAGGACGAACAGAGGCGGCTGAGCTTGGTAAAAAATCAGCGCCACCAACGAAGCAGAAGGCAAGACAAAAGAGGCCGCCGCAGTCGCTATGTATGAAAAAGGTTTGGGATCGTCGGAGGAGTTGTCCAAGCCCAAAGAAGAAACAGAGAGTTTTAGCTCTTTATTAGCTGAATCTGGGTTGGTGCAGTGTTGAGATTTGGTTAAATGGAAGCACTACTTCGACATGATACACGACACCCAGGTTATTAGTTTTAATTCATTGAACCAAAACGAGCTAATTACCCTGCATTATCAATAGTCCTTGATTTCTAAATTGCTGAGATTGAAATTCTTGATTTGATGATTATGCTGCCAAATACGTACATCTAAACTAGAACTAGAACTGACGCGTTTGTTATATATATATGCATATATGTCAGAAACACTGATTCTGAACCAAAAAACCTCCTCATTGATTTTGTTTTTTATTTGCTAAGTTGCGGGTTGCTTTTGTTCTAGGGTTATGATGTTGGCTCTGCTGCTCCTGATAATAGCTACAAAGTATCAATCTTACCATATGAATTCAAAGATGATGATGGTACCACCAAGCCTAATATCCGTAACATGGCCAGTGAATGCATTAAACTTTACAACGAAACACATGTACCGGTACCTATTTTTTCTCTCTTTATTTAGATAATAATATATATGTACAAATGCTCCGATTTGAATGCCAGCAGTCTTTTAATTTTCTCTTCTTTGATGATGATGGTAATTATAAGGATAATAATAACATTGTATTTTACTCTTTACGATTGTGTATGTCTGCAGCATTGTGGAAGTTGTGGAGGTTCTCAACGTGTGTTACCTCTCCAACTTCTTATCCTGTGTACATTGTACAAGATTACCTTCAAAGCTTCTCCTGTGGATGGTTCTAGCAAAGCGAAAATCTTTCTAGGCAAGTATCTTGTTGATATTGGGGTTCGTGAGGGGGATGAGGACGAGAGTGGGGAGATGTTTTGCAAGACTAAAGATGAGGCTTTTGATAAGGATTTGCCCTGTTTCCTTCCTTGCTGTAAGCGGTATGATTTGTACGCATGCAATAGTCGCACATATCTAGAATACACTCATGAGAGCTTTAAGCAGCGCAAGCAAGCAAGTTCTTGGAACCATGGAGCACCCTCTTGGGTGCTACAAGAGTTGGCTAAGAACGACTCCCAAGTTAGTTTGCTTGGACCCTAAACCCTAGGAAAAAGAACACGTAGTATTGTTGTTGTGAACTTCTTTTAAGCTTTTAGGTCAGTGACTCACTGACTGCATATTGTTTGATCCATGGATTGTGCATTTTCTGCTTTGATGTCGCAGTTCAAATTTATAATATAATTTCCAGGTGGATTGGATTGTGATAGGTAGATTAGTATGTAATTGTCAAGAAGCCCTCTTGGGTACAACATATTGGGAGCACGGAGCACCCTCTTAGGGTGTAAGAAAGGCCTCCCGGCCGGAGGTCGTCCGGCAAGACTGTCACCGGAATCATGAGTGTGGGTCAAAAAGTTAGTCCAGATTTTCCAAAAATGGTCAAAACTAAAAAGGCACAACAGAGAATATATACTAGAGATACCGAATTGATTCGGTGATACAGGTGGGCAAAAGGCTGGATCAGCCGGAGTGGCGTTATCTGGGAATTTTCATTTGTCACGAAAAGAAAAGAATAAGAATCAAGCGGCAAACTGGCCATTAGACTCTTTTTTTGTTTGACTTTTTCTATCGCTACAAATTAATTAAGAGTGTTCTCCATTGCTGTGTACTTTTACTGTTAGCATTAGGATTTGGAGGAATCTGTGCTAGATGCCCCGTTGGGCAATGCCCGGTCCCGGTTTAACATATTCATATTTAACTATGAAAAGAAAAAATATATATTAATAAAATTGTGATAATAAAAATGATACAAATCTTTGCGCATTTGTAGAGTCATAAAGATCGATTATATTTTGAGTACCTTTTCCTTCTAGAAAAATTGGTATTCTTATTCAAAACTTTACATATGCGGTTAACGTTACTTTATTTTTTTTTTTTCGATTAGCCCGTATTGTCATTTTGTATGAACTTTTCGTCAGGTGCCTCAATTTATTTATTTAAAATAAATCATAAGACTTACTGCTATAGTAAGAATTGATTAACAGTCTAAAGGTTAAAGTGTTGTGTTTGATGGAAGCACATTTAAGATTAATTCCTACTAAAAGAATCGATTAGCAAAGATATATTAATTCTTACATCAAATAATAACTGCATTATATAAATTAGGTCTATTTACATTGAAAAGGAAATTACAGAAAGGGGGAAGGAGAGAAACAGTGTTCTGGAGTACTAGGGTCAAATTCTTTTTAACTATAGACAAATGTTAATAATGATGGGTGAATTTGATGGGAAGCAGTTGATTGAGGAGGACTGGAGATGTCAATCTTATGTATTTCCTTGAAGGGAATATTAACTGTAAAGATCTCAATGCTTATACTCAGTTTGCGAATTTCTTTCAAGGTTTTAAAATTGGTCAATTACATCTCCAAATTATCAAAATAGGACAAATTCATACCATGATCGGTAAAACAACACAAGTGACCTACTAACAGGTAAAATTTATTTGAATCTGGTATTTATTCTATTTTACTTGTAATTTTATAGATTTTTTTAATTACTTTTAGTTTATTGAAAAACAACCAGAGATTAATAAATTAAAAAATTGAAAAAACTTAAATAATTTTTAATAAATATAATTCTTTTATAAGTTTAACTAATACTCCCTCCGGTCCTTCCGGTCCTTAATATAAGACATTTTAATTTGTCTTAGATTTCATCTAATACGCATTTTTATTTGACAAAATAATCTTAAAAATATATTTTACATTCGTTGTGTTCTCTTGATTGTTGTGAAATATTTTTAAAGTTTTTTTGTCAAATAAAAAATGCGTACTAAGTGAATCCTAGTACTAATCAAAATGCCTTATATTAAGGACTAGAAAGAGTATTAATTTGTTGATGATAGTTAAGATAATTCTAAATTTTTTCTTTCTTTTTGATTAAGATTGTCAACCCAGATCGAACAAGACATAATAACCAAGACGGAATCAAACCGAGATTGAATCATCAGAGGATTGGAAAAGTTTTTGTGTGTTTATTGAGTAGATACAATTTTCTATTTATACAGAAGGAGATGATTAAGCAAGTATGGTCGTCCCCTATTGGGTAAATCAATAATATTAAATTCTAGATAAAACCAAATCAATCTAATCAAATCAAATCCCTACAATTACTCTAACAAAGATTTCACACACACACAGATATATATATATATATATACACACACATCCACGCATATATTATTTTTATATTTTGGTCGAGATCCAGCGGTTCATTTTGATGGAGGAAACTGGCGATTTGGTGGTTGAGGGGCAACCGATGTGGATCTCGGATTTAGTACCTTTTGGGGGAAGCGGTAGGGTGGAGATGTGTTCCGATGTTGAGCGCCACCAACCGGAGACGAAGGTGCTACCGAAGTTTTCGGGTTCACGGATCCCAAGGTCTGAAATAATCACCGAAAAGTGGAGTCAATGGTGGCCGCTAAGGAAGCAGCGGGGCAGGAAGTAGAGGCCAGGGAATCTCGGATCAACCGAAATTACATGATAGTGGAATCACTGATTAAAAAAAGTAGAAGAATCCGTAAGGGCGAAAATTGATGATGCTCCTTTACTGCCTTCAGTTGATGATGCTAATAAGAAGATGAATTCGGAACTGGATGGATGGGAGGAATACTACAATTTGAAGCACAACAGCCAGGGTTTTGACATCTAAGTCTCCTCCTCCAAGTATGTCTTCGTAGCAAGTATTTTACAGCTTCTCCGGTTGATGATGGTTCTTCCAGCAAGGACGATCGACAGGAAAACCTTTCTAGGCCAGTATGCTGTTCTGCATCATCCTAGTCAGAAGGACGAAGTAGTGTTGGAAGTGGCATGCACTTGCGAGAAGAAAGATATGTTCCTATCAGATTGGGAAAAGAGGAAGTACTATGAACCCTGTCGTCTTGATTGCTGTATCCGTTATACCAGATACAATGATGTCGCCAGCGATACATTTCCTTCGTGATTCCTGGGAGCGTCCTCACTCCCAGTCGCGGGAGGCGCTGCTAAGAGGAGGAACACTCCCCTCTTGCTGCCCGGGGTAGAAGCCGCTTGATTACATTGACTCTGGCACCACTACAAACATGTGTCCTGATTCCTCCAAGGAGAAGTCTTGTTTGCGAGGAGCAAAGAGCCACCCCGACCTCTATATCTCTATTCCCGAAGCTGCCGCCTGGGTGTTATTGGATCTGACTAGTAGTGGTGTGACTCTCTCATTCAAACTTTTTTTTAAGCTTTTATATATTTGTGAAACTAATAGTATTTTAGTTGCCTATTTTCGCATAATTAATTCAACTATTTAAGCCATTATGATGATTGTGATAGTTCTTCATCGGATTATAATATATATATATATATATCTTACTATATTAGAAACAAAAACCACACTTCAGAGAAAGTACCACCATTTGTCATGTGGTATTTCCACATCATATTTTTAAATTAAATCTTTATTTTCACATCTCCTAGAATTAAAAGGTAAATGCAGTCCAAATCTACCTCCACCTCCTATTTTTGCCAAAACAAAAAAAAAAAAAGACGGGTTCATAAAAAACCCAAATCCTTATCCCCATCTCTACGACAATCGACTCCCTAATCAATCCCTTCTCCACAATAAAAAAAAAAAAACAAATTCCTCATCAATCATCAATTGAGAATATGTGGTGAAATATACTCATTTCCTATTAGCATGTTCAATCTTTTCATTAGTGATGATCAACTAAATCCTGATCAGATAAAATTTGACTTCAAAAATATTCTCTTTACCTTTCTATATAAACACAAAGGAAAAAAAAATTCTCATTGATCTTTCTTCGACCGTTGTGGTGGTGCAATTACAGGTATTAAAATTTAAATGATTTTATTTACACAGATCATTTGTTTGGCTTTTATTATTTTTTATTTTTCCCGTTCAAGAATAGTGTTATTACTATTATTTTTATGCGTCCATCCGTTACAGCTACCGTAGCCGTTGTCAGGTAATATGATGTGATTTCTTATATATTTAGTTAGCCTATAAGTTTTGTATGATTTTAGTTCTGTTTGGATTGAATTGATTAATTGAGTTTTTGTTACAAAGTGTGGTTTTTTAAATTTCTTTTTAATGTTTCATTCAATTATAGTGGTTTTCTTTTTTTAATTATGGAGTCTCAGTTTTTTTTCGTATATGGTCAGTTTTTCGAAGTGTGTTTTTTCTTTGTTTAATTGTTTTTTATTTTGTTTCATACTCCCAGTTGACCAATTATTATTATTATTATTTTATTTTATTTGCAAATAAAACGCGTTTTTTTTTGTGTTCGGGCTTTCAAGAATATACTTTTTGAATTTTGGTTTTTGACTTTTTTTAGTTTCTCATCATCTAAATAGTTCATGTCGCTTCTTCTAACTAATTTATGGGGAAGCCTTTTATGAATTTGAAGCGGAGAGGGAAAGAATGATGTTTCTACGTTTATTTGTATTTTTATACAACATTTTTAACTACAGAAAAAAATAAATTTCTCAATTTTAAATGAGCTATCTTTTACTTTCTTTTTTTTTATTTGCCATGGTGAGGTGAGTTCTTTTTTGGTATAACTTGAAACCTATGCAAATTTACATTATTTTCATTCTCATATTTGTGATTAACCAATTTCATGAATTAACCAGTTTCAAAATTATATTTTTGATATTTTACTACTTATAAACTTTTGGAAGAAATAGTTTCAACAATTAAGCATTTACTCTTGGGAGGAAGCTTACTACAAAGCTATTATAAATCTCTAAAACTAAGTATTGATTTGGTACAACCGGAGAATATCAATAAATTATCTTACTAATATTTAAACTTATTAGGATGCTTTTATATTTTGTCTAGCATTTAATTCAAGACATATATTTGATCAAGTTTATTTATATTTAAGAAGTAACACTTATAAAACATTTCTAAAATCTTCAAACATTTCTAAAACGTACCGGGTCAAATAGAATTTCTTTTTTATACCAAATATAAACATTTCTATGATCACACTTATAAAACATTTCTAAAATTTTCAAACATTTCTAAAATATATCGGGCCAAATACAAAATATTTTTTTTCCAGATACAAATATTTCTAAGATGTACAGATATATTGGGCCAGGATCACACATTGCGCGACCAGACATTACTAGTATATATAAATATATATATATATATATTATCTTTGCATTCAATAACTAATTAATTTTGAGTTCATTATAAATTGTGAGTTATTTAAGTTTGTGATGAATTAATTATTTTTTTTGTGAATTTAATGAAAAAAAATTTCATTTAGAAACTTTTTTTGTTAATGAGCTAAGAAAATGACTTAATGAAAGAAAAAATGAGAAAAAAAGAATAAAAAAGTGACCCAATGAACTTTAGCCTGGGATATCAACTCATTTTTGTTGTTTTGCAAATTTTGATAGTATTGAGATTAATTAATTTTAAAACTCTGAGATGAATTAAAAAACATGTGTAAAAGTTGGGTTGTATCTACTCATCACCCATTTTGAGAAAATCGCACCCATCTTATTAAGGTCTCTATGGGGCTCATCAAATCATGCGCCATAGAAATGAGTTGATGTAAGTTTCATACAGCATCGGGCTTTAAACTCAACAATTAGCAAACCCAACGCAAGTTCTTACCCAAAGTAAACAGGAATAAAGAGCAGCAATTGAACATGTTAATGATCCCTTGAGAAAAGTCACCTTTTTGCGGTCCTCTAAGCATGTATTCCCACATCAAGAACGTACCTAGAATGCTCCATATATGAAAGCCAGTTTCACAACTTCATATTTCATCATCTTGTTATTTTGTCCCTTAGATCAAAACTCAACTATAGAATCGACTAACAAAAAGTTCATTGGCTTCCCAAATGCATTAACCTAGTCGTCGAGAGAACATCTCGGCAGAAGGCATTGGTAACAAAAATCGGCCAATTTTGTCTAGCAATCGTAATTAAGTCGGCAGTATATATGCATTCGATCTCATTGTAACAAGTGTTGAGAGGATAATTTCACTGCTGAAAAAGCTCCATAACTGTGGAAGCCCTCTACTATACATCAGAACATCTTTCCTTTTCTTTTCTTTTGGCTGATTTTTCCTTCTTTTTCTATGCTAGTGAATTAAATAATTCATTTGGTTATCTGATAACTTATAGAATGTACAATTTATTTAATAAGTATTCGAAATGTTATTAAGGGCTCCCTTCAACAATAAAAAGTTTGTCACCATCCCTTATAACTTCAATGGAATCAATTTGAGCTCCACCTTCTTCTATCACCATTGCATTAGTTGCGTCTAATCCAAACTTTTTACCTGTTATTAAGATGACCAAAAAAAAAGAAAAAAAAAAGTAAAAAATCTCCAGTACTCATGAATGGAATGAAGTCTATTCATTCAACCGAGAGTTCATGGCTTCGTTACAAAGTAAGATCTTCCGTCCGACTTATTGTAAATCAACCGTGCTCCATTATTGAAAGGACATAATTTTATAAAGACTACAACAATGCATTTGAGGTTTTGTTATGATGTTTGTGAATAAAACAACCTCAAGGTTCATGAGAAGGAGGCGAAATAGTCATGAACTAAGTAAAGATACCTGCAATGCTTTTCAGCTCCGCAAGTGATTTTGGCAGGGTGATTAGTCTTCCTGGTTGATTGCATTGTGCATTTCTCCTTAACTTAGGATCGCCAAGAAATATGCTCACCCTCATTCTTCTTACATTAGAAGAACATGACCCTTCAGAGAATTCCTCCTCAGACTCATATTTTTCTTCATTATGTGGAAAACCACGCTGCTTTCCTGCTATAGTTTCCCACATTGAGGTATTCCAATTCGAATCTGCCAACCATTTTATCGCCTGAATCATTAGTTTTCTATTTTCCTCCTATATTAGGAGACAAGTCTTGGGATGTGGTGATTTAGTAAAGCAGCATTACCTGTATCAGCAAATTTTTGCAGATAATTCATGGATGGTTTTGGGCTACCTTCCCCTACATCCTTTGTCCCAGTGAGCAATCCATTGAATGTTTTGTGATACTGCAGAAATCATAAGGAACCAAGACAGATCGAATATCAGAAATTTTTTTTACTGAAAGATAATGAGCTGTAGCAGTTGGTTTGATGTGAGGTAATTAAACCATTGTGTTTTTTTTTCTTTTTTTTTTTTTTGCAGAGTTATATGCTAAACACCTCATTTTAAATAGTGTGTGTGTGTGTGTGTGTGTGTGTGTGTTTATATTTTTACTTTTTGCTTGATTGTTTTGCATTCATTGTGGAAAATAATCAAAAGTGAGGAAAACATTAGTATTGTCTAGCTAGCTTAGATTACAGACCTGTAAAAAATTTTCCATCATTGCCGTACTATCCTCTTGATTGTTCTTCATTGCTTGAAGCAGCACACTGACTTTAAGCTTTAACAATTGTGAAAGCGTCCTGGTTCGATATGTAAAGCGTTCTTTCCAGTTACAAAACAAAGGAACTTCTCCAAAGATATCACCTGATCTCAAAATCCCAATAACTTGTTCTTTCCCCATCTCAAAGTTGATTATTTCCACTTCCCCTGATACAATAATGTAGACACTATCTAGGATTTCATTATGCAAGATGACATCTTCTCTTGGTGCCATATATTCAGCCTTAATATCTGGTACCTAATCAGACAAAAGATACAAACTGTGAGCTGCTAATAGTTCTGATCATAAAAAGTTCTGCATTCTGCTTTTCTAAAGTTCCTCATTCTGCTTTTCTCATAGTGTTCAATGTTTGCAAGGAGAATCTGAGGAGGACATGTTGAAGTTGAACAGGGAAACTGAATAAACTTACCAAGAAGAGAAGGGATTCTCTGGAGACACCTTTGAAAAGGTAAACATTCTCAATCACAGGAGAAAACAGGTGCTGTTTTATGTTCATGTAAATGCTCTTTGGTAGCTGTTCAATCAGCTCTTGCTGATTCAAGCTTTCTGCTTTATATCTTAAACATATATAGGTTATCATCTGCTTCTTCAACTTGACAGGCAAGCGATTTCGCCTCACAAAGTATGATGCAGCATCTATGGTGTTTCTCTACAAAAGAATGACACCAACAATTAAGATCATTGAATGCACCAAAATAGAATAGTATTTTTTAGGAATGCATAAAATTTATGCATACGAATTCCATAGTGCGGCGTGTCCCCTCCACAACCAAATTTGTCATGTTTCCAATGATATAAGAAGTTAAACCTAGATTAAAGATCATATACACAATGACGAATGTGATCTCCCAGGCATTGACCGCATGGATGTCACCATAACCGACTGTACTCATGGTTGCCAATGACCAATATATGGCAGATATGTATCTAAACATTATGCTTTTGTCCTTATAATCTGGATTTTGAGCTTCCATGAGACCTATCCATGTGTTCCCTTTGGATGGATGGAGATCAGCTAGCAAATAGAACAGGCATCCAGCGCAATGTGCAAGAAAAGTCGTTACCTAACCAAAAACCAAGAAAAGAAACAGTAAGAGAAATACAAAACACATAAAAGTAAGTAATAACGTTGATTGAAGTTCACATACAGATAAGAGCCAAGCACATCTGACCCAGAAATAGTCAAATCTGATGTCCTTTTCGAGCCTGTGATGTAAAATTAAATATGCATTAGTTTTATTTTCTGGATTTTGTACTAATGATCACTATGGCTAACTATGTATTATGTATCAGTTAGCAATGTAGTACTAAAATCAACTATAACCTGGTAAAGAATTGCTTGACTCGTCTAATACGCCACAATCTGAGCAATCCTAGCACAGAAAAAGTGGCACGAGCTACGTGTGTGGTCCTAAACAACCAACCTAGAGTCTCAAAAGGGATTGTTGAGGCCACATCCATCACAAACCATGTTGAAATATACCTGTACATTTGATTTGAAAAGAAAAATTTTCAACAATCATTATATATATTCAAGTTGTTAGCAGGACTAGATTAGTTAAGCCTTAAATCATTGAATATGTTGTACTAAATGAAGTATATAATAGATAGTGAAATCTAGTTTTGTTTTTTTGTTTTTCAAATAATGTATACTTGAACAGAAAACAGCATACTAGTCAACCTCTTTGCTATCTTGGACCTGTCAAGGACGAGCAGGTGGGTTATGGGATCAATGTAGGCGACGAAAAATGTCAGGACAATATCAATAGTGAAAAAGAGATCAACAACGTTGTCTGCGATGCTCAGGTGCACATTCGGACGTGAGATGAGAAATGCGACTTCGAAGGGGCATATCCATGCTGAGTATAACACTAAAATCATCATAAATGTTTCCCAATACCTGCAGAATTTTTAGCTCATTCATCACATGTAGTTGGAAACTTTTTTTTTTTTTTTTTAATGGAATTTACTGTTTAGCTGCAATGAAAGTCTACATGCTTAGCCAGTGTATGGAAAAATGAATCAGCAAAACTAAAGCCAGAGTGCATACCTGTATCTTGAATTCAAGGGAGAGATGATATTCCCTTTAAGCAAACATTGGCTTTGATAATTAGAACTTACTGAAGCACCTAAAGGTGGAAGGACAAGATAGGATATGTCAAAATCTTGTGAAGTTTTACCAACTCTTCTCTTATGATCTTCCTCCTCAAAGTCACCATGGCGGGTCTTTTTCGGGTTATGCTCTTGCCCCATACTGACATTATCATCCATAATCACCCGAAACCTACAGAAAGTTAACTATCAGAAGATAGCTGGTAGATTCCTTTCAAGTATAAATGCAACCTGCTGCAGAGAACAAATAAAGAAAGAATATATGGGATGCCATTTATTGATCACGTAGTGCAATGCCAAGGTCAGCTCCCTTAAATTTTCAAGTTTACATTGCGCAAGAAATTCCATGTTCCATGCCAGAGTGTTTGTTTTTAACTTGATGACAAACCAGAAACTTTGAAAACACTACTATATATTGTGTAATAAGTTATAGGTTGGCCTTCATTAATTAGCTATCATTCATTTTCAAGAATATTGATATTGGATTATGCCTAAAAAAATGAGGATACAAACGAGAGGGCTTCTCTTGGATTCTTACGTGAAGCACAAAGTATGGAAGAAGAATGCGAACTCCACATTGTTCATTTTTGTGTTGTTTGTTCCTTCTAATTTGTGGTTTCTTAGTGGAAGGAAGGGGCATCTTCTTGACTTGTCCGTCGTTCAAATTCTGTTCTTTGTACTTCAACATTAAAAAAAGAACGGCAGCTTTTTTGGAGGTACCTTATCTAATCTTGCTTTGTGTAATCATCCCTATTGTATAAAGAGCAGTATCTTCTATTACCCTTTTCTTTATGCTTGAACAGATTTTTTCTGGATCATCAGAATTCAGAGCTAGAAGAAGCCAGAAGAGAATCAAGCATTAGATCCTATGGGAGTGGCGGTTTTTCCACTTTCAAGCTAGTTTACCAAGAAGGAATTTATCCGAGTCAAAATTGTGTTATACACTACCTCTTCTATAATTTTCTTGCAAGTCTTTCCAAGCTGTAGTATACTGCTAGTTGGTTTCTCTTTTTCTATAATTCTTAAAAGCTTCAACACTACATCTCTCCTACGCTGTAAGTTCATTACAATAATATGGTTGCAGTTCCCTCAAAATCGAGTCATTGCAGAATAAAGCTCATTTGCCTAAACCTTTGTAAGTGCCAACCGTATCAAGACTTGAGATAGAGCAAGACCAGATTAAGCTCTTCCTTGGCTTTTCCTCATAACTGCAACTCATGTCAAGAGCACTAGTACAACGAAGTCAGATGTGCTGGCTACACTGGCTAATCACAACTCTGACTTTGATTCCAGATCTTCTGAACTGGGTACGGATGAACTTTGTGGTTGGGTAGGTAGTGTAGCTTGTTGCTCTTGTGCATCAATGTTTTCACCTAAAATTTTGGCAGTGAACTCTCTTGCTTCCTGATCATAATTTGGCCACTCAGCAACAATTCTTTTTGCACCCTATAGACGTGAGACACCAGATGAAATGCTTATTATAAAATTTAATAATTAATAATAATAATAATACTAATAATAATAATAATAACAATAATAAAGCATCAGCTGGAAATTATAAGACTAATATTCACCTGAAGCTTTGGTTCTTTAGTCATGGGATTGTTGCAGAGATCTATAGTTTTTGCCTTTGGTTTAGTTGCATTACCACACCATGACTCGCACCAGAGCCATTCTTGTGGTAGTGAAAAGATAGGTACTTGATGTTGTGCATAGTTTGGAAGATCCTGAGATGTGAATGCATTGCATCAGAAAAAAGATACTTCAAAAAAGAAAGCAAAATAGTTCTCTGAAATAGAAATCAAAGTTGTGGCAACTAATTAATGATGGGCATACACACACATGTAATAATCTAAAACAATATGAACTCACCTGATCCAGATTAGAAAGACTGTTTGGATCTTTGCTGAGTGTTTCGTAGATCACCCTTAACTGATCTCCAGCTGCAGTTTCTCGGAACTTGGCAAGATCAACAACATAAAGAGCACTACAAGAGGATTAAACATATCATATTTTGGCTTATTAAAAGATTTCTCTTAGTATTCTATGAATTGTGCCACAATTACCAGTATGATAACCTTGCACCGCCAAAAAAAAAAAAAAAAAAAGAGAGGAATTAAAAAAACATAAAGATTACCTAATGTGATATGGTCTTCCTCGCAAATGTTCTCTCCAGAAACCCTGTTACAGTTACAAAAGTTCAGGTAACAGATAGAACAGTCTCGCCAGGAGCTAAAACCAGCATATAGACAGATATCACATAGCAACCATCAAATGATAGAAAATGAAGGATCCATCAACCTGTTTCCAAAAACGGTACCCATCCATTTCTTTGTTGTTATCACAAAAGGGAGTGTAAGCAAGGGGTCGTCCTTTCAAATCCATGTCATAAAGTTCTCCCATGTCAGCCCTGACAATCTGGTCTGCATCCACAAATATAACCTGAAGGTAGAACAAGACAGAAATTTTCAGCCATTGGGACTATGAAGCAAATAGTTAATCAAACTCCTCAAAACTGAGGAAAACAAATACGATTGATAGACAGAATAGTTTAGTTACTTCAAATCAAAACAACTCACCTTCTCCAGAGCAAGAGGGAAAATGACATCAAGAAACAGAATTTTGTAAGCCCATATGATTCTCTGCTTCTCTTTTTGTTTGTGTAACCACGTAGGCCATTTGTAAGTAACTAATTCGTACTCAAAACCGTATTCTTGTGCCATACGCGGAATTACATCCTGCACAAACCATTGAGTCAAAGAAGTCAACAATGAATTGCCGAGACGCTGAATCCGCACCTTTAAATTATGAATTAGATGTTCAAAAGGGTAGAGGATTGACACGAAACCTTGAACTGAGGAGAGAGGTAGTTCTTAATGAACCAGAATTTAACAGGTCTGCGAGTGTTTTTCAGGACACTAAGGATCATGATCTTTAGAAAACGTTCATATCTGCAGAAGTGGAACTCAAAGGAGTTAATTGAAGTAAAAGTCATTCATCATCCAACTGAAGTCCAAATATGACCAGCCAGAATGTACGGATAACACAAAAGATGCACAATTAAACTCATTCAAGCATTTAATCATCCATGTGTGCTTTAACTATCGTTGGAAAACTACAAGAATAAAGCAACTGTTTGAGGCAAACATTGTTTCATAGAGAACCATTTTGAAAATGTTTCCCCATATAAAAGCCTTCGGAGACATCAGACCTTCTTACAAATTTTTCTGGAGTATATTGAAAGATTCACATAAAGCCAACCCAGAAGAAAGGGGTAAATAAGATGCGGCGTATTTACTTACAAATGCCCAGACGCCACAGAAAATATATTTACGGTCTTCCCACGACGAATAGATTCCTAAAGAAAGGCATGGAAGCTCATCAGGCCCAATGATCACTTCCTTCCACCAGATTAGTAAAGAGGAGTAATAATATGCACTAGACAGCATTAGAGACCCTTAAACCCAACCAGTTTTAATTATGGACCTTCGGACGCATGCTTACCCCCGAAGTGCTCTCAATGTTCTTTGAGTTGTCGCCTCCAGAAATGAACCCAGAAGCCCATTTGAGTAAATTAGAGTTCCAACTCTTCTGATCTCCCTACAAGTTAAGAACAAAATGCTCAAAGTGATAGTCCTGGAAGTTAACAGTTATTTGATACCAATGGAATCTGAGACAAGGAACCAGATCAATGTATAGACATCAGCTGCTCACATTTCTTTTTTGGGTGGAATGACTGTCATCTTCAGAGGAAACTAAGAGTTTTTCATTTTCCATGCCCTTTTTCTTCAATACTTCCAAATATACTAGTTTACCACGCAAATCGTTAATCGTGATTCGCTTTGACAAAGTTCTACCCTCACTTCCGTCAATATCGTCTTTCATGTTATAAAGCTGTGAGCTTCTACCAGGTGCAAGTTGCAGATACCAAACTCCAGGGGAAACTTTCATTTGCCAATAACCAAGGTTGGCCATGACCAGCGTGTCAACCAAGTGAGGGGAACTCTTAGATCCAAGGATTAGTTGGAGACCTCGAGGAGGTTCATGATCCTTCTCTGAGCAATGACCTGCATATTGTCATTAGATTAAGCACGAGGGAAAAAAAAAAAGATAATAGTTTCTACCAATTAAGTTTTAGTACGGATGTCAACTGTTACCTGTAAGAATGAGAGCTTCGAGTTCAAACACTGCTTGCAGTGTTCTTTCATCACCTAGTTTCTCAAGCAGGATGTTGTCCAGGTCGTGGCTACAGTGTTGAAGTAAGAAAAAGTTACCACACTCGGTTTGGGACGCGAAAATTAGATCAAGATCAGTAAGCATACAACTTATGTAATTTACCATTTAGAGATCTAATAACATCAAGAAAACAGAAAGGAAAACATACACAGCAACTACAGGTTCAACAAGCCATGGCTCTGGAACATCAAGGTTCATTGTAAGAGTCTTTGAAAGAGGCATGTTTGCAAAAAATGCTTTGGGGCCATGTACCGTGTCATCTGTGCTGCTAAAGTCATCCTGAAAAACCAACCATTAAAACATTACAGACCAAGAAGAGGAGAGAAAAAATCTTGAATAAGATTATTCAGTTGATAGAATATACCATAGTTGGGACTACGTATCTGTAGTAATTCTTCAAGGGAAGATCGGCAAGGGAACTCTGCAACATACAAAGAAAGTATCAACCTCTTGGGGTCTAAATTCCGAACATAATGCACTGTAGCAAGCGCAAATGTCCGTGAGGAAATTAGGAATATACTCTCTTGATTGAGGCAATTTATTTGAGGAACCAGAAATCTCAAATATAGAAAACAAGAATAAGTAGTCCAAGGGAAAGTGAATTCAGAAGTATGCAATGTAAAATGTAAGATTCAGAAAACAGGAAACATGAAAGAAGAAACCACAAGATGGACACTGAATCTACCATCACGACACATTAAATTAATGTTAGAGAACCATGAGGTGTAGAAACTACACTTTCGATAAATCAAAATTGAAGCCCAACAACAAAGAGTACCAATTTTTTTTTTCTCTGGCAGTGGCTTACACAATCCTACTTATAAGCAGTGCATGGTTAAACAACTGTGGTCCCTATATCCATCAATGGAAATACAGATGCCATTTAAGGTCATAGCATCACTGATCCACTCTTCATTTTTAAATTTGAAGCCTCCATTGTGACGTTATCAATTAGAATCTTAAACAGCCCAAAATCAAACTTCATCTTCCCCTCACGAAACATTCAAGGTCGCTCAACAGCATTTCAACTTATAAAGCATCCCATTTGCAAGTTTCTTAACAAATAACGGATCATCTTTAACCGCAGTGTTTGATATTATGACAAAGAAACAAAATGAGGAAGCTCAGTAGCCTATCACAATTGAATTCCAACCAGTAGCTCTAATCCTTTTCTCCATTGGTTGGGCCTTTTTTGCAGTACCGCGAACCAATTAATTTCATATTATTTAAAGTCGCCTCCAAAAGCAGGTCAACACCATACACGTAGCAGTTTTCATCTTTTCACAAATCATATTGCATGTTAGGTCCCCTAACCCTGTAAATATACCTAAAAAAATGTAAGAAGCAAACATTCATGTCCACTTTTCAGCTCATAAATTGTTTGGTTGGCTAAAACATTCCTTCTGATCAAAAACATTATAGCTTTCTTCCTCAAAAGACATCCTAATATATCAATCTAGCCACACAAAGGATAAGTAACATACCACTGGATTAAGGACCAGTCTCATGCTTGGCTGAATATGTTTGGACAAGAGGCGAAGAAGAGATGACAACTTTTGACCAGAAGAACTCAAAGGATCAATAACAGCATCAATGTGAATGCTTGAGTCTTCATTCTCAAGAACTACAGCACTGTGGATCACCAAAAGAAAAAGAAAATTTCAAATCAGCAAAAATGCTCTTATGAATTGATGCATTAGCCAAAAGAATGGTAGCAATAGATGAGAAACGAGAGAAACAGCTAAGAGTGGTCATCTGTACAGGAGATGTTTTGGCCATCTCTAGCAGTTTCTTGGGAAAAATTTTTCTTGAGGGACCATATTTTGGAGGGACATTCTAGTCACGGAAAAGCACGACAGCATATGCAAAAACTAATTTAATTGGAACCTGTAAGTTGAACTCAAAATTTCAAAGCGAGCACTCTCAGAACTCCGGTCCCTTGCTGCTATTGAAGATGAGACCGATACAATAATGTCACTGATGAACTTGCTGCAAAAGGAAGAAATGTGGGAACATTAAAACATACAAGTTTGAAACAATAAAAACAAATAGCTAGGAAAAAGATAACTGCGTGTTTACCCCACATAATGGTGTCAGCTATATAGAACAAATTTTGCCATCATGAAGCAATAGAAAGAAAATTGTGAAGTAAATCAATAGCAAAAATATACTAGTGATGAAGAAGGTTCAATCAAGACCTTCAGCGTTGGGATACTTTATGTGATGTTTCATACAAAGGAAAATGACAAACAATATGCTCAAATGAGGAGACCATGTTATGCACTGACCATCAATTATGAGCTACGAGAATAATAGAAAATCAACAAAAAATAGCATCAAAACTATCCAAAAAAAAAAAAAAAGTAACAGCAAAACTATTAAAAACATGGGATCTTAAAGAAAACATGATTCAAATGTTCAATTTAAAGCATAATTCAAGACACAGAAATTTCGAACCTTGTCAACAGGTCAGGATCTATGTCTTCCCACTTTATTTCTTCAATGATTTCAGCAATTTGCTTTATACGTTGTTTAAACTCCATGGACTCCAGAAGATGGAAATCATGGCTTATGAAAACATCACTACCTCGAACTGGGACCACCTAGAAGATATGGGAAGAAAGTTATAAACAAAACTGAAAAACATGGGTAAATTTCATAAAAGATAAAAGAGTAAAAGACGGAAAGCCTTTAGTCAGCAAATACCAAATACTAAGACAATCTCCATTTCAATTTGCAAATTGTATTTAATTGCGGAAACAAGAGAAAATGTAAGAAATAGAAAATATTAATATAGCAAAATATGAAAACCTTCTTCAATTTATGAATAAGTGAATTCCTAATTTATCAATGTTAAGGCTAATCTGACTATAAAACCATAACCAATCGAAATCAACCAATCAAACCTAACAGATCCTGTAGAATCAATACCAATTTCTAGCAGAATGCAAACTCACCCTTCCATTTGTAATGACAGCATTGCTACCTGCTTCAAGCCCAATTTGTCTAGACAAAAAATGTGCAACCTGCACGAGGAGGAGAGCAAAAGTCATCAAGATCATCATGAAAGGCAATCAGAAAGAGAATCATAACAGAAAAGCTTCTAAAGAAGTTGGCAATAAACCACCGAAACATGTACACTCCAGAGATACTAAACCTGAACCCTAAGCTTCCATACACCACCCCCAAAATAATAAACAAAAAATAAATAATAATACAAAATTAACTGCTGGTTCCATTTTAGAACAAAGTGCAGATATGCTCCCAATAAATATCATACATATTTTCAGCAAACTCTGAAAAAACTGCGGCAAGATATCATACTCAATAAGTCTATATGAGAAGTCTAATGGCAAATGATTAATCTACCAACAATGTGGTGAGCAGATTAGATCTTTCAAATGATCGGTGAGAACTAGTTTACAACCTTCATCAACTAAAAGGCCTAATACAGCCCTCCAGCGCGCAAAAAGAAACAAAAATCATAAATCAAAAGAAAAATGGATGACTTTACAAACCTTTTTCAAGTGGTTTTCTGTATTTCCAATTGATAAACCAGCGAGAGAAGATTCATAACTCTTAGATGGCAAATGATTGGCAACAGCCAACTGAATAACCTTGTCAATGAAGACTTGCTGGCTTTCATTATCAGGATAAGATTTACTCATATACCCGTGTTCATACAATGAGCAAACTTGATCCAGAAACTGCAAAACACCTTTTTTGTAACTGCATATAATAATGATGCGATTGATTAAGATTAGAATTAAAACTAAAAATAATCATAAACAACGGAGGCGTACAGTCTGAACATAACTTTTCCTCTAAGAATAGTTATCTGTATTTTTATCATCAGTTTTGTAGATATTCAAATGAAACAGAAACTTAATGACAAACCTATGAGCAGATGCAGCTATTTCAAAGACCTTCATGAATACATAGCTTGACGGATCAATATCCTTATTAGCACTAAAAATCACACCTAACCGAGAAATTTTTGAACCTCCCATCTGCATTTAAATAGAAGTACTTAGTTCGGGAGTTGATAAAATGGACCTCAATATTATGATAGTAGAGGTCAGGTTTTTGAGGTGCACTTACCAGATAATGCAGCCCTTCATGAAGCAATTTAATACCTTTCTTTGATGCGATGTCAACTACTAAGAGTTGAGTCACAGGCTTTATATCGTCCGCGCCTAGAACCATTAAGAAGATCCGAAATGAAACAGGAATCATGATCAAAGATCCAAACTCAGCCATTTAAACGTGGTCTTTGATATTTAAAAGTGACCTATGACTTACTTTCAGGAGAATGTAGGTAACTGATCTCATTTATCCAAGATCCACTTTCAAGAATTGATGCCGACAGTGACACAAATTTTGGTTTAACCTTTCCACTGGTTATAATCTGTACAAAGTTAGCATGCAGATGGCTCATATCTAGGGTTGAAAAGTAAAACTGCACCTTAAAATTGATAAATCAAATCAATGGAGTTACTATAATTTTATACCTGAGGATTATACCGATGGATACCACTCTCCTTTAATAATTTGTCTAGAATATCTGTTTGTGAATTGATAAGACCATAATAAACTTGTTCCTGTATCCTTGGAAGCTCATCATTCATGGCATTGATAAGAGAATCCTGAAAACAGTTAATCAGACAAGTATTACAACACTCATAAATTTAAATCCTCAAGCTACGGGTAATGGTCGTATGGCATAGCAATGAAAGTGGCGACTCAACCCTCAGCTCTTTGAATTCCAAACTGTGGGATGCATGTAATAGGTGCACGGAAAGAAATAAATAAGTAAAAATAAAATTTAAAGCTAAGCTAAATGATTACGTCTGGATAGATTAAATCTCAATGCAAAAGCTATGAGTAAATAGAAATGATTTTGCAAAGAAACTCAACAAAAATGGTATGGACAAAGATGCTATGAAGAATATCTTGATCTAGTCTACTGAGCAATCATCAACAATCAGTAAATTACTTGATCTTAGAATAAAGAGGCACTCATAAGAAGAAAGATAACTCATCCAAACACTACCATATAACATTTAGTTTGGGCAGGGCAGTTATTTCAATACCACAAATTTAAATGAGAACTTCAGCATTACAACTTTCAAATGATCAAAAGAGGATTAAGCAATGAAGAAAAGTAGCTGCCGAAAATCGGAACAAATTAGAACCAGGGCTACCTATTTTGAATAAAAAAAAGGCAGAGTTAGAACTGCACCTCATTAGCTTCATAGACAAGCCCATTCATTAAGAGGCAACATTGCAACTTTGCCAAACCCAGCTTAGAAACAAACGAGGAAGTCTCTTGAGAGAGGTCCTCATATGATTTCTCCTTCTGCAGTTTTAACAGAATGTCTTGGGGTGGAACTTTCACCGAGGGTCTACAGAGAATAAAGGACTGGTGAGAAAAGAACAAAAGAAAGAAAAAGTAAAGAGCATAACAGAGCCACAGATACCAGGAACAACAACATGAATGAGGATTACAAAGTGGATACATGAGAGAATATGTCAAATTTACTAATTAGTAAAAGACGACAGTAATTTTCTTTAGAACTTACAGCAAAGTTTCCACAAAAGCTCCTTCAATGTGATGCATTTCAGGAGTGTCTTCAGTATCAGACTCAAGACGCAATTTATTTATCTGCATGTTCCATGTAAATAATTTTAACAAGAGATATCTTGAGTAAGCTAATTATTGCTGCTTCCTGAATGCATATAGCAATATTTGAAGAAAGAGATCTAAAGTAATGCGGCATGGATGCATGACCTTACTGAGTGCTCTCAAGTGAAGAATGCAACAAAAGTTAATAAAAGGGATAAAATACAGAGCAGTATTACATGACATCTATGGCATTAAAGGACAATTTACAGACAGGAACAGAACTGCAATGCAGAAGATTTGATAATATAAAACACATCAGAAATACATATTTCAGAAAAGCTTAGAAGTCAATGAACTCGATTACTACTCAAGGACAAACCTGCCAAAAAGCAGAGGTAACTATCTTTAAATGCAAAACAACCTCTACAGAACATTTTACAATTCCAAAGCAAACATGCCAATTTCCCAATTTATCAGTGAGAAAAGAAGGCAATCATGAAAAAAAGTGCCCATGAAATGATATTAAGCAACAGCCACAAGAGATTGTTCATTCTTTTTTCTTTAAAAACATGTAAAATTTTCAATGAGAAACTACACATTCAGCACAGACAAGAACAAAATAATACAAGTAAAAAGATCATCATACATTGCTGAGGAACTGGAAAGCCATCAGAGCCCCATGATTTTCCTTAATATAGAGAAAAAGACGAATGACCTGCAAAATGGAAATTTCAATTAGCTTACAAAGAATCATTTCATCAGAGAGGCTTTAAAACATTTAAACAACCGGGGAGGTGTTGATGGGGATGAAATATCACTGTTATCAATTACCAAGGAGAAGTGGCGAAACAATTTCTGATTCCAAAATCAAATTGACAAAACTATATCAAGAAAGAACACTACCACTGAATAGTTGACTATATTACACGTGCTATTGTTACTCAATACAGAATATATATTTAAACCAACTGATGAATCAGTATAAGGGATTTCCCAACTGATCATTTTCTTTAATGATTGAGAAAAAGCAGTAGCACATCAATGCTAAAACAAAAAAAAAAACAGTTCATGAAGTTGAAACAAAAAAAAGGTTGAAGTCATTACCAAACTAGAAATATCTTCAGATTCATGGCCTTTCAAGTCATCACCAAAAGATTCAATTTTCTGGATTAAATCTGTTGAGTACAATATGATGCCAAACCTCATAGGAAGATTGTTCTCGAACAAAGAGATAACCATGTCGATGGTCTGCATTCAAAAGCAAACATGAGCAAATAAACTACACAACTGAACACATAGAGAGAGAGGGAGCGACTTGCCTCAAGCCCACAAATGGAAGCAGGATCTAAAACATAAACTGCGTGATAAATGTTTTTTCGGATATACCGCAATTGTCCAGGGAAAACCGGCATCAGAATCTACATCAAGAAGGCAGAGATTGTTGCTCGTGTCGGTTCATGATGTAAACCATCCAAAACAAAGTTCATACACAATGATAGACACAAGTAAAGGACCAACCTCGTTTAAATTGCTCCTCCACCGCTTGTACATGACATCAACCTCAAGATCATTGATATAATGAACATGTGTAGAGCGAAAATCTACCCGAATCATGTTGGATTCAGAAGGTGGTAGAATCGAAAGGAGTTTCCTCACAGTAGTCGGTGGGACCTAGGTTATAAGTTCGTTATAAGCATGAAACTTTAAAAAAAATATCCAAAGAACACACCTATATGAACACAGACGAAGCTTTTAAAGGCGTGGTTTAAGAATATCAACTGATCATTGAACAGGTGCTGACATTTACAACTGTAAGATGGTGGGAGAATGCGGAAGGAAATTATGGAAGAAACAGAAATTAGTTTTTTGTGAAAAGAAACAATGAAAATTCTTTGAGTTACCACTCCGTAATATGTTGAAAGAATAATTATGAAATTACTACTATCAAGAATACTAACTACAACCAATCAAATTCATCAACTTAGCACGCTATCAAATCAAAAGCTTGTGAGAGGCCAGTAACTAAAGATCAACTTGATGTGATTACTTCAGGACAAATTAGGTCAAAAAAACATGGTCATCATTTTGATTTCTTAATGCAAATCAGTCACAGTTTCAGAATCACAGGATGTTATCAGCTCGCACCTTCAATTTTGAATATTGATCAGCCAATGACAACTCCTGATGGACCATGTCAATTAACCTGGAAAAGGAATAAAAAAAATAATAAAAAAAAAATTAGTACAGACATACAATTAACTTACTGAGAAACACTGCAAAGATCATAGTTCATACATCACGAGTGCTCCAAGGGCCAGATTGGAAAATACCAAGGAGAGTTCATTTCCTATGCCAGAAAATGTTGATTATCATAAGTAACTTATTGTCACCTAACCTTACTTCAAACCTGGACAAAGGAAAGGGTGCATGACATGACTACCAAAGTCAAAACACACGATAAACCTGCCCCTAGACTTGCTATCAATCCCGCCCCTTTCCCCCCATTTTCTGATGCATGTGCTCCCATCAAACTGTAAATAGGAAACCATCTTTAGGCACATTTTACAAGGGTGCAAGCCAGAATATCCAAAAGTAGTTGATCTAACAAGTAGGAGTGGTTCTCTTTGGAAGAATGAGACATAAAACTGCCATCATGGGATGATACTCCGATTTCCAGCCCATTAAACTCCGTGGCAAGTTCAAAAAAAACAAAACTTTACGCTAAAAGCACACGGTGAATTCACAATCTTTCCAGAATTCTACAGTAACTCAATTTTACAGGAAGCAAACATTATAGCGGCCGATTATTAGAAAAGCTACAGAAAGAGGAAACAACCTTAGTGTATGATCTAAAGGACACCCAACTAGACACTCCCTTACTCAAGATGATCTTGCAATTTATTGCCCAAGTAACATGCAATTACAACAATGGTGTAAGAGAGTACATTTGAGTCCTGTAGTTGTCAGTAGAAAACGCTAGAGCTTCCTTGGATAAGATCTAGTGTATGCATAATATGTGTCATTTTGGGTAGACATGACTGTGATGTACCAAATTCTTTCACACGGTAATGAAATTAACTTCTTTACCAAAAAAAAAAAAAATGCAATTACAGCTCCACTCCTCATCCCCAAGCCCATCTAAGGGCTCCAAGAAATTGTTTCTAGTTAAAGGACAAAATGATTCAATATGGAACCAATTAATTCCTTTAACCTGATAAAGATCAACCTATTGTAAACTTAGTTTAGTATCCATAAATGTAAGATGCATTGTGTCATTACTTTTTATTCACCCTAAGCATTCACCTAGGACAATTGCATATTTCTTACTATGACAGGGAGAAAAAAAAAGAGATGGAAACAGAAAAATAAAAATAATACAGCAAAAACAAATTAGTTCAGAATAAGGCATTACATATAAAGATCAATATCTTCAACATTGATTAAGGCACCATTCATGGCCAATATAGACTTGCCAGGTGGGATCATTCTTTGGTTTGCAATAATTTCCTCTTTAATGGAATCATTGAGCTGCAAAGCATTAAAGTACACAAGAAATTATCAGCTTCACATACAACTGCTGAGGATTTAGAACCAATATTTTTAATTAAACTGTTTTCCTGCATCAGAAAAGTAGTTCTAAAACCCACCTTCATGCGAGATAAAGAAGAAACAATACTGGGAAAATTTTGATTGATGTCTTGCATTGACTGCAAAGGATCAGAGGCTTGAACTATCCTCTGTGCAGTTTGATGACCTAAATCTGAAACGAGTTGAAAGTAAAGTTAATATATACCTGAGGTACCAATATGCTACAAAAGACACTAGGACCTAGAAGGTGCACCTTTTAACTCCCAAATATCCAAAGTATCTGAGACAGTAGGCGATAGCAAAGAATCTCTGAAAGCCATAATTTCAGATGCTAATTCCGGTTTGCGTTCCTGCACCACAACAGACATAAATGGACATTTAGTTGATCACTGATACCTCCGATCTGTAAAAACTTTTTCTTTTTTGGTACACTGAAAAAACAATATCACGTTATTATTTGACATCAAACTAAAGTGCCTCCTAAAGAGAATGAAGACATTATTGTGATTCAGAACTCACTGAGACATCCACACCATACATACACAAGCCACATACTCAATAACATGTGATTTTATTGCATCTCTATTATTATGAATCAATTTTCTTTTCAGGATTCAAATTCAATAGTTTACCCAATCTCTCAAGCTTCTTTTTCAAGTTGAGCACGCAGATGACAAAAGCAACGCTAAATGAAAAACATATATCTTTTACTAACTTACAAGAGGCATTTATCATCAATAACTATGAGTTTTCTCATTTTGCAGGTGTACCAGAATAACCAAAGGGATCCAAGATAGGAACACAATAGGCAAAAACAGTTAATACAGTAAATATTCTTGGCAAAAGACATGTAGTTCTACCCTATGCCTATAATCTCCACAGAAGAAACATCAGGGTTACTTCATCCATATCAATTTATGGTCAAACTCTCGGGGTCAATGATAGCAAAATAACTAAGTGCTAAAATAATGATCCTCCTTCTTCTCCCAGAGTCTTTTGGTTTTTTGCTTAAACTTCTCCCAAACCTGTATTTTCCAAAGATTAACAATTTTTAACCCTAAAACAAAGTCGTTCTTGCCCATTTATTGCTCGTAAAAGTTAAAAGGATTTTTGTGTCTCAACCAAAGCAGTGATAAGGACCTTAAGTCCTTCAGATTGCCTTAAGCATTTACACAGTGGAAAAGCAAAAATTTGAAACCATCTTTCGATAGCTGATTCCATTATTCCAATTTCTCAACTAAAAAATAAATAAAGAAAGAAAGAAAGAAAGAGATTTACAAGCTATGCTGATGACAAAATTGGTTGATTCAATCTTTGCAACAAGTAACAAATCAGTAAGTATGAAACATGGATAATTACATCTTCTTTCCAGAAGCTTTATACAAGCAGAAGGAATACGATAAGAATCTTATGGGGAGATTACGCTGTGTATTAAGATACAGCAACTAGATAGCAGTAACAACAAGCCTCTTTCCCAGCAACTAGATAAGCATGCATGATTAATCTTTTCCAAAATAATTAATGATTGCATATGTAGACAGACAGGAAATGATAGCATATTTTTTGTGCATGAACACCAAGGAAGAAATGGTTTCAAATCAAGACATGGCAAAATAGTTGTGGAAGGTAGTGCCAAAATCCAAAAATAGATAAAATTGCTTAGAGAAAACTGACCAAAATTCTGGAGAAGATAAATCCTCTAACATCTTGGCTGAGATCTTCTGTGTGTGGGTCTTCAAGGGTAACACCTGCCAGGGAAATTACAATGCTTCATAAAAGCATCCAATATGGAAACTATTTATTCGGAAAAAATTATTAAGGCCCTAAATCACTAATGAATTATCATATGTAAGCAGCACACAGGCACAGATCTCACCAGCATTACAAGTAACATAAAACTGTAGCCATTTTGGGGTCTAGTAATGGTTTCTCAAAAAACAGTATTGTTAGATAAAACAAATTTCATAGATAACTAATCCTTTATCAAACAATGTGGGGTGACCTCAATGTATCATTTTTCAGTCAATACGCAAATTATAATCTGTATGAAAAATTGGCCCATGCATGTCTACGGGTCCTAAATTTTACGGGATGAACATGCACCCAAAACCCAGTAAATGACAAGTCATAAATAAAAGGGCTCATATTGCAACCCTCTGAACAGTTGACCTACTATAAAGCTATAACACACTGCTCTGCAACTTCTATTGATAAGCCATATGTTCTGAAGTAAATTGGTTTCTGAACGAAGAAGTTACTCTTTTTCTTTAGCAGAATTCATTTATGTCGCACAATTTCTTTAGCAGAATTCACTTATGTTGCACAATTTCAGAAGAGGACTCTAAATGGATACACGTTTCCTTCGAGATATAAAATGACTATCATTTGTTTGTTCAAACATTGAAAACATTCATAGAAGTAGTATGGAAACTATAACAGATTCATTATTAAGAGCACGATCTATGGCTAAAAATTCTAGATAACACTCAGACTATCACTAACTCCAGAAATTTCTTTTCTCATCAAGAAATTGCTTTTCTCTCATTGAAGCCAAGCAGTGAGAGCTACAATCATACATGTAACTAATCTTTTAAAGAAACTGTTTGCAAATGCATTCTAATCAGGTTTTTTTGCAGCAATAATAATTAGCAAAGACTTATAGTGACTAAAAAGACATAAAATGAGACTAAGATGGAAGGAAGGCCTAGGAAGAGGAATATTATTCAACTGCTATTCAGACAGTGATAATTAACCCAAAAAAGCCCCACCATATTCCACACAAGTAACCAACACAGACCTTTTTTTACTACACTGTCATCCATAGCCTTATACTCCATGTTCTTCAGGGCAAGTTCTACACCATAGCCACCTAAGCTCAAAGCATCTTTTGTACCAATAGCTTCACAATGGCCAACTTTGGATTCACAGCCTGGAAGTAATAGAGGTCTGACAACATAAGTGATCTTTCCCTGAAGCAACAAAGATATACAGCAGAAAATTAGTGAAACATGCAACGGTGAGACTGTATGCATTCTGCAGGTGTCTTGTGCGTGACATAGGACATAGGGATCAAGAATTAGAATCCGCAGACATATATTAGAGGGCTCCCCTGATCATAATGTGTTTATATTAGGCCAAACATTCCAAAGTTTCAAACCCAAATGATCAAGATTATGACACAGTTGCTTCTAGTAGAAAACCTATTACTATCAAGTTCAAAACAAGCAGGCTGTAGGGAAACGTTGGAACAGATGCTTTTTCAGGTTGACATTAGTAAAGGAAAAAACGAATACATTAAAAAGAAACTGATTAACATATCAGAGGAAAAATATCTGGATATTCAAATGTCACCTGTCTGGCTGCAGCTACTAAGCTACTGTGAAATTCCCTAAAGCATTCCGTTCCAAGGGCTCCATATAAGATGGCGACAGGGTTTCCAATGCTTGAATCTGGATGAACATGATCAAAATCAAAAAGCTCAGGCTGCTGAAATGTAACGCTGGTTCTGGCAGTAAATAAAAGGAATACAGTCAGCGGATGAATTGAAAATCTCAAATAATATTTACATTTGAAACAACCTAAAGGTCATTGAACTGGATAATCTGAAATGCAAAGCAAAACTTACTGCCTGTTCAGGTTTTCAAGCCATTGAAGCAACTCATTTGCATTGAAATGCAATGCCGACCCAGTATCAACCCAACAACATTTCCCATTAGGAGGTCCTGGATTTGGTTTTTGGCCTTTACCGTGATCATTTGACCCGGATTCACCATCATTGACCGAGCTCAAGTTAACTTCATCGCCCATTGGAAAAGAGGAAAGGGAATCCTCTGCCAACTGCTGATAAAGAACTAACCTAGGAGATGCAGACCGAAGAGTGAGAGAAACTTCAAAAACTGATGCCAAGGGCTCGCTTAATAATGATTTCCCTAAATTTACAATTGTCTTCAGGCACTCTTTAGCTGTTCGAGAACCAGAGTCTTCGCTTCCTTTCAGAAGCCAAGATTCAGTGAACTCCCAATAAAGATCTTTCCACTCTTTAGATATTAATTCCCTGCAGAGCATAACAATAAATTGTCATGAGATTAACAAAAGACAGTCTAAAAATCAAGCCACCAGAAGAGATTTGGAGCATTTAGCTTTGAAACTCTATAGAGACAATGAATTCAAAGGAGAAACACAATTTACAATAGAAATGGTCGACCACCTTAGTGAGAATTGGACAAATAGAGGTCCATTCACAGTAAAACACACTACAAGATAATATGTACATATATTAGTACAGTAAATTGCAACAGAAATACACAAGAGAAATAGAAATCTCCAACAATATGATGAAACTGACTAATGAATTTATGGAACAGCCATAACGAAGAAGGCATATAATCATCTGCTAGTCTTCTAGATGCCAAACTTAACAACTTTGCTAGAGAATGAGCAGTTCTAAGTACTAACTAGAAATTTTTAAGTAAGATCATACAAGAAATTCTCGCTGGCAATGCCACAAAACTGTACCTAGTCACATATTTAAGCTCACTTTTATAATTAAAATAAAATAAAACAAAAGAAATTAAAGCACTGATCTCTCCATGTAGTTCAGAAGGAGGAACTTCACATCCACTATTTTTCTCGGTACCACACTTATCAAAGTTCTATAATGGCCAAACCAGATTCTTCGTTTCATTTTGTTTTGTTTAATGCCCTAAATTGGAATATCACCAAAAAAAGATCATAGTTAAACTGAATGACCGGTGACAATCAGAATATCCAACATACTACACTTGGGACACATAGCAAAGACATTTCCAGCAGTACTGTGCCTAATGCATACACTCTTTGAACCAACATTCAGAGTTGAAATAGTAAAAGACAACCCATTTTATTTAATTCATCAATCTCGCCTTAAATTGCATAATGGTACGCCAGAGCGAAAAAAAATTAAGCTCAGTTACATAAAATATAACTCCACTACCATAATTAACTTAAAAGCACCAATGATCAAACATCCATTGTCAACTCACGGTAAATCCAGAATCAAACTCAACGATAAAACAACAAAAACAACAACAAAAAAAGGGAAAACATAACATCCCTTAATAGAAAAACACAAAGAATCAAAGATTCGGGTAATAACATACCCGGCTTCTAATAGGAGTGAAGTCCCAGGCCACTTAGCCCTCAGTGCCACTTGAACATTCTTTGGTCCTCGACTTTGTGCATGACCCGAATATCCAGAGAGCCCAATAAACAGAACAGCAACAAAAATTGATAAACAAAACCGAGATCTAAAGTGGGGCTCCATTGGGCCGAATATCAACCGAAACAACCACCGGCTTCTTCTCAGATAGTCAGAATGCAGCCATCGACGAACACAAAACACCAAACCACCCGGAAAATGGTACGAGAAGATCCAATTACGAATGGAACTTTCTGGGTTTTAAGCGTCGATTATAAATCCTGAAAGTCAGAACCAAAAGACTTTGGAGGGGAAATTTTGAAGTCTTAAGTCTCCAGTTCAGTCGGAGTAATGTTTACTGACTGTGATTCTCCGAAATAATCACCTGTGTCCGAGACCACGGCTGGAAAACTAATATCCAGTGGAAATTAAACACGTGTCCAAGTTATGGCCAAATTAGACTTTTCCTTCAGTGTCTGCTTCCCCAGTCGTTCATCCACGATTATAATCTGACATGGCAAAGTGGTATTGGCTTAAAGCGAGAAAAACCCGATCCACAGACCCGATTCGAGAAAAAACCCATTAATGACACCCAGATCCGAGAATCAGTTGTTATTAGTTGGTTCCTCCTCCCTCCGCCGCCTCTCCGATTCTGTTTCCACCTTCAAAACACAAGAATGTCCGTTAATGGCGGCGGCGACGGTGCTGAACTTTCTGCAGAGCAATGTAAAATCGAATATATTCCGGGCAAGCTCCCAGTTCCTCCTCACCTACAACCCACTGGTCAGTTCAAACTACAAATGATTGCTTTGGGCTTCTGATGCTGTTGTATTCATTGTGTTTTGTTTTGTTCTATTCTGAATTATAGTGAGCGTTCTTGCTGCTGTGATTGAAGCTTCGCATGCCAGTACTCTAATCAGGTTCGTTCTCTAAATGTTATATGGGACGAATTGAGTGTCTTATTCTGTGCTGTTATCTCTCCACTGGATACTGCTTAAAGATTGCTTCTCCTTTTTGTAATTGCTTTCGTTGTATTTTTTAGGAAGTTAAATAAAATTGCACCCTTGGAAAACCTTCGCCACGTCAAACGTATACGGAAGAAACGCCTTGATGGAGGTATTGGTTGATTTAACTTCTGTAGTTTAAACAAAGTGTTTCACTTTTGGAGTGTTATTGGTTCGTGATGACACACTACTGGGAATTAGCTTGGGGAAGGCATTGCTCTTGTACATCTAAAATGCTAAAGTATTTAGCTTGCTTCTTGATGATTCGGAGCCCTTTTGTTGATGCAAGTGGCATTCGTTTATATTTTTAGGAATCATTACTTTTTTGGGGGTGGAAGGAAGGTAATCGACATAAATCTAGAGTGATCAAAAGGAATGATATGCATTTTCAAGTGAAGAGCTGTTTAAAAACTTTGTTAATAACACTTGGAAGAGAGAATGAACGTGTCTTATTGCTTCTTTACCTAAAAGAAAGATGTAGCTTTGTTGTTATTAGATTTTGATTCCGTGGTTTAACATGGGGTTGTGTGCTTCTGCTGATTGTTGGTTTTGTTGAACAGGTAAATATGAGTTATCTTTGATCTTATGTTTGGCTTCAGAAACTGATGGGCAATTGGGTGGCATCCCAACTGATGTGCTTGAGTTCATTAAGGAATACCAGTTGAGTAGTTTTGTTGCCAAAGTGGGTCATCCTTTTATCTTTCGAGTTTCTCTTGTTTTTAACTTTATTCTTTTTTCTTTTTTTAAAGTTTTCTATCTCCATGCACTAGCCAAGAGTTTATCTGGATGTCAAATGCATCGCAAGTATAAAAAAACTGTACATGCATTACCATTAGCCTGTTGATCAAATGTGAATCTTAAGCACCTTTCAATCCATTCTGGAAAATCCTTTTCATTCTTGTTATCTTTAGGGAGAAGAAAAGATATTTCATGGACATGTGCATTTAATACTTTACTTCAATCTACTTGGCATGATTATGAAATTTATCATGTTGTAGATTGTTCTTTTTGTAACGATCTAATTTTAAAATTAAACCCTTGATGATGTGTTCATTGTCATAGTCTCGTTAAGAAATATTGATTGCATTTGTCTGAATGTCTTCTGCCCTCACCATTTTCTCCAGAAATGAATATGACAATGCTGTCTTCTGTGTAATGTATTGAAGTTGAAAGACAAAGTCGTATCTTTATAAGAAAATAAACAAGGGAACAGTTTGTTTCTGTAGCTTCTGTTTCTTTCATTTTCATATATTCCTCCCTCCCATTCTCCCTGATCCTGATATCATTTTTGTTTGGAGCCATTTATCTTTTGCACCTCCCTGCCTTCTCCTTGATCCTGATATAATTTTGTTTGGAGCCACCCATTTCAGGTTTGCAAATATGCTGCTTTAACAAAAGAAGAATGGGATGAGCAGTGCAAGTTGTGGCCAACGTCTTACCACCCACCTACATAGTGAGTTATTTCCAAACAAGGGAAAATAGTTATTAAGCTTCTTGCCAGTCTCTGGTTTCCAACTTCTCCTTTGTCGTCTGCAGTAATATTGCTGGCATTACTGGGTTCAGTGAGGACGATACAAGATCTATTGTTGACTTCATGAAATATGCGGCTGATTTGGCGAGATCAAGTGACAATCGGGTATATCATTCTGGAGAACTCTTCTTTATTTGCGTTACCCTGGCATCTTAAGATCTAATGGCAACATCTGATTACAAAGTGTCTGTGAGTTTGAGCTTCCATATTTGCATCCAATTTGATTTTTCCCCACTTATGATTGATAATATGACTCTTGCCTGTAGGTAGTCAATGCTGCTGTTATCGTTGATCCTTCTACTAAACAGGTTATTTCAAGTGCCTGTGACCAAGTCTTTTCTTGGACCACTGCTGAAAGTAACATCAACATTGAAAAGAATGGTTTAGATCCTAACACTTCCCTGAACTGCCCCGGCACATTTGAATCGAAAGAACATACGAAGTTGCCATCCTCTGCATCCTCTGATCCTGGAAGCTTTTCTAATTGTGTATCTTGCTTGCATCCATGGCGGTGGGCTGAGCAAGAGTTTGGGGAAAGTTCTGAATCTTGGCATCCTCTGAGGCATGCTGCTATGGTAGCTATTGAGTATTCTGCTAACCAGGATAGACTGCTTTTTCCTAATGATGGGCATAGTGGAGCAGAGATCATTTTGGAGGAATGTGTGTCTTTTCCTTCAACTGAATCACCTTCTAAAAGACAAAAGACCAGCCTTAATAATGTAATCTGACCTGGGTTCCTTACTTGTTCTTGAATTGTGTTTGTTTTCCCTGGTTTGTAAAGTGATAATAAATGCAAAAAGTGGAGTACAGTGCATTATTTTGTTATACACTATGTGCAGAAAATAGACTATTTCATAACATTGATGTTGATTTCCTTTTCAGGTTGAGGATGGTGAGAATCATGAGCTGAGGGCTAGAAGTTCTGATTCAGTCAGACCTTATTTATGTACCGGATATGATATCTTTTTTGTCTGGGAGCCATGCATTATGTAAGTTTGGCAACCTCACACTATCAGTTTTTTACATAGCTGTTTATGTTTTGAGTCCTTTTCTTTTTTACTCCCAGTAGTGGTGGTTTTCTTAGTTATTGTCCATTAGACATGAAGTATGTTTTCGTTTTGCTTAGATGGCCTCTGTAAGTATGCAACATGAGAACTATAAGCTCTTATGGCATTTTGATTACTTAAATACCTTAAACTGGGACTAAGTTAATTGAAAGAAGGAATAAATGCAGAGGTCAGAAATTCCAAAGAAAGAAAACTAGAGGGTGTGAGATTTGATTGGTAAGTCTGTCCGCACTGTGAGATTGTGCATAAGAGATTGGTCAGTGTTAATTTTTGTTGTTTGGCGTCACTTCATCTCACTTGATATTATGATTCTACGCTGAATCTAGGTGTGCGATGGCACTTGTGCATCAGAGAGTTAGGCGCATATTTTTTGCTCTTCCCAACAAAACTGCTGGTGCACTTGGAAGTGTTCACAGGTTACAAGGAGAGACAAGTTTGAATCACCATTTTGCTGTTTTCAGGGTTTCATTACCTGAAGAATTACTGAATTTTGATAGTAAAAACAGCCGAAACTTATTAGGATCATCAGATTAAAAGTCTTGTCGACTTTAGCAATTAAGATACTCTAATGTAACCTTGTTCATCTCGAACCACTAGTTTTAGGCTGTTATAGTTCTAGAAAGCTTGTATTTGAATTCATCTTGGGGGGTGAGAGTGAGAGCAGCTTCCAATAGTTTTAATAGGATTGATTTATTAGGTTGCCAAAACTGACGGGAACCAGTCCAAGGCTCGTCTTCTTGCCAGCATAATTGATACGTTTTACACTGACATTTTCAGAGAATCGCCAATGTTGTTCACTTTGAATCACTTCTAGCAGAAACAATGCAATCAATTTTCCGAACAAAAGTGAAAATGATTTGCTAGGATTGTATCATTATCATATACTCCCTCCGTCCCATAATTATTGTTCAGTTTTACTAAAATGAAAGATTTTATTTTTGGTCAAACTTAACTATATTTTACCTTAAACAATCGGATATACCCCTACATAAGTAATTGCTTAACCATTAAGATTTTATGGATAATGTTTTTTACTAAGAACAAATGTGTAACTTGATCCATAAAAAGTCAAATTGGACAATAATTTTGGGACAAAATTTTTTGGGCAAAGTGGACAATAATTATGGGACGGGGGGAGTATTTCTGATATTATATATTGATGAGTATGCGTTACATGCTTCAAAAAGTGTACATAAAAACTGTATGATGTACCGTTTTCTGTGGACTGTCTATCAGCTATTCCATGTTTAGACCTTCAAATGAGAAAATATACAGAAACTACTGTCATCTCTGATCTCTATCAAAACATCCAAAAGTTTTGGCCTTTCACAGTTTTCCTCTGGGAAACTGGAAGGAGTAAAAGTTCAACTAAGGAATGCCACTCGTCATCTGAGCATCTCACCTGAATTCAACTCGAAAGCACTCCAAGCTGGAGATTTGCTGAAACCATTATCATCGCCTCCTTGAAAGGACGGATGCAAAAGAGGTGCCGGTCTATCTGGAATTTCAGGAACCTCAATATCTCCTTCTAACATCTTCAATGCATCCATAATGGTTGGCCTCAAAGCCACCATCACATGTGCACACAATATTCCAACTTGTACAAACCTCTCCATGATTCCCTTTGGATTAGCAGTTTCTGAATCCTCATTCTTCACCAAACAAGGGTCCAATATTTCTTCAATCTTCCCAGATTTCAACAGTGACCATGCCCAATCAGTAATTAGAAAAGCTCGCGCCGAACCTGAAGATAAATCAAGAGCCTTTCTCCCACACATTATCTCCAGAATAACCACACCAAAGCTGTATACATCACTTTTCTCTGTTAACTGGCCATAAAGCGCGTACTCTGGTGCCAGATATCCATGTGTTCCAGCCACCCTGGTTGTGAGATGAGACTGCCCTTCCCTGCTCTGCTTTGCCAACCCGAAATCTGCAACTCTCCCCCTCATGTCAGCATCTAACAGTATGTTAGTAGCTTTGATGTCTCTATGATAAATTGCAGGCTTTACTCCATAGTGCAGATAAGCAAGGCCTTTTGCCACATCCAGAATTATGTTTTTTCTTTGAGGCCATGTTAATGGGGGCTTCCTACTTCCGCCCTCAACAGTTGAAAACAAATGGTCTTCAAGATTCCCATTAGGCATGTAGTCATATACAAGGTACCTGTGGCTATCTCCTTGTCCACCATTTTCATCTTCATCCGTCACACAACAACCTCTAAGCGGTACCAGATTTCGATGCTTTAAATTGCTAATAATCTCTACTTCATTGCAAAACTCATCATTTCCTTCGAAATCAGACTCTATAACTCTTTTGACAGCAACAACAGTTCCATCCGAGAGTGTACCCTTGTAAACAATGCCAAATCCTCCCCTACCAATGAAATTCTTAGATGAAAAATTTTCAGTAGCCTTCTCAAGTTCATGAATCTTGAACCAGATTGAAACTGTATTAGGCCTCATTCTTGGTCTAGACTCCATTTCTCCTAAACGTAATTCAGAACTCTCATATTTTCTCCTCTTCTGAACCCACCAAACATAAAGAACCAACAACAAGATCATCACGAAAACCGCTGAACCCGCACCAGCCAGTCCAAATCTCAAAGCTGTATGTTTCTTTTTAGGCTTAACTTGAAGATTGAAAATGCAAGAAATGGCAGCATTGCTTTGAGGTCCAAACTCATTGACAACACCAGCAGCATAAAGAATACTGAAATAAAAGCATGATACAGAGTGAGACTTATTACCATCAATCCCAATCAATTTTGACTGAATCTGCAAGCCAGCAGCCACACAGGCATCACAAGCAGTGAGATCAGTAAGATCCGGCTTACAAGCAGTGTCCAAAACAGTTGAAGGACCCAAAGCCTTCACCCAATCTTGAGTCGTCTGAATTGATGCACAAACGTTGGGAGAGGTCACAAACTGAAGAGGGTCAAAGCAGGTAGAAGTCAGATCAGGGGAAAGAGAAAGTTTATTGAGCTTGGATTGAAAATCATTCAGGCAGGAAACCGAGGTTTCTAAATTGGGTAAATTGAACCCATTAGTAGCTTTGAGACGTTCTGCTAATCCTATCCCATAAAGGGAAAGAAGGGTCTGGCAACACTTGCCACCATTCCCTGAGCTTGAAGAAGAAGAAGAAGAAGAAGAAGAATTATCCATAACAGTAGGTGGTACTTGAGGGTTTGCCTTAGAATTTGCAGGGTTTTTGCAGTCACCAGTTGACCATGGAATTCTCAGAACATAATTTAGATCCATTGGACATTCACTTGAGGAGCTGATATTGTTGGAAGGCGGTGGTGATGAAGAATAAACTGGAAGGAGGCATACTGAAAGCAAGAGTAGTGAAAAAAGAATCAAGAACCCAGATTTCATGATGAAAAAATTGGTTCTTGAAGCTCTTCTATGAACAAATTTTCGCAGCAAATAACATCTGCTACTGTTTTAGCACAAGTTTGAGCTACCAAACATTTGGGCTAACAGGCGGCTTACGGAAGGAAAAAAATAACCGGAGAACTCCTAACTGATTGATTTTGTTAATGTTCAAGGTAAGAGGTGTACAAGTTTGAATCTTTGTTAGTAATACAATACTAACACAATTGATTTTCTGTCTCTGGGAAGTATTAAATTATGACAACGTTGTACTAGTTTTTCTGGGTAGAATTAACTGAATTGGAACCAACTGCCCGAATCAGCTTCTTGGAAGGTGATCATCAATGGCGGCTGAATTTTAAGGAATTCTTTAGTCCTATGGTAAAAATGACAAGCAAAAGTGACCCATAAGATTCTCTTTTGACATTTCTTTGTAACTTGATGGTGTTTTCATCATAATATTAATACCGGACAAAATTGTAAATGATCACCATTTGGTAAAACTAATGCATTACACGTAATTAATATCACGAAAGTGTTTTTTTTTTTTTTTTAGAAACAATATTTCAGTATATTTGTTAGAATTCAGTCAGCTCTGATTGAACAAAAAAACTTGGCAAAGATGACCAAGTTTTAGCCGATACTACATTTGACTTCGAGTGGTTAGCTATGACATGTGCTATATCATTTTCCAATCTAATAATTCAATACAAAGCAGAGAAGAAAAAAAACTCCGAAAGTAGAGATCTAATCTCACATAAATCGACAAACTAGCTATAGAAAAATCCGCTTCACCAATTGCAGCTAGTATTGCAACAGGAATTACTCATGATTGTGACATTTTGGAGATTGAGATCTTTCGTGGTTACTAGAGCTTTTTTTAATATCATAAATCACGAAAGTGTTACAAAAGATCTTTCGTGGATAAAATTCTTTGTTTTTTAAAATTTGGTTTGACAAAGGTGAAATTAGTCGGTAATTGCGCGGCAGTAGGGCAAAATGTTGCGTCAGAAATATGGATATGGCATGAAATTCTGGGACCGTTCTTCATTGTGATGCTGATTATGTTTGACTTTGGAGCTGAAAGTTCATGAAAATGGGAAAAAAAGCAGAAATAAAATAAAACGTGCGGTTTCTTTATCCTTTTTTTTTTGGTAAAGAAATAAAAAGAAAGAAATAAGATATGTACGGTGCATTATCTAGTTATCATTTCGTTCTTAAAATATTAATTTCTATTTTCCTATCTTTTTCTTTCTCAAAATTATCTTAGCTGCTAGCTAGCCACTTTAGAATTATCGCCACAATAAAATGTACTAGTTTATAATATTAATTAAGATATGCTCAATAAAGTAGATTATTAATATATATGGGACGAAAAGAATATAAAATTTTTAACTAAATTGTTCGTGAAGAATCTTTGGGATTATTAAAACAATGCAGTAAAAGTTTAAGTTGTTTTAATTAGCACAAATTTGAGAAGTTATGAAGATTATAATTTTTTAGTAGTTGAGACAATGTTGGTGATGATCAAGCGATCATGATGATGAAAGAAACATTATCCCAATTTCTTAGATTTGATATTTCATTTGATAAACAATTAAAGAGGGGTTCTAAGAGGATAAATTCACCAAACTTTTTGTAGCTTTTTGTGGAATATTAGCCCACTACAAACATTGATGATGAAAACCTAGTCACAATATTACTTTTTCGGTTCTGGAACCGTGGACAATTTTAAGTGAATACATATCGTTAATCGTCACTTTTTTTCGAGAGTAATAAATTTTTCGAGAAATAAATCTCTCTCAACAATATACGCATCTTATGTATATTTTTTCTAAATATAAAATTTAGCTTCATAACTTATACATGTTGTTGCCCTATAAGTTGTAATGTACCAGAACTTTTCAAAAATACATGTCATATTGCGAGAAAAGAAACTGCACATGTGCTGATGCGCGCGGTGCAAAAGTGAGCTAAGAAAGTGACCAAAAACTTGGCATTGATCTTCTTTTCTGTTTTTTTTTTTAAGATATGTATCAATATGCATGCAGCATGTTTGCCAGAAAGAAACTGCACATTGAATCTCATGACAATGTCTGATCATATATATATACACACCTGTCAGATCTGCTTTACATTCAAAGTAAATTTGTCCCTTTTCTCTCATTCTACAAAGACCAATATTGAAGTATTTTTCAGCGCCAACATGTATCACACTCAATCTAATTTTTCTCTGTCGACCCATGCATGTTGGACCTCTTTCAATGGTGAATCTCTTTCAATTAACTCTTTTCTTTTTCCATTCGCAAAACTCGAACTCGAGATCTTGCTGGAGGAATGCCAAACTTTCTGACTGTTTGGCCTAAGCTAATAAAGTGTTTGGTGAGTCAGTTGGTTACTCGAGTCTTGAAATGAATTGGAAGACCAGTAATAGTACAATTGTTGAATAGACTAAGCTCTGATGACCAAGTTTTTTTTCCTGTTTGAGAATGAAAGCAAGGAAAAAAGGGGTTATTACTTATGGTAAGTAAGGCGGCCATCACTTTTGTAGGAAACACAAACTTTTTGCATCCGTGGAAAGACCCATTTGCATCCATGTAAAGAACCATAAAGATGACGAAAATTTTTCTTCCGCCAGCTTTTTGATTTGTGCATACCATTAGGCACTAATCAATTCTAGAGTTTTAATATTTCCAATTTACATCACTATTCAATAATCTATTTTTCCGGCCCAAAAAAAGGTCACGCATGTTATACATTTTTAATTTCACTATATTATTTTTCTAACATATCCGCAAACCTTAGTCCCTGAGATTGTGAAAACACAGATAGTGTATGCCAAAATGACAAAATCATTAAAGCACACCATCGAGTTAATGGACAACATGATGGGAAGAGAAGTACTATCTCTGTCCTGAAATTATTATTCAGTTTGGATTTTTATTTTTAATATAAATTGAATTAATAGTGAAAATTCAAACTGGATAATAATTTGGAGACAGAGAGAATCTGATATGATAATCATACGTGCGTCACCTTATTCATTATCACATTTTACTAGCTCTATCATTTTCTATTAGTAAATATAATATTAAAAAGAGAAAGAATTCCCAAGATGAAATAAAACAAAAAGAAAGCAGAGGGATTTACCTTGGAAGCAGAGGAGGTGAGAGAAATGGTCGCAGAGGAGCCAGGGGAGGAATAAGACGACGATGACGAAGACGACGAAGACGTAGTACTAGAGAGAGCAACAAGGCCAACATTGTAAGCCATCGTTCCATCAGGTTGAAACAAACCATAATTCCGCTCCGAGGTTGGACCAGGTTTCATGTCTTCATTAAACAGAGCAAACACATAAATCTCAAGTCCCATATTAGGCCTCAATGGAGTTCCTTCGTTTACAAACTGCCTCCTCATTATATTCCGATTATAAATTGCAGCATTTTGCAAAGTAGCCCCGATTTCGTCCTCATCGCCTTTAGATGGCCATCCTGTTTCCGATACTCTGACTTCAAGACCCGAAAATCCCATCCTCGCCATTGCGAATATTATGGCATCTACTTGAGCATATAACATGTTGTCGTAATGGAGTTTAGTATAAGGATCAATCATCCCTGGATTCGGGTTGAATAATACGTAATCTAGTGGAATTTTGGTGGGATCATCTTTGTATGCAAAATAAGGATATGCATTGATCCAAAACGGAGAATTTGTACTCTGCAGAAACTGTAAAAGCTGTGGCATGATGTTGTTAAGCTCGGGAGTGAATGATCCGGCTGAAGGCGGGTAGGAATTCGCGAGAACCGCGAGCGAATTCGGGGTGGAAACTTTAATGTATTGATCCAGGCCTAATCTCACCAATGCCGCGTGAATGCTGACCATACTTGGTACTAAATAGGAGACTAATGAGGTGTCGTCGCCTGTGAAAACCTCGTTCCCTACCGCGATTCCTGTGATCCGTGTAGCCGGGAAGTATGGCCTAATGCGGGAGCTTACCCATTGAAGTGCCGCCTGTGGGTTCATCAGTGATTGGAGCATGTTGTTTTCCACTGTAACTATAAGCTCCACGTTAGAGTTTGCGAAAGCTGTCAAAACTTGAGGATTCGTGTCGTAAATTCGAGCTTTTGTCAGCTTCAGGGCTTGCAGAAGATCAAGAACTTTATCAGGTGGTGGTAAATTGTTTGCTACTTGACCATAGTTGATACCCAACCCATTCACTTCTGTTAACAAACCACAACCTGAGATGATGATCATCATCAACATCATAATCAGTTCAGCACAAAACAGTTGTAACTATCAAGTCATACATTTGAAATTCAGATGAAAGAATAAAGCAAAAGAAAAAAAAAATACCTGACAAGGAGAGAAAGAATCCAAGAAGAATATGTGACATTGCAATGCCAAAAAGCGTATCCATCGTCGACAAAAAAAGAGAATAATTTTTTTTCCCGGAAGGCGAAAAGGAAAGAAGGGATGAGGTCTTTTGCTTTCCTTTTACAACAGAAGGGAGGAAGAGTGGGGTAATGATGATGAATGAAGTAGAGAGAGAGATGGAGGGAAAGGGGGGGGGAAATGGTATAATGTGAAGACACAATTATATATAGTTTTGGTGGGAGTGGAGTTTGTTGATGTTGTTGGGGTGGTGATGAATTCTTTACTTTGCTTGTTTGTTTTTTAGTTTTTTAGGGGTAGAGGTTACCATGTTACCTTAGCTTTGTGTAAGCCGTCTTTTTTTTTGTGTGTTTTTGCTTTTCTATCTTCTTAACCAAGAGGCTTAATTCTTTTTAAGTAGTGACTTGATCTGCACATTGTCTACTAAAGGAGTCTTATGTTTAATTAGGCTGAACTGACCAGTATACCCCTTAGTGGGCAAAGAACCAATTTGTTTCTTCATTATGAAGTATGTTTAAAGATTGATTAATCTCCATTGATTTTGATTCTTCTAGTTTTTTGGGGTTTTTTTTGTTTTCTTTTTTCTTTGAGGGGTCTTTTCTTTTTGGTTAAAAATGGGTTTTAGCTTATTTTGATCCTTTAACATGAAAATGGAAACCAGAAGCTTGGCTTTTGTTTTTTTGTTTTTTTTTCACCGAATGATTTTGGATGGTCTTTGATATATGGGAAAAGAAAAAAGGGAATCTGGATTTGAGGATTGGATATTATCAGTTGGTTGTGAAATGGTAACTTTAGTTCGCAATCGTCATCTTCCATATGGTTGCACCACCATTTAATATATTCTTTCTCCTGTTTGCTAGCTAATCTTTTGTTGTAAATAGTCTCTGCAGATTTTGTGTTAAAAAAGAAACATGCTGCTTTTACCTCAGTTTGTCAACTTGAATTCCTCTTAGGCTTTAACTTTATTGTCTTTCTGCTCTTATTATCCATTTGATCATCTGACGTTGTTGTTTTTTGAAATCAGGGCCGGCCAGCCAGCCTTGAGGTAGGGCTACTGGCTACAAGGGCTACCGCCTTCGGGTCCAAGGCATATCTGGACGGCCTAAACTTGGATGATGATGGTGTCAAGTTGGTTGAAGGAGGAACTTGTAAAGGATCTAGAGGAGCCAAACACTTGTGTGGAAAGATTAGGAGCGATCGGGATGATTTTGATATGCGCCTTCTATGGTGACATCAAGGATGGAGTATTTTCGGATTCATTTTAGACCCAACTGACAGATAAATGATTTTTTGATGCAGTGTATATGAAAGTTTATTTTCTTCCAGTCTGTAACAAGAGTGAACTTTGCCTAATGTTTGGCCCAATGTATTTTTGCTTTTTCTTTGCCATTGTAACCTAAACAATCAAAAGGAACTTTAGAGGAAGCAAAATCTGTTACTCCCTCCATATCACTTTTTTGTACTGAAATAGGATGAAGTAGTACATTACAGTCATCAGATAATGTTGGCAGGGATTATTTGGCCACAATGAAGGCATTTATGCTCTTGTGAATAAATTTTCATTTCACAAGTTGGAAAATATGGCCATGTGTGGGGGCTAATGTATATAGTACCCGGCAAATTTGTCATTCCAACTAGAAATAGAAAAAGATGGTTCCACCCAATGGCTTATAGACCTAGAGCCATATTGTCTTTGTCAACTGACGAGGAGTTTACTGATCAGACGACCAGGTCTACCATATTCACTAACCAAGACTAAAGCTTGACAATGAAGTTTGGTTCTTTATCCACATAAGAACTTGCAAGGTAATTACCAAGAATTTCTCAAATGGAAAATGACAAAAAGAACATGAAATTAATTAATCAGCAAAGTCTTTCAAGATTATTAGACATCAACAATCAGGTTCCTTCTTCTACTTCATGCTCTTCTTTGTTATGTCCAAGGTAAGGAACTAAGGATGATGAATGCTGAATTAATGATCATCTTTTCAGTGTCAATAGTAGTTATTTTCGCAAATTTAGTCTCGTCATCATGTCCCATGAACCTGGATTTTGTTCTAACTATAGCATGGGATTCTTCAGCCTGCCAAATTAACCATGGTCATGAAGATTCTAGCATGTGCTGCCAGACACTCACCAGCCTCTATGGTGTTGGCCTTGCTCAAAACCTTAAGAATACCGGTAACTTCAGACTTCCAGACCTTAACACTTCAATTTCTTGTTTATCTGACTTCCAAGTAAAGCTCAGTTCCCTTTCTTTACCTTCCTATCTCACATCCAAATGCTTTGATCCTGTACACTTTGTAAAGGGTATTAATGTTTGTGCCAACATCCAATCCAAGCAAGATTGGATGGATTTGGTCGGTTTGTTTACGTCCTCCTTAGACTCGGCCTGTGGGCCAGACTTATCTGATCTCACTTCCTGTGATGCCTGTGTGCAGGCAGGATTTAAGGTTCATTCTCAATTGCTAAAATTTGATCATGAAAGCTCTCATGCCAAAGGCTGCTTTTACTACACAGTTCTGTATGCTGCGGGTGTAGCAAACAAATTAGGCCCTGAAAGCTTTGGTGCAGTCTCCTGCATCTTTGGTCTGCCAATTGCTTTGAATTCAAAGGCTGAAAATATGAGCAAATTGGCTCTGAGATCTGGCGCTGCAGGATCCGGCTCTGCTGTATTTCTTGTTTGTGTGTTGATGATTGGGTACCTGGGGTGGAAACATTTGAGAAGAAAGAAGAAACAGTTTAAAGATCAAATGAATTTCGAGACCGAGTTGGATGATCAGATACTACGGCCACGCTGGCGATCCAAGCGAGCTTCATTATGGTTTAAGATTAAAGAGATTGAGCGAGCAACTGATTGGTTCTCTCCAAACAATTGCATTGGGAGAGGTCAATCCGGAATCGTGTATAAAGGGATGCTGGAGGATGGAACTGTAGTTGCAGTCAAGAAAATCATTGAGTCTGATTTTCTAGGAGATGCTGAGTTCTTGAATGAAGTTGAAATTATTGGAAACCTAAAGCATCGAAATCTCGTGCCCCTTAGAGGATGTTGTGTCTCAGAAAGGAATCAGAATCATTTTGGGGAGACTCAGAGATACCTAGTTTATGATTACATGCCAAATGGAAATCTAAATGAGCATTTGTTTCTTACTCAAGGTCAAACAGGAATTGGCAGAAAACCATTAACTTGGCTCCAAAGGAAGAATATAATCTTGGACATCGCAAATGGCATCGCTTATCTTCATTATGGGGTAAAGCCAGGAGTATATCACAGAGATATCAAGACCACAAACATACTGCTAAATGCAGATCTGAGAGCAAGAATTGCAGATTTTGGGCTCGCAAGACAAAGCCGTGAGGGCGACTCTCATCTTACCACAAGAATAGTTGGAACTCATGGATATTTAGCTCCTGAATATGCACTTTATGGGCAATTGACTGAGAAGAGCGATGTTTATAGCTTTGGTATGGTAGTTTTGGAGATCTTGACTGGGAAAAAAGCTCTTGATCTGTCATCATCCTCCTCCCGTCCACTTCTAGTCACAGACTGGGTGTGGTCACTTGTAAAAGAAGGAAAAACACAGGAAGCTTTTGATCCGTCGATGCTGAGAACAGCAGAATGTGGAAGAAGTAGAAATCAAAAGGGCACAATGGAAAGGTTCCTGATGGTAGGAGTTTTGTGTGCTCATTTGATGGTAGCTTTAAGGCCTACAATTTTGGATGCACTCAAAATGCTGGAGGGAGATATTGAACTCCCGGCCATACTAGATAGACCAATTTATGCATATCACAGTACCTTGTACCCCATGGATTAGACCAAGAACACACCAAACACAAACTTCGCCAACTTCATACTTTCCGTCCCAAAATGATTATCCAGTCCACTTTATTGTCAGCAGACTGGACAATCATCATTTTGGAGAAAGGGAATAGTTACATCATTGTCATTTTTGAAGTTGATTTTCTACTCTTCGGAAATTCTAGAATCTTCACTCTTTAACGATGACGATGATCCTTTCCTCTTATTATTATTATTATTATTTTTTCTTGTAACGTAATTATGACAGGTCTTTCTAAAACTCATAAACAAGATCTTAATAAAACCATCCAGAAAAGTTGGGTCATAACAGAAACTTCAACATAAAACTAGGTGGGATAGAGTTTGAATAGTAACTACTAACTAGTTTGTTATCATACACGCTTAAATTCAGAAACTCTCCACATACTTTTAAGCTTGTTATTAGACAGACCCTCACAGAGTCATAGGCCTAAGGACCACCTTGAAAACCTACTGCACACGACATGTCTTCTTAGCTGATTCTCCCAAGAAAGAATTCTTAAATTTGACTTTCCATATATTCAGGTGGAAAGATAACCTTCCCACTTCTCATCCCTCTTCTTATTAGCTTCTTCTTCCACATATTCATCACGTACGATGGTTTTCCACCCATCAACTCCTACGTGGTACACACTGACAAAACCGCCAGTTTCACCAGTATCGCCACATTCGATGTCCTCTGCGACTTCAGATGTAGAAGTGAGAATCATTTCTCTAGCTAACTCTTTAGCCTGATCAAAGGACAATTCATAATGGTAACTCCTGACCGAAAGACCCCCAGTACATGGTGAACCAGCTCCAACAGCACAGATTTTTCCTGCAAAAAGGTTGCCCGAGCCATCCACGTAATACAAACTGAAACCATTAGGCTCATCCCACCCAGCAATCCGCATGTTTACTTCTAAACCCCGGCGCTTGTAACCGCGAGCAGACATAACGTCCGCCACGTAATATGATGCCTCCGCGGACTTAGGTGGAACATACTGAGTTTTGAGATCTCTGAGAGAAGATCTAGGGTCTGCAATCTCTCCAGAAACAGTGACAAGCACGTGGGTATCAAGATTAATAACGTCCTGCACAAACTCTTCTGATGCATCGGCTTTACCCCATGAATGGTCACTAGCTACAATGATGCCTTACTTGAAAACAAAACCAAGAGTTGTGGTTCCCCTAATTTCCTTTGGCCTAGCACGACTCTCGCCTTCTTCGGGGCCGAAACTCCATCTTCCGGCAGGGCAACATCATCACCGTCAGCTTCAACGATCTCGTAATCATATTCGGTAAGGATCTCATCATTGTGATGTGTATAATCTGCGAATCTCCGGCGGCGGAAGTACCACGGAGCAATTCGTCAGTGGTCATGATTTTTTCGACTTCAATCCAAAAAAAAAAAAAAGGTGGAATCAGCAAACAACGAAGTCAGTTCGATTGGTAAAGATCCTTGCCCTAATTTTTTTTGCCGGATCTGATCCTCTCCTCCAAACAAGAACAAAGATAACCCAAAATTGCTCGTGTGGTTTGTACTTTGGCTGCCGGCCGTCCAAACGTTTTATTCCAGCAACCAAACAATATTACAAACATTTAGGTTGACTTGGTAGTAAAATTCAGATTTCAGAGCATTTCAAACAAATTTCAAAGGAAAAAAAAACAAGGCAAAAGATTGGCTCTAGTTTTTGTGCATTTATAAAAGATTTGCAAAGCAATGTCCCAAACAAATACTAGCCATTACTTATTACAAGACACTGGTGAAGCGCTTCTTAATAAGCCCATAGATAGTTAATTAGTGTCCGTAGATCACTAACAACTGTCTTCACACAATTTTCCTTTCCCTTTTTAATTTTCATTGGTTTTTTTTCCTTTTTTCTCTTTCATCTATACAGAGAGAATTTTTTTTCCATTTCCTTTTCTCTCTCCTGATTGCTCTCACGTCCATCCTCTTCTTCTTCCAATCTTAATCTTGATCAGCTGGTGATGGCAGATCCGCCTGCACGGTCCCCGACGACGAATTTTTACAGCATTCTTGGAATCTCTAAATCAGCATCCCTTGCAGATATTGGAAAAGCATACAGATCTTTAGTTATGAAATGGCATCCAGACAGAAACACATCTAATAGAGCTGAAGCTGAAGCCCGATTCACCACCATCAATGAGGCCTATAGGGTGAGTTTTCCCCTCGTTCATATGCATGTCTTTCCTATGATTTTGGTCCCCCTAACCCAAAATTCCCGTTGCTTAAGAACGTAAATTTTCTATGTTACATACCATGCATGCGGTCAGCTAAAAATGGCAAAAATTTATTAGATTTATTTAAAAATTCAACTCAAGAATGCAGATATTTTTCACATGTTCCCTTTGAAATCAGAAAATCATGGCTTCTTTTTATTCTACCAACCGCATGACAGTTTTACCATGTTCTTTAAGGAGGTGACTGTTGATGCGTTATGGTTGTTTGAATACAAAAAATTTAGGTTCTAAGTACGAGAAAGAGGGAGGAAGCGGATGCATCAAATCACGGTGACCACAAATCAACAGAAAACTCGTATCATCATCGGCGAAAAGATACAGGTGCCAATGATGAACTCATAATTTCCAGTCCCACGCTTCTTTCTTGTACAAGCAATCGCATCACCCCTACTGGGACACCTAGAACATTTTCAGATGGTTCAAGCCACGGGGGAAGCATTGGTATCCCGACACCTAAAGAATTACAGAGTTACTTGAGAAGTTCGAGCGGGCGGGAGACCCCACCAAGCCCAACCTCCCCAGACGAACCACCTGTTTCTTTATCACGGGCAACAAGCAAAAGAACGCCCACCCCGATAATTTTCTCGCGGACTACTGCTCGGAGGAAAGCACAGCCCATTGAGAAAAAGCTAGAATGCACTCTTGAGGAGCTGTGCCACGGATCAGTAAAGAAAGTCAAAATTACAAGGGATGTGATCTCAAATGAAGGGTAAGTTCCTCTTTCATTTAACTAACTACTTCAGTTATGATTTCTCAGTGTTTGAGGTGTTTCAATGATAACAAAGGAAAAATATGGTGTTATATATCTCAACTTCAAAAGAATGCACATTATCAACTTGATGGCATAATAGTCAAGATAAAAATTGCCTAAATGCCATGATAGACTAGCAACCTAAGCACTCCATTAGTTTTATCATCCCTCACGGCCTGGATTATTGGTAATAGGATGATTGTTCAAGAAGAGGAGACTCTGAAGATCAAAATCAACCCCGGATGGAAGAAAGGAACAAAGATCACATTCGAAGGGAAGGGGGATGAGAAACCAGGGTTGCATCCAGCAGACATAATTTTCATCATTGATGAAAAAAGACATCCTGTTTTTAAGAGAGAAGGTGACGACTTGGAGCTTGGGGTTGAGATTCCTTTGGTACAGGCTTTAACAGGATGTAAAATTTCTGTTCCTTTATTAGGAGGGGACAAAATGAAGATATCAGTCGATGATATCATTTTCCCAGGCTATGAAAAACGCATTCCTGAGCAAGGCATGCCAGTATCTAAAGAAGAGGGAAAGAGAGGGGACCTTCTGCTCAAGTTTCTAGTTGAATTTCCATCAGAACTGAGCGAAGAACAACGATCCGATCTGGTTAATATTTTAGATGATTGTTATGATGTTGAGGAAGTACAATCTTAGTCATTCCTGGTTCTGATCTTTGGCAGGATTGCCTAGTTTTGGGTAGCAGAATTATGTAAATGGTGTTAGTACTTAGGCAATGGATACATATACTGGCCTTGTACATATGGACATGTACAATGGTCTCGTAAAGACCACTCTCAGCACTTACAAGGATAAGAAAGAAAACTAATTACACCTGCTGGAGATGAATTGTGCTAAATCAAACATAAGATGCACAGTGATGAGGCTCTTCTGACCAAAATACAAATCTTCTTTTAGCATTTCCTGCGTTATATGTTGTTTGCATGCTTTTGCTATATAACCTTGTGTCGTTCAAACAGTCGGAAGTAAAAGAAAGATATATATTCCTTATATTAATTTGTTGTTACATCTAATCTAGTTTGTGTTCTGTGAAGAAGCTTGAAACCAAAGCACATTGAAAAAATTCCAGACTACATTCTTTCTCTGATAATCACAACATTTAAAGCATGATGAAAATATTACATAAAGATAGATCTTTCCCGATAATTTGAGAGACCACGATACCTGAATCAAGATGTCGAATCTTTTGATAGGGGACGTTGTCGAGCAAGAAAGGGAACTTCTACCACTGTCCCAACAACATTGCCACCAACAATCACTGTATCTCCTTTAGATGCCCCTCTCCTCTTGATATAGCCTAATCCAAAAGGCACAGAAGCTCTTTTTCCAGCTGTACTACTCGTAAGTTTGCCTACCTGTATGATTATCAGAAGTACTCCTCACTATCTCATAAAAAATTGAAGCAGATAAATTTGATCAGATAAAAACTGTGGAAAGGAAGAGTTTATGATGATTTGAGAATCAAAAGTTTATTAAGATGCCAACAGTATAATGCCATGCCAGAATTGTTTTAAGTTCTTCCATCATAAAAACCAACTCAGCCCTGAATCCTTTCATTCATGGCTTTTAGATTCATATATCGGTTTCGCTAGTATCACAACAGGACTAAGAGTGTCCATGGTTTATCCTGACCAAAATTCCACCTCCCCACGCATAGAATTGTAACATTGTTGCCAGAAACACAATGATACAGATATTGCACCTTTTTCCCGTCAAAAGTAATGTCACTGCCTTCCTCCACAAGGGATGACAGGCGTATACCCCACAACTTTTGTTTTACACCATCATATGTTACAAGTCTGGAAATGGTTTCTTGTCCCTTATAGCACCCTGAAAGTATGTCAAGATCAGTAATCAAAATAGAGTAATCTATACTGTCACAGCAGAAAGTATCACACCTTTGTTTAGAGAAACTGAATTCCACAAACCAGCCTCAAGAACGTTGAATTCATCAGTGAGCTCCTTATCAGGAGCTGGTCTTCCTGCTTAGATGATCAATTAGAACAACAATCATAAGCATGAAATATAAGAATTTCACAGCCCTGATAACATGAGATGTGTAATTTATGGTGAGGGAACTATCACAATATACAAAGATCCAAACTGATAAACTAAAGGAGCTGTCACAACCTTGAAGAACCCTGAATGTTTCCCAAGCACTAGGACCCATTGCAATGGCACCCTGGGCTGTTAGAGCTTTCCATACAGTTCCAGCAGCATTTGGTGACATCAACAACAAAAAACCTTCCTCAGAAACTATACTTCCAACAGCTACTGTTAACGGCATCCCACCTACCTGCACATATGTACGGAACTCATCTTGTTTCGTTGAAAAGGATAATCAACTAATGGACAAAAAGACATATGTGCATCATTATGTCTAAGGTACAGTCACTAAACTATTCGCAGTCAAGTCACTTGTCTGTTCAGGGACATCCGATAAAAAATGGTACAGAGTCAAGACACTATGAAAACGAATATTGAATTGCAAATAGATAAAGTTATTGAAGGGATATACACTATAATGCTTGTGGGAGCCATAAGGTTGTCCAAGAAGGTCAGCGAGGCCAAATCTCTTGATTATCTGTGCATGAAAGAAATGCAAATTAGATAGAGTACCATGCTATAGTAACTTAAGATGAACTTGATGTTACATACTTGGTTGCTTGCAGGTCCGACCAAAGCAAACATGGATGTCTGCTCTGTGATGTCTTTTATTTCTACTTTGTCAGATATAAATATATACCTACAGTCCAAGCAGTAGAGTAAACACGGGGAAAACAAGGGAAAAAAAAAAAAAAAAAGGTAGACAACATGGTTTGGATCTTCAACACATAAGACATGAAATACATGGATTCCAATACCATTACAACATCTCAACATCTGAATCAACACCATTAAAGAAATTTTTTTGGTTTGGGAACTTCTCAAGATCTGAATCAGCAATTTTATTGAGGCTTGTTACTTTCGATTATCTCATCAACTTCTTCCGCTAATAGTATGGACAAGGTTATTCCCTCAGAAAATTTATTCAATTTAAAAAATTCATGACAATCGTGTATGATTTCAAACAATGGACATTTTCCCCTACCCTTAACTGTTTATCAACACAGTTCACAAAAGGAAAATGCCTGAAACTTAAACATGTGGAATCTGAAAAATATGTTATTGAATTAGCAAGGATCCAATGATGAGCACTAAATTAATAGAAACTCTAACAAAATAGAAAAGATCAGAAAATTTGTATAGCAGAACGAACATACTTCTCAAGCATTTTGGTTATTCTTTCACGGGTCACCGGTGAAACCACCAGCATAATTGCATTTTTCTGCAAATATAAATAATGTAAAAAAGGAATCAACGATTTGGTATCGGCACTCTATAATCTAATTGGTCCAAGAAGTAAAAAAGAGTACCATGACCCATGCATGTGCAATATCGATAGTCCGAGCTGTTGGTGTCACAAAGACAGTGTCGCATCCCTGAAATTCTTTTTTGCATTATTCTATGATGTACACTAGATTCTCTTCAGACTAACATATGCCACTGATATGTGAAAATACCTGGCCTTCAGCAAGGGATTCAAAATTTGCAGTACTTTGGTTGTGAAGAAATTGAATCCGATCTTCTCCAGCAACTGGAGGCAAATTGAGTTATCAATAGAAGAAACAAAAATTTAAAGACCAATGAAGAAGGAAAAGAAAGAGCATCATACACATTACAAGAAAGAATAGGTACAGTAAAGTGGCAATCAATGTAACAACAACCAACTACCGATGTTTCCACAAGCATGATGAATCACAATAAGGCTAACACATCAATTTCCAGATACAGTTGTTGGAGAACAATGCTACTCTATATTGGCTACATCGCTGTCTTCCCCCTCCCCAGGGGCAGAAGTTTCAAACATAATAATTCGTTGCTGGCTTTCAATGCTTTATTTTTTCTGTTCTTCCAAGTGTGAGGAGGATTTGACGGGTGAATATGGAACTGGTCTTCTGATGAAGACTGAACTCCTCTAGTCCAATCTTTAGAATTGGAGGTTATTATTGGCTAATATTTACAGTTCTAACTGAAGCAGAAGTTTACCTATAGCATTGTTCCAAAAGAACAATGAGCTCTCCTGCATTGTGGCACCACAGTTATTATTCTAAGAGATTGCATGAAAAAAGTGTTGATTAAGGCACAGTTTATGAAAATGATGGAGCAGCAAATCTTTGTAACGCTAATTTTTTGTTGCAAACTTCACCCATTCTAGATGCAGTGGTTTCACGTAAGGCAAACTCTCGGCTTAGCTTCACCCATTAAGGCTGTAATACATTTTCATTGAGATTAGATATCAAAAGCAGCAGCATTCACACTAGTTAGTTGGTTGGTTTTAAGTTCATTAGTCAGAAGGCGGTGCCATGTACCTCAAGTAGCAAGGAGAAAAGAATTCACCTCTTATACGGCCACAATGAGATAGATCCACAACCTAAAAGTATGAAAGATAACAACAGCAATTCAATACTTTGCAATAAAGTTCAAGTCCAGATAAGTAGAAAACAATTTTTAACAACTCTAAAACAACTCCTATTGAACCAGTTTATAATGTATCTCTTATCAAAATGCAAGCAACTGGAATTCTCTTAACTACCAAAACCCCAAAGCAGCTGCACCTTTAAGCACCACCAGCATGGTGGTAGAATCATAAACAGATACAACTCTAATGCAGCTTTATGTTTCAAAAATTAAATAGAAAGGCAAGGGCAATGACAACCGAAAAAACACTCACGGCGGCGCCATTTTCAGCTGCGTCAAGCGCGACATCGTCATCATCATAAACTCCAATAGTTCCAACCTCGGCTGCTGTACCGTCCTGTGAAGTGGTTTCAGTCAAGCATCACACGCCAGCAAAAATGAGACAACAAATTAAGAAGTTCATAATTCAAAAATCAAACAGGACTACTGTGTACTCACAGAAAAATCGTGATCAATTGGAGGCGGGGAAAGGTCAAACGGCAAGGTGCGACACACAGAAAATTGCGCTTTATCGTTACTCTTGTAGTTGTAGTAGGAGAAAGCTCGGAAGGAAAGAATCCGATGAAACCGAGGATACCACTGCCACTGGCTCTGGTACAATCTCTCCGGCAAGGAATGTTTAGATGGAGAAGGCAGAAAGCCGGTGATAATTGCAACTGACGTCGTTGTGGTAGCAATTGGTGACATTTTCTTTGACCGGCCGTTCAATTACTTTGATAATTGCCTATCTGTCAGATAAACGTTTTATACAATTTGCCGACTACTTCTGTTTCTCCGTTCAGTCAGCGAGAGCCCGACGGAGTTGCGGGTAAATTCACCTTTGTTTACTCTGTTTGCTCTGTTATCCAGAATCTTTGGCTTAGATACGGAAAAAGTACCTGTTAAACTGTTTCCCGGTTTATATTTAAAGCAATTTTCCCCCTTTTTAATTTATATCTTTTTACTATTTACTTTGTTTTTTTTAAAAAAAATGATAGATTCAGCAAATCCAAAAATAAACTATTTACATTTATTAACTGCCTATTATTTCACTTTATTAAGTTCCATTTATCGGCGAGATGAAAATTCCTCGAAAAATAAAAAGAGAATGGAAGAAAAGTGGCATTATAATTAAAAAAGAAACAAAAGAAAAAAGAAGTGATCTTTTATTTTCGTTTTCCAACCAAAGAAGACCTTAAATGAAGGAAATAGATAAAAAAAAAAAAATAAAAAAAAAAGAGAGAAAGAGCGGGAGTATGAGATAAATAACAATAATATTAATTAACAAACAAACCTGTAATTGTTTCCAAATTACAAAATTCACTCCAAACCTAGCAAACAAAAAGGAGGGCAAAACAAAACCCTCGAGAAAATAATACAATTTCACTTTTCTCATAAATATACGCCACAAAATTTTGGCAAATTCTCGCTCAAACTAACTAACAATTTCCTAATTTCCTATAAAGAATGGTTGGTGAAAAACCGTATATGAAAAAATAAAATAAATAAATGCAAGGAAAGGCTAGATGCCAATCCTGAACTCCCCCAAAAAACACCTGCAAGAAAAATTTGAACGGCGTATTAATATGTATCCACCATGTACAAGCATTTCGGTTCAGGAAAAGAGTAGGACAAACGAGCAAAAAACGCCTTCTCACCTATGTAGGACAAGCATCTGTCTCGGAAGTCATTGCAACATCCCACCGATGTCACAACAAACTTCTTCAAAAGATTACTTCCCAAATGAGACACACCACAACACACTACAGAAGTGAAGGATAGGGTTCAGCAGTCGCCTTCGGTGTCAGCTCTTAGGAGCAATTTCAGCTAAAGCATTTGCATGTGCAGGTGAAAGGTTTGACAAGAGAGGCTGCATTTGTTGACCGTATAAAGATATTAAGTGAGAGAAAGCTCTGCCTATGGGAGCCTTTGCTGCAGGGGTTTCTAGAGGTGATACAGCAACCTGGGCGAAAACATTGACCAAATCGGGGACTAGAGAGAGGATCTGCATAAACCCCCAGATGATATTGAAACAGTCAACAGGAAGCAATCAAAGATCGGGAGAATTGGAGAGATTGATGAATAAAATACAGATTTTTTATACAAAAAGTTAAATGATACAAGTACCTGGGAATTAGATGATAAAACAAGATGGCAAATGCAACTATATACGGCAACGGATTCTTCAAAATCTTCTTTCAAAGGAAGAACTTTTAAGAAAACAGGTAGAACCTGAACCCAAAAAATCAATTAGCTTACAGACTAAGGCAAACAAAGAACCTCCTCCAGAGATAAGGATGTATATTTGGAATTACCTGGTTGAGAGGTATAGACTCTGGATGAACCATTATCATCCGAGCCACAGCACCGGCAGCATTATCCCTAACTGCATTATCTGGCTCTGTTTCTCCAAACAAAGGATAAAGGCCACGTAAAACATCACCATAGTATCTAAGGTCATTGTTAAGGAATTGAATGCAGCAATTCCAGCAACAGATGAAGACGCGGAGAAAAGGAACACTACACAGATCTTTTACGGGTAAATCACAATCAAAGTGCACTAAGAATCATATGAAACCAGAAGGATACTTCAACGCATGTTCTCCACCATTTTTACACAGCTCGCCAACACAAAATGCTGCATTTCTCCGGTTGGTGGGCTCAGATGATGCCAGTTCCTTGAGTACTAAAGGCATCACAACCTGACATGTAAGGCATGTGTTTTTTGTCAATTCCATGATAGAGAAACTCTTGAACTACAAAGAAAGATATATTTCAAGTGCCACACTTACATCAATATAACCAGCAATAGGAGCACCCATATCCAGTGCAACTTCTGCCAGGCAAGCGACAACCATGGTCCGGTCTGAAGGGGGGCGTGAAGCTTTCTGTAGTAGTCATCAATAACACGGAAGATAAGCTAATTCGTTCAGAAGAAACAAATCACTATATACAAGAGTTTCATTTTTCATTGGAAAGAGACATACAGCAAATTTCATCAAGGGTTCAAACAGCTGAGAAAAGATGGGAGCAAAATTGGAGCCCATGGCCTTTGCAAATGCTGGAAGCAAATCAGAAACAGCATCCATGAGCACTTCATCGTGTGCCAGATCATCATCATCAATTTCACTGTCAGATTCCACCTGCTGGCAAGAAGCCTGCTCTCGGAGCAGCGTCAAAGTCAGCTCTACCAGCTGAGGCAAATCTGTAATGCAACAATAAAGTATAAGCATCATAAACTTCATTCTCCCAATTGAGAATTTTAACAACACTAAAGAAAGCAGATGAATTCATGCTCACAAGGCTCCATTGCTAAGTAACCAAAATCCTTGATGATGTCAGCAACACTTGTACAAGCTTGGGCAACAACTTCCTTGTCATCATCGTTGGCCATTATTGTCATGTAATTATTCATCACAGTCTCTGTTTGGAAATTGAAACAAACTAAGAAATCCCAGCTAAATACACGGTGAATAATGGAAAACAAAGTTGAATAAGATTCAATCAGCTAACCTAGTACTTCTTTAAGTTTTGTAATTCCTTCCTGCAAACCGTCAAATGAGCAGTGGTGAGAGACAGAGAGGTGGGGAAGTATCAGACGCAAGATAAAAGGCAACAAGGCAATAACGCTGGAAAGTAACTAAAATAATGGGCAAGAATAATTCAACAGTAAGACCAACTTATTGTACTCTTAACAAAGTGATTGCTTACATTATGACCTTGGAAGACTGATTGAGCAGCAATCAAAATATCTGACATCATAGAACAAATATATCACAACTCAGTACAAAAGATTTCAGACATCAGCTTTTGGTATAAAGATATGCTTTATGCGACCAGGTAACATTAACCCAGCAACCCGATACTCACATTTCAGACCAGTTACAGCTTGGAGCCGGACATCCTCGTGAAAGTAGCTTGAATGCCTTACCATAATCTTCATTGTCTCTTCCAAGTACCTTAAAAATCATTAAGGAAATCAAACTGCAATAAACAATTCACTGGTATTCTTGAACAGGAGTTTAAATGACAGCAATATACAGTAAAGTAAAAGGATACGGTGCAAAAGAGGCCTTCGTATGCAAACAAAACAACCCAAGAGCTTGAGTTGCAGCGGCTTTTTCATCTAGTACACCTGTTCTTACACTGATGTTACGAACTCTTGTATCGTCGTGTGCTTCATCATCTGATGACACGCCTCCAAAACTATTAATATTCTCATCTTCATCAGAATCGTCAATATCAATGGCAGAGCCATCATCGAGGTTGCAGGAGGAAATTGCCAGTGGAACGACATGGGGAAGATACTGTTAAGAATATATGTACTCAGATTACATAATATGGAGCCAAAAAAAAAAAAAAAACCAAGCCACATAATTTTTGAATAACTAACAATACCTTGGTAAAACCATCATCCAAAATCTCAGCAACGTTGCTGAAAAAACCATGAGTGTACTCCCTAAGTTCACTGTAATCCAACCCAAAACCCTACAGAGAAAAACAGTAGAAATAAAATGTCTGAAGAGAATCAAATGCCCCAAACTTGAGAAAATTGAGATCTCTTATTTACCGATATCGCGGCTTCAATAAAAGGTGGTAAAATTGGTTCCATCCTAGTTCTGCCAACTGACATCGCAACAATCCCAACCAACTCAGTAGCCCTTGCTCGTGCACGGAGATCTTCGTCATTTGTAAGCACCAAGAAGACTTTCATCAATTCTAGAACCCTTTCAGCATACGGAACGAAAGCTTGTTCTGCAGCTGATGCTACTGAACCAATTGCAGACTAAAAGACAGCAAAAGGTAAATACAAACAGATCAAATTACTGACATCAGAAATGAAACATGAAAATTCAAGAATACTAAATCCTCACCATGCATGTTTCTTGAAGATTACGCGGACTGTTCTGGAGAGCACCAAGTAATTTTCCCATCAAAGGCTCCAAAAAGGGAAGAATTTCATCCCCCATATTCTCACAGAATGCCGCCAAGGCATAGTAAGATTTTTCCTGCATGGAAGTAGTGAACACAGTCACAGGACAAGATATTAGAGTATGAAATCCAGTCCTAGTATTGACACTAACATACCTTCACTTCATCTGAGGTGTCCTCAAGGGCATTTAATATGCACGGCAGAACAGCTTCGTAGTGGGATACTATCTCAGGCTGCAGGTACTCAGCAAATTGACCCAACGCAAATGAAGCAGCGCCCCTGACCATCTGCTCAGGATCCCTGAGAGCACCCAATACTATATGAAGAATGGGCTCCAGCTTGCGTTTCATCCAGTCTAAACAACCCTCAGAAATGACACCCAAAGCTGTAACAGAAGCTTCTCGAAACTTGGGATTAACACTTTGACAGCTGATAGAAGCAAACTCAAAAACAGGTGGAAAAACAAGCTTTGACAAGCTCATGGCCATAGTGTCGATAACTTCAGCAGCAGCACGATCTGGAGCAAGATCATCATCTTCATCCCTATCGGATGATTCAGCCAACAGGGGACACATGATTTGAAGAATTGGTATCACTAGTTTGTACTTCTTCAAGGAGCTAGATTTGTACTTGGCAAGCCAAGATATAATTTGTATTGCCTGAAACCAAAGAAATAATCTCAAATTCTTAAAAAGTAAATAATGAACACATATATGGAGATTTGAAGGAAAATGTTTAGCAGTACTTTCACCATAAATATATGATTCAAATTTTTGTCTAGAATGATGCCTCAAAATATGACAAACAGAAACAAACCTTCTACAGCATAAGAAGGTAACATGGTAGATAATTACGCCCCAAAACATAGTTTCACAATCAAACAGACAGGAATACACCCGACATGCACTGCAGAAAACATATCACAGAACTCACCTGGTGGCGTGTATTAGATTCCAAATTTAAACTTGAGCAAACTTCAAGCGAAAATTGTACAATGGATTTCACTGATTCCCCAAGCAGCGGAGCTGGAGATTCTATCAGCTCATCAAATATTTCGAACGCAATAACAGCTACATCTTCTTCACCTGCAGCAAGGCAATGCCTTGCCACATTCAAAATGCTTGGTATAAACTCTCTGAACTTGATCTATGGCAGGAAATTAACAGAATTAGATTACAAAAGTATGCGAGCAACAATGGCCTATATACTAAATAGAATTCCAGATTTGAACAAGTAGAGACATGATTTTTAAGGCAAGATTAGAAATTAAAATGTGAACATCAGAAATTTGTAGTTTAAGTTAAAATGGTGGAAGATGGAAAACCACTATAACTTACCACATCTGCGTGATCAAGTGTGAACTCTAAAAATGAACCAACAGCCCTGTTAATATGGTGTACATGTCAGCACGAAGCAAGCTTCTCAGACAATCATCTGTGATTTAAAAAAAAAACAAATATTACTTGAGGGCAGCAACTCTGACTCGGCTACTGGTTTCATCCTGAAGGCACTTGAGTAGCAGAGTCTGTAGGTCTGTAAAATATGGCTGAAATGAATTCCCAATTGTCTCAGTTAAGGAGCTAAAAAGTATCAACGCCACCTAGCAACAGAGAACAAAAAAAAAAGTTCACACTGTCAGCAGCCGATAGTGATAAAGGTGCATTAAAAAGAAAGCACAAAATTTTGTTGTTCTTGGTTTACAACTGACTAACTTACTTCTCTATGGTCTTCTTGGGCACTCTGACTCCACTGGAACAGAAACGGCAACAAATCAGGCCATTCCCCAGCAGGCACCGCATACTTTGCTACTATACTCACCACATTTGCGCTTGCTTTCCTCACTGGTGGACTGCCACAACGAAAACCACCAAAAAGAAATGATTACGGGGGCAAAAAAAAAAAGTTATCTTTTACAACAAAATTACAAAATTACGTATTAAAATGGTAAGCCATACCTGTGCTCCATTGTGATGCTTTCGATCAGAGACTGCTTAACAAGTTGCCGGAGTTGAGGCGAGAGCTTAGCCCAGTGACCAGTAATCTTCTTACGAAGAAGCACGGCTGCGAGCTGCCGCACATTAGGAGTCTTGGCAGTTCGGAGATGGTGAATGAGAGCCGGAACAACTTGAGGATCCTTGGCCAGCCGCTTAATTTGATCCTCCGCCTGCCTCCTGGCATCGTTGTCCGGCATCAAGAACTGAATTAACAGCAATTCCAGTGATTGCGCCATTCTCCTTCTCTGCTTATCGAATGATGCGAGTCACGGAGAGAGAGAGAGTGGCGGAGGAAGAGAAACCCTAAAAGAGGGTTTAGGAAATTTGGATGCCTGTATATATATAGTCCAAACAGGCTGTGACGGCGGCGGGTGGTTTTGTGTAGTTTTTACACCTTTGATGGAGACCGGTTTACCGCGCCGGAAAGATTTTAAGTCGTGAGATCTCTGCGCGATTGGGGTTTTAGGATTTTTGGATTAAATAATGGGGAAAAAAAAGAAAAAAAAAAGGTGGGGGACACAAATCATTCAATATCTAACAAAATTAGAAAACACTTAATTATGTATTACTCCTTTCTTGATTATATATCATTTTCTATTCAAATTCTGTTCTCACTAACCTAATTATTTTTCTTTTTAGGGTTATGGTGATTTTGAACTAACAATTGTCTGAGTGAACAATGTTCTACTAGCGTTCGTTTGTAAAGTACAGAAGAATTTAACGTATAAAGAACGAAAAAATTATGCATGTGTGTCTTTTTAAATAGATGTGAAAATATTTAAGCTGTTGGTTAGGAAAGACGGTGAACTTCTAAGTAATCGAATTTGCCCCTTTATTAGGGTGTAAAACTCATTAGTTTTATCAATAAAAAAAGTGTACATTTCATTGACGAGATGGTGAGAGATGAAATGTTACGAATTTTTACTACAAGAAATGTCAAGAAAGGGATTACAATGTGAATTATATTAGAGAAATAATTAACAAGATATAACCTCAACAATTTTAAAAATAAAAACACATTTTCATATGTGCTTCAGCGTTGTGATGTTCAACCCAAGCAGGATAACAGCTGGCATTGGAAAACGCTACTAAGAATCAGAAATAAGGTTAAGAATGGATTTGAAGGAGCATAATGGAAAAATAACCAAACAAGCATTTACAGTATATCAGAAGGTTATCAATGAAAGCTTGGAGAAGAAATAGTAACTTGGAGGAAACCAGATGGATTTGGTCAAGGCTGAACCTGTGGAAACACTCCTTAATGGTTTGGTTATTCTGGATGGAAAAATGTGGGCTATAGATAGGTTGATCAGGTGTAATATTGTATGTTGTCTTTGTGATCATGAGAATGAGACCCTGCAGCACTTGCTCTTTGCATGCTCTTTTCATGAAAATGTTATATGTAGAATAAAGAGCTGGCTAGGATTGAGGAAATGGCGAACAGAGCTGGAGCACATATGGAAAGGTACAAAATTGAAGAACGAGATTCTGTATGCTGCAATAATGGCACGTATATACTGTATTTCGGAAGAACGAAACCGCAGGCTCTTCAAGAGATGCAGCAAAACAGAAGAGATGTTAGCAAATCAAATGAGAGAGACAATATGTATGGATTAGAGTTAGAAAGTGTATTATGGTTAAAGTAAAAGTGTAACTGAAAAGGCCATTCCTAGGCCAGTTTGAACTTAGGAAGTATGAATATGAACGTAATAGATTTGATCAATAGGCAGCAATGTAAGAAGCAGACTTGAATGATAAGAGAAATTTACATATTTTGTTTGAGTTTTCACCTAATAATTCTTATTCCATTCTTGTTTATACTACAACATATTTAGATATAGGCATATACATAAATCGTTTAGGATTTCCACGATATTACTATGTGTATTGAGTTTTTTTTTTTTTTTTAAAGGGAAAGAAAAATCTATATTGTATCTTGTTTCTCACGGCATGAAAATCACCTTTCATCCAAACCAGAAAAAAATAAGTTGGGATAAATATTGTTGGACATCACTATAAGGTACAGAACGATCAGAGTTCGAAAACTCCAACGTAACAAAAAACGATTCAGAGGTTTAACAGAGCGGCCTTCGAAATTTTGCTCGAAAGTTAAGCAGAGCAACTGCTATAGGTAGAGCTTTTTGGGAAAGTTGTCTTCGTTATTTTTTCTTCGGTTCGTATTAGGTACTACTTAATATTTTTCTTAGTTCTGTTTATGAGGTATTTCAAGTCTTTGAAGTTTCATTTATAGTGTATTTCCTATTTCTCTCCCACTTAAATTGACTAAACTTTAATTTGATTGGTTTGTGCCTTATAAGTTACATAACAAGGACATGAAAGAATAATTTCATTTCAATCTTTTGTTTTTAATTATCGTTTCAAATATTTTTCGTATAAAAGAAATATAGGTTTTTTTATACTAGCAATTTCATTACAGGTCATCAAGTTATTGGGTAATCTCATTACAGGAACAAAATAAAGATGTATACTAGAATCTTACTTCTTATTCTTAGTACTGGAATCTTACCTTTTTAAGCGTACACTTACAGTAAAGATAAAACAATTATTTTCTACCAATAATAGTTCTGTTTTATATTAATCTCACATTTAAAGATTTATCATTTATAAATCAATATATATATATATGATATTATATATACCTCATTAAAATGGAAGTATAAGCGAAAAAAGGTGATAAGGTATCTAACTCCCATAAAATGTTTTTCTTCCACACTAAAATTACGTCGTTTTAGTTAAAAATAAATAAATTTATGTTTTTTTATTATTATTAAAAACAACTATGAAAGAGAAAATGAAAGATACATCACATTATAGTTAAAAGTTTTCCTGCTACGTACTTTGATTTTAAAACCATTTGACTAAATACATTAAAAATTAACTTAACTAAAATAATTGTCTGAGAAAAATTTTAATAATTTATTTGTGATATCATGTGACCTTTTTTCACCACTAAAGAAAATGAACATGGTCCCAACCTTTATAAAAAAAATCAAAATAAAATATTTTCCTTACATACAGATTCAATGACTCTAGTGTCAATTTTATTCAAACAATTATCAGAAGAGAATAAAATTTGAATAGTAATGTAGTTAGATTTTTACATCTAAGTATCAAATTAATGTTGTATTTTAGTATATTCCGTGTAACGCATGAATAAAAATCTAATTTTATGCAGAAAGAGTATAGGCCAACAAAGCAAGCCAATTCTCCTTCCTTGTTGAAAACTCCGATCTCTAGTTTGAAGGTATGTGTTTGTTTATGAAACTAATCGTTGAGAGGAAATGAGGAATCTTGTAAACATACGAGGGAAAACTGAAACCAGCAAGTTGGAAAAGTATTGGCTTTGTTTGGACAAGCATTCATTTTCGTTTTCTTTAGCTGAGAAAAATTGAGTAGTTATCTGTGCAAATAATCCAATAACGGAGTAAAGGACACGAACTACTAAAAGGCTTCCTTATGCTGTAGATTTCAAAGATTAACAACAATCATAGTCTTCTTTTTACTACCCAAATCTTTCTGCCAATCCAAACTGACACTGGGAAACTGAGAATGAAGCATATGATGGGGACGAAGACCTTCCCGTTCATATCCTCCGTTGGAAACACATGACTGTCGAAAACACATGCACACACAATTTACTAAGGAGAGGAGAGGAGAGGAGAGGAGAGGAAAGGAGAGAAGAGAGAGAGAGAGAGAGAGAACAAACTCTAGTTTACAGCATCTATTTTCTAAACACCTGCAAGCTTTCGCATTCTATTTCTAAGCACCATCAAGATTTCGTGTGTACAAATGTGACCACGTACAGCGATTCAAGATACGGAGAACCTCTTTACGTTAGATTAGTCCTTTGGTATACGGAACTAATTCTCTTACAACAAAAGATTTATGAGCACCCTTCTTGTTGGAAATCAGAAACAGAATGCTTTTAGTCTATTCCTCATTAGAAACACTAGTGTAACTGTACGAGTAACTGTCAGCCTTTGTACCATTTTCTCTAAACTTAGTCCAAGTGATGCGCCATTTCTCAAACATAGTCCGTCTGCAATGAAAAGGACGTAGATGCACAATGGCATCACAAAAATTAGATAAGTGAGCAAAGCGGTTCAAACAAAAGAAGCATGCATAACAGTAACAAAGTGTTAGCTACTGCAGTAAACTCTGAATATAGCATGGCCAGAAAGGGAAGTTCTTTCCGGAAGGCACATCAACTAACAGAACCCAAATCAAATAAGAGATAAGTGAAGTGCACTGCTTTACTAGTTACTAAAAGTAGTTTTAGGAAGAAGAACCAATTTTACCTCTCTATTTCGATAACCCTCTTTACAAGCATTAGCGTCAGAAACACTGGGACCATTGCTGCAAACAAATGCTTCAGGGTGTGCCCACTAACAGTTTGATGAGTCCAGTTATATATAGGTCTATCAGCTGCTTCAGCAACCTTAGCTAAAAGGTAAAATGCTGTAGAGAAGTGCAGTGGCTTGTTAGGCACAAAGCAGAAAACAATAACTACCAATTTATAACACCAAAAATTGTACAAGTATCAAATCAATGAAATAATGCTGAACCTGCAGCCCATAACCAATACGTGGAATGGGTATACATCGGAGGCAACAAGATGGTCATGAGGGGGATGGCAATGCAAGGAACAAACTGAACTACTGCATAGGGGCGCAGATCATCAAAGAACCTGTGGAAGACATAACCTGGTCAACATTGTGTATTCTCGCCTGGAACCAAGTTTTGCAATTTTCATACAAATAGAAGTAACGTAGATTCACCGAGGTGGTTAACAATTTTGTAAGATATAGGCATGAAAAAACGAAAATGTAAAGGTACCATCACTATTAGGTGCAAGAGAAGACTGCTTACTGCCAATAATAAATGCTGATGATGCCAGTCAACAGAAGGGGGAAAAGTGATAGAGTTCCTGCTCTCTCATCCACTCGCTCAATGATGAAGATGGCAACAATGGAGGTGAATGCAACAGTCATCTGACCCCAAATACAGTAATCAAGTTATATAAGAACTGCAGCTCCTAGAATTACTTACCCCCCAACGGGAGAGGGTCAAAAATAAGAAAGAAACTCACAGGCAATCGGTCCCAGACCAGACGAGCATCATTTGGTTCAAGATGATAGTAAGACGATCCGAAAGCAACAGCTGCAACACCGACAAAGAAACAAGTCCAACCTATTTGCTCTCCTTGTGAGCTTTTAGTTCACCATGTAAGAATATCAAAATATCAGTGAACTAATTGATGAAAAAAGAATTCAACAAGATTGGAAAGACAAACTGCAACCCCTTTGTACCTCAGCCTGAAATAGTTCTGCCAATAACAAAGCACAAGCCCAACTATACCAACAACCAAAAAGGGGAAATTGGATACAACGTTGAGCATGTTGGGTATACCTGTGAATCACCAACATATGCATTGGTCACAACAGAAATGCAGGGAAACTTAAGTGACGGTGTGCAGAAAATACTTGAGTTATATATATATACAAAGATGCAATCAAAAGCAAACAAATTAGGGACCACAATATCTATCAGACACATTGTTCAATTAGGCATAAAACTCTTTCCAAAAATGTCAAGCAAAAACGCGTGAATCCTTGTCTTCTACAAGGATCCCACAACAATTCATCAAAATCCTGACCTTTTAAACTTACATAAGGCATCATTTTTTTGCTTATTATCACAATCACAATCTTGTAGGCATTTCATATTAAAATCAACTCCCGATATAAATTTTATCATACTCCACTTAATTTCTTTCTCCATATTTTCTTATAGTGGACATCAGCAAAGCTCGTTTAGCAAATTCCTTTCCAACAACCATTTAAACCAAAAAAAAAAAAAAACAAAGGGAAATGCAACGGGATATGAAGCCCCAATGTAAGAATCAGCATTCAGAAGTCAAACATTTAGATTCCTACTACTCGAATTGAGAGGAAAAACTTGAATAAACTGAAAACCCAACAAACAAAACGATAGAAATAGAGAAATTACCAAAGAAAATACGTTGATCAGCGAAATTATGGTACGCTTCGGACTGTGGAATTTTGGGAGTAACGATCATGAGAACAATAAAAGAAAAGATTGCTACTATCCATATCAACGCCGGCCGTCCAATCTCCATCTCTCTTACTCCTCCTCTGCTTAGTAGTTCTTCTTCTTCTTCCCCACCGGGACTAAGTAATTAAGTTCGCAGGATTTGCCCAGAAGCTTGTGTTTTTGTCAGCTATGGGGTTTTCCTTTTTCGTGTTTTTCTGTCGTGTTATTTATACGGTGGAATTGAAATGGTGAGGCCCGTGCGATTTTTCGTAGACGAAATTTCGTTGGAAAGTACTGCATCCGACGCACCTTTTGTATTCTTTTCGGGTCGTTTTATTGGGTCGATTGATTTGTTCCTATGTTCTTTTTTCTTTAGTCGTTTTTGTTGGATAGTGATTTTCATTTTGATTTTAGTTACACGTTATTATTGTTTTTTTTTCCCCCACTCGGAAGCAAAATCCATTCCACATGAAACATTGATAGCATTTGGTCCAAATAAAATCTCAAAAAAAAAAACAAAAAAAAATCTCCATTACTAGAAAACAGTTCATATATATCACTAATTTTAAAATTTGGTTCATACTATTAAGGCACGAACTACAATTATTAATTATGCACAAGTTCTCAAATGAAGTAAATTAATTTTGACTTTTATCGAGTTATATGTTTTTTTCCTATGAAGAAAAGAGTAATAGTAAATGGTTAATCCAGTTATATATATATACATCAAATGCAAACTAACACTTGAATTAAACGCTAAACATGAGTGTTGTTTTGAAATAGATGTGTTCATAATTCAACTATAGAAGACATTGTACCTCCTTTCAAGTTGTAAGAGGCAAAACTGCCACAACACTAAGCCCGAAAGAAGTGTAAATCAATATGCAGCTTATGAAGAGAATTTAGAATAAAATTGTACTGCCTCCGTTTCGTAATTATTGCACACTTTGAGTTTTTATTTTTAGTTCAAATTGTACTAAAAGTGAAATTTGAAACTGGACAATAATTTTGGGAGTAATTATTAGTTCAGTCAATGGCATCATCAATAATCATGTCAATACAAATATCAGAGTTTAATATATTCATAGTAATAGTACCTCTCTTTGAACTAATAGTTGACGAGCCTTATTGGCTTATTCCAATATAATTTGTGATGGTGTTGTTTAATTTCTTTGAATCTTTTAGATTAATTCAGTCAATCATAATATCAATTCATAATTGATATAATATCTACTACTCTAGTTTTAGACGTGTAATATATGAGAGAGCACAAGTATTATTGGCTAATGTTTTTTTTTTCCTAAGAGAGAGATTAATAAAGTAATCACTTTAAAAACTTAGAATGCAGTTAGATCATGACATTATAGAAATTCCATATCTTGAGACTTGATTATTTTGAGTGTTAGGCTATGACTCTTTAATTAAGATCAATTTAATTCTTTAATTATTATTGAATTGTGTCTCGATGTAGTTCCAAATTGAAAACTCAATGTGAACTATTTTTGTGGGACGGAGAAAGTATAAACTTTAGAGACGGGACTTTAATTGATTTTTTAATAACAAACAATTTTCTCTTCATTATGGTCAGCAACAGATGACCACATTATTGCTAAATATTTGTTCAAAAGTTCCTTTTCTTGAAAAGAAGAAAGAGAGTATCTTTCCTCCCATCCCCATTCTAAATATTTGTATGATGTGTTATTCTTTCCGAAGTAGTATTATACTTGCCTTAACTATATCTTGAGGTGGAGAAAATAATAAGTACATTTTCATTGTATGTAAAATTAGCAGGACATTTTTGGATATAATATCCCAGCTTTGAAGGAGTATAACAAGCTTGTCCATTTTCTGAATTTATAATCTGAATTGAGCTAAGGATTGTCCCAAACTCACTGACTTCCAACCCACCGGTCGCCTGGCGGTGGTGGTCCGGCAGCGCCGCCCCTCGGGGGTGGGTGGCTGTGCCTACGGAGGTGAAAGTGGTCCCATGCTAGTTCTTGAAAATGATACAAAATAAATTGTAAAATAAGTTTTTAAAAGTAAATAAAAAAAAATTGAATGGAAGGCCTTAAATTTTACTTTGGTATCTCATGTTTAAGACGGAATTTAGTTTGGTACTTTGGAACTAAATTATTTTGGCAAGAGGCTGGCCATACAGTGTGAATTGTAGCTCTTAGAGGCCTCTTTACCGGGCGAGGAAAAAAAAATTATTCTCTCACATCCCGTCCACAATGAATTGAAAAATTGGTACTCTCTCTGTCCCAAAATTATTGTACAGTTTGAGATTTCACTTTTAGTATAATTTGAACTAGAAATAAAAACTCAAACTAAATAATAATTATGTAACGAAAGGAGTGGTAAGTTTACGCCCTTATTGACGTGGTATATGTAATGTCTTGTCTTCAATAACTTGTAGTATTGGGTCATGCTACTATTAAAATCGGGATTGCTCGAATCTTAAGTGTTCGTGATTTTGATATACTAGCTCTTCAATTTCATTTTGCAATTCTTAAAGTTGCTTTTCTTTAAAATATATATGTGGAACTACTGTATTGGTGCACTATTATTTCATGGAGTAGTGACACGTACAAGGAAAAAATAATAAGGAAAATGTACGAGAAAGGATGTGTCAAACATCTAAACTAGAGCCTAACCTTAAATGCTTAAACCTCGTATGGAAAAGTTTTTAAAATAGATGGATGAGATCATTTCCTTGTCATTTTTCGTTGTACCAATCATTATCCTATTTTACGATGATGTTATCATGCGTTAAGATTCATGGTCCTTTGTTACAAAATTATGGGGATTTAGGAAATGAGTTCCCTCCCTTTATAAGAAATATCCCTAAACTTGCTCTTTTCCACATCAATATAACGACGGAGGGGATTTTCACGGAAAAAGGGCAATGTATGTACAAAGGGAAAATACGGTGGTATTTTTCAAATTTCTATACGGATCGAATGTCTATCTATAATCGTCAAACGTCAATACACAACTTCTGAGGGGTAAATGTGGAAGTTAAGCCGCTAAAACACACCTGTTTTTCCACGCATATAATAAGCAATTGTTACTAGTAGGAAACTGAAAAGACAAAACAAAAAAAATATTCACACCGTCGGAGCCAAAAAGCAACATCCCCGCGTCGTCGTTGCCGAAGAAGAAGGAGATTGCCGCCGCGGCGCCGCCGCCTCACAATGGGTTGCATGAGCAGCATTTCAATGCTGCTGACTTTGATTTTACTTGGAGCTGCTGTTTCTTCAGCTGAAGAGCCAATTTATGTCTACAACCAACAACCACTCAGCCGTGCCGGTGATGCTTTCGTCCTCTCCGGTGGGAGTGGAGCCATCATCGCCGTCAAAATGATTCTTCCTCAGCCGTTCGCTTTGATTGATATTCTATCCTATATCATGTAAGTTATGGCTTTCTTTTTGCCTTGGTCCGATTTTGGTTAATTTTATAGTATTTGATGTTACGATCATTCTCCTTAAATTCGATAATGTTATGTAGGTGATTATATAATCTCTGATTTCTAGTTGGTTTATAACCGCAGCTTTGAAAATGTCACGTTTTCGAGGGATGTAACTGCCGGGGATGATTACGCAAAAGATGAACCTTGCAGTGGATTAGTAGAGGTGGTGATTATTGAGGTTATCGCCGGTCGAGAGCAAAATGTTACTTGCTGCACTCCAGATGTTTCCAAATTTCATGGTTGTGAGATTGGACAAGTTTACATGCCGTCAGCAAAAAATTTGCAAGTAATTCGAGTTCATTTTAGAGCAAACTCTGCTTATGCAAGGATGAAAAACAGGCGTGCATACTTCAACGAGACTGGGATATACAATTTGTTTTTTGTCTCTTGTGATCCTGCCCTTAAAGGATTGAAGGTTTCTGGCAAGACGATTTGGAAGAATGAGTGTGATGTGTGCCTACCTGGTGAAGTTCATTCTCTACGGTATTTTTCCGTGTTTATGATGATAGCTTATATTTTCCTCTTCTTCGTATCGAACATATGTGAATTGCAATTCCAGAGCGACCTTATTGTTCCCACTGTTTTATCTGGTTTGCTTGGGATGATTGCTTGGGAAAAACTTTGTAAAAACTTTGATGCAACCGTATACGGAAGTAAGAACAATTTGAAGACATGGATTCTTTCTATAAGTTGGTTGACAGTTGTGCTTGCATCCATAAGAAAAACTTTACTCCGCCTCCTGATTCTATCAATTGCCAAGGGATCACGGTTTAGCCTAGTTCGCTCGGGTCTTGCTGGATTTGCAGTTATGTTTTTCGGTGTAATATATTTTAGTTTCTATATGTGGATGGAGATGGCGGAATACGAACGAAGCCCCTATGACAATGTCTTCTTGCCATATGTGGTATTAATTTTGGATTTGGGATTAAGCCTTTGGATATACAAGTCTCTAAGAAACACAATGGATCCACTTCAGGTTAAGATTGTTTATATTTTCCCAATAAAAAGCTGGACCAAAATATATGTTCCTCAGTGAACATTATGCTTACTCTCTCTTACCTTCTTTGCAGAGGAGAATAAACAATGTGCAGGGGGATATTTACTGCAAATTTCTCCTGGTGCTTGCAGTAACTTTTGTGGCACATGTTGTTTTGTGGTGTATTGAGGTATGTGGAATGGTAACTACCTCACAGTTATGTTGTGCCTTTTATTTGATGTGACAATTTATACACATATTTTCTTGAAAAATCTTGTTTGGATGTTACAGTTTATACACATATTTAATATTTTCAATGTCCCTACTACTTTCTTTTAAGGTATTTAAAAGATAATTTGTGAATGCATATTTTGTTATGGTTGTTTGTGATCTTCCTGATCACCCTCCCGGCTCCAGGATTAATTTTTAGGTATAATGTAGGAGCTGCTTGGTTTAATAGACATATGGTTACTGTATGACAGCTTTGCTATCTTTTTCATGAACTCCATACGCGAATAACTTGGGGAATTCAGGATTAAAGTGCTTGTCTGGTTTGCATCTGATATACATCAGGAGAAATGTGTTAAGCAACATTTTTAATCAACTTATGTAACAAGGGAAGTTTTTGAATGATATGATGTGAAGCAACTTTTTAAATCACGTTATGTAACAAATAAGATTTCAAAGGATATAATGTGATAATTTGAGGTCCAACTTCACAAGTTCTAGTATTCAGCAAGTTTTCAAGTGTTTTTTTGTCCCCCTAAAAACATTAAGAGTCTGAATGGGTTACATAAGACAACATCTGCAGCAAATTTGACCATTGTGTGAGCAAGATATCGTGACGGGATAAAGCTGATAATTATTGATTTGAAAACTGATAATAATTGATTTACTTCAGCAGAAATAAGTAGGTACTATTACTTAATGCTTTGTTGTTGCTGTTATCGTTGTTGTTTTTAGAAACAAGAAGTAATATGATGGAAATATGCTGGTGAATTTGTCTCTAATTTCGTTTGTCTTCTGCTTCACTTCAGTAATAGTGTCCACACACATATTTTCTTGGAAATTCATGTTTGGATGTTGTGTTTGAATTCAATGTTTAGGAAATGGTTGTCTTAGATCTCTGTGATCTACTTTCCTGCTTCAGGGAATATTTTTCTGATCTAATATGGTAGCTCCTTGGTAAAATTTTCAAACAATATAATGTGATAATTGGAGGTGCAGCTTCTCAAGTTCTAGTATTCAGGAAGTTTTAAAGAGTTATTGTGACCCTCTAAGTGTCTGAACAAGGTTGCAGAAGCTAACAACAGCTGCAAATTTGAACTATATGTAGTGATTGATTTACTTTCATTGAAATAATAACTAGAAGTTGGGCTTTGTTGTTGTTGAAACAAGAACTGCTGAGTTGGAAATATGCCAGTGAACTTGTCGCTAATTTTGTTTATCTTCAGCTCCGATTCAAAGTTGGTGATCGCTTTAAGGAGAAGTGGCAATATGCTTGGGTGTTTCATGTGCTATGGGAAATAGGAGGATTTGGTGTACTCATATGCTGTTTCTGGGTACTAATGGAGCATCATTTGGAGTCAAGAGAAATTGAGTTGCCGGTCCATCAACAATGAGTTTACATGGCAGAGCTTGGATAAATGTAGCAAGGTGACCTCATCGTACATTTGTTGAGACTAGTTGTTAGGCATCAATTTTGTGGAGAACTTGGCCAGATGCATGTTCCAAACTGTGTATACCTTAAAAGTCTATAATAACTTCAAAGAGGTATCTGGATCTATGACTGAAACAACATACGTTTATATCACAATGTTGGAGTAAGACTAAGGAAAACAACCTCTTGAGGTGTTCTCTTGTCTTCTCCATCCTAATTTCAAAAAGCTGCGCATAAATGTTCTGTTCTATCTTTTGCTTCCAATATTTACTAGCTTCTTGAATCTTTGGCAATCATCTGCCTTTAAATCCCTCCCCTCGATCAGGTCAAAGAGGAGCAACTTATGGTTGCAGATTGTGCAGACATTTCTTCTAATCACACTATTGGGTGTGTGATCTAAAAACAGGGGAAGAAGAAGATTGAACAAGGAAATTGATGAAGAAATTCAGATAAATTTAGGAAGAACAGAAATCAATGCTACTTAACCCCAAAACTACTACTAGTAATATAAAAATGCTACAATATGCTCCTCCTCATGTTTAAACTAAATTAGGTCTATTAACGTGCGACCAGTGCATCTTCAAGTCAATTTACCTCGTTCTTGTGCAAGGTATCTGGTACGATTATTATACTTTCATACACTTTAAAAGGGTTACTGCAGTTTGTTTGTTACAAAAGGCATTTTGCCAAATCATTTCCGCAATAGATCTTATCATTCGTAGGAATACATAGTTACTTAAATATAATGAATGCAGGAAAAAAAATTTTAATCTTGATGGTGAGTTAGCAAGATACGCAAATCGTAGAATTATCGAGACTAAAATATCTAAATGGTCATTTACATTTGGGCCTATTTGAGTTAACGTCCTCATCGTATATTTGTTGGTCTCATTTCAATATCGTAATCACAAATATTATGTTTTCAAACTTTTTTGGTCCCATTTCATTGTTTTTGGCCGTTGACATGCCGATATCAGAGGTATTTTCATCTTTTTATTTAATTTGAACTTCCATTAAAATTTCAATTATTAAAAATATTTTAAAACTCACATTTCATTATTTAATTTGTTAAAATATTATTTATTAATTTAAAATATTATTATAAAATTTTAAATTTTACATTATTTTCAAAATTACTTTTTTTATTTACCATTTATTTTAGGCACACTGTAAATTATGTTGCACTTTTAACTCCGGGCCCGCTGTAACTTAAACAATTTACCGAATTATAGTAATAATTAAAGATTCAAATTTTTTCTTTTTAAAACAAGCAAAATCAAGATTTTTTGACTTTGACCGCTACAGTAAACCCTAAATAGTAATTATTTTGTACTTTTAACCTTGTGAAGTACAAAATCAGGATTTCACACAGGATCGTTTTGGCGTCTCAGGATCGGATCGGATTCTGGATTGGCGGAATCGAAACCATTTAAATAATTCTGAAATTGCGAGTTTCAATTTATTAGTTCAATTCTTGTTTGATTTTATAGAGGAGAAGTAGATTAGTGCCTGCATAAATATCATCAACTCAAAATTTCAACAACTCAAAATTTCAACTTTTATATCTTTTCTAATCATTTTTTCTCTTGTTTATACGAAATCAACAATTTGTACAAGTATTGACAAAATCAAGCTGGATCGTAGGATCCTACGATTTGGATTGAAATTTTGAACGATTCTATGGAATCCTTAGAAATCCTACTAAAAAGAAGGATTGCATAAGATCCAGGATCGTTTTTCTCAAATCGGATCGTAGGGTCGTAGGATTCTAAGATTCGGATCGAGATTTTGAAAACACTATAACTTTAACAAATATAACTTAAAGTAACTATATTGTATTACAATTAATAATCGGACTGGTGAATCTACCACCTACACCATCTCCAGTCTCTCGGGCAACAAGCCCATCACTGAAGACTCCCACACTCCACCGCGACGCCTCCATCAAGAAATCAACGGAAACCACTCCCGCCAAATTGACGCGGAGGACGAACGGACACGATGGGAATTAGAGGCCTAAATTGATTTGGGGATTTTGCCTTATATAGGAAAGTTAAAAAAAAAAAATGTAAGGAATGTCAAAACGTAGTTGTTTTGAGTTTATTTTTTAAATTCGGTCAGTTGGTTAGGACTCGGTCGTTTTGACGTTCAAGTTTCTTATTTGTGTGGCTGATTTGAAAATGTTTTAGAAGTAGTATTTATCTATACACTATTTTAACTCTCATTAAAATTGTTAATTATCTATTGATTATTTTATCTTTCAATAAAATCGCTGATGTCATCGGAATTTTTATGGATCAATCAAAATATTAAAATAATTGGAAGTGGTTTTTTTTTTTATAAGAAAGAGAAGAAGAATAGAGATTAGGATAAATAATTTACGTTGACTCCTACAGATCAAAACAGTCACACTATTATTGCAGTAATAAATTCATGATTACCCCAGTTTGGTGGGCCTCCAGGCATGTCTATTATGTACAAAACATTCTCTTCCCAAAACTTTAAGCCCAAATTTATTTGTTTCCAATACCATAACCCATTGGAAATTGAATTGGATGTATTTACGGAGGTGAACGTCTCAGTAGGGTTCATCATTTACTCAAAAAAAAGAAAAAAAAAAAGGGTAGGGTTCATCATACTATCATAATCACCAATGGCTGCAAAAAATTCCCGCAAGTTTGGGCGCACTGAAATCCCGTTTGCAAAGTTGGTTTTTGCATTACTGATCTTCGTTTCTGCGATATACTTGACGGCGATGGCTTATAGTTGGCTAAATCAGCTGAACCGATCAAATTTGGCCCTAAAGAGCCCAGAACTGCACCAAGAGTTCGAAAGATTCATGGTCAAATTTGGGAAGAAGTACGACACCGAGGAGGAGAGAAGCAAGAGATTCCAGATCTTCGCGAAATACTACCAAAAACTCAAGGATTCCAACAAGTCTGGAGGCGGGTCCGAACAATCCTCTAATACTGATCTGGGTATTACTGGCTTTGCTGATCATGCGGATGAGGAAATCCATCGTGGTGGGTGTTCCACAGGCTAAGGAAGCCAAGGATTTCTGGCAGATTTGTTTCCGGTGCTTTATTTTGGTGTATAACGAAGGGTGCTCAAAGCAGGTTTGAGATCAAATCATTTATTTTTGTCAGTTATTAGTATTTTTTTTTTTATATATAATTGTGATTTCACTACCCTTTGCTAGAGCCCCAACATGCTTTTGTACTTTTGCATCTCTTGGTTTTTCTTTGACAGTACTGTTTACTGCGGAGAAAGAATTATTTATACGAGTTTACTGTTGAAGTAATGTGTTCTTATTTTTTGTTTTCTTTTTTTTTTTCTGATTAAGTTGTTGGTTCAAGTGCAATAGTCTCTCTGCTGCCCTAAGCAGCCTTTTAGATTTTTATGCATTTGGTTAAAGTTGAGGTTGAGGTTAGGCCAAACCCTTTGTTCTTAGTGCTGAAAAGGAGTTCGGCATTCTGTTATAAAAATGGCTCTTACCAGAAACTTCGATTCTGGGGAGGAAAGATACGCTACTTCCAACCTCCCTTTTTGTTACGCTTTGTGGTGTTTGATTTCCATGTCGTATAATTGTTTTCGATTGTACGTACTCGCTAAACTATTCCTTCAAGTGGGAAAAATACTGCATTCTCATCGTTAGTAAAATTAGCTGGGTTGTTTTATTGGGATACCATATCCAGCTTTGAAGAAGTATGCTTTCTTAATTATAATCGCAATTGAGCATAAGCATTGTCCCAACCTCACCGACTGACTAGCTGCTCTAGCTCCTGGTTGGAAGAATCAGACTTGGTAAGGTTAATCCTTGTGTCAAACTGTTTGGATCATTCTATATATGACTCGAGACTGCAATATTTGGATTAATGAAACTCCTCTAATGATTTTGGACTAATGCAACTACTACAAGGCGGGCTGCGAATCTTCAGTCAGTATTAATTAATGACAGTTGCTGCAGCAATCTTCGTTTTTCGCTATACTACTCTATACTTAGATTGATCCGGTGCTCTCAACGACTGTTGCAGTTACAACAAAGCTATATATACCACAGTTTGCACAAGCTCCAAATGTTAAAAGGGTGATTAGAAGTAATATTTGTTAGAAGGGATGGTCTTCAAAACTTCATATTGTTGTCGCTTTTGCACCATGCAAAAAGGCTAATACTACCAATATACAATTAATCTTCAAATTACACTTTCCAAACTCCAAAGAATGGAAGTTGAACTGGAACCTAATACCATCAATACAACCACCTCTGACCTATCTTTGAGAAACAAAGGATCGATGTTGAATTGGAACTTACTAATAGTGTTAACCTAAAAAAAAAAAAAAACTTACTAATAGTTAATTATGTTTCCACAGCAAGCAAGTGTGTCACCTATATTTGAGAAACAAAGAAAACCAATTTTGGATTCCCACCTTTCGCCCATATCTCTTTAATTATGTTTCCACAGCAAGCAAGTGTGTCACCTATATTTGAGAAACAAAGAAACCAATTTCGAATTCCCACCTTTTGCCCATATAAAGAGGCTACGTACCCTCCACGTTCAAAAAACCCCTCCGCAGCTCTCTACAAAAACCCTGCTTCCAAATCTCATCCAATGATAACTTCAAATAAGTTATCAATGCTAGTCATTATACTATCATTGATTTTCATTTTCCCTAACCACGTTTTTACTTCTTCTATGCCATCTCTAAATAACCAAAAAAACCAATATGACCCCCTGGTCATAGAAGAATTTGAGAAATTCATCCATAAATACAAAAAAATGTACTCTAGCCCTGAGGAGAAGATGGGAAGATTGATGATTTTCAATCACACATTTTATTACGTGACGGAGTGGCAAAAGGCTCAAGGCTTCCCCAACCCAATGGCTATGAATATTGACTACGCCGATTTAACTCAAGAGGAGCTAGGGCAGGGTCGTGGTGGTTGTGCTTTTAGCTATGATGCAAATGTGCGCTGGAGGGATCAACTCTATAATGATACGAATGTGCGCCGGAAGGATGTGTCTCTGCCTCGGAGTGTCGATTGGAGGTCGAAAGGGGCCGTGACAAGTGTAAAACACCAACTACGCGACTGTGGTTCGTGTTGGGCATTTGCGGTCGTTGCAGCGGTTGAGGGAATAACAAAGATCACAACCGGAGAACTGCTGGACCTCTCCGAACAACAATTAATGGACTGTGATCGTACCCAATTTAATGGAGGAGGTTGCAAAGGAG